ATTTGAATTTCTGAGAACATGTGGATGATTTTGAAAAAAAAATTTAGTCAATTTGAAGCAAGATGAAAAAATACCTTTTTGACCTTTTTTGACATTGAGAAGGTCCTTGAAGGTCAAATGTCAAATCTAAAGTCAGATTTGAATTTCTGAGAACATGTAGATGATTTTGAAAAAAAAATTTAGTCAATTTGAAGCAAGTTGAAAAAAGACCTTTTTGACCTTTTTTGAGTTTGAGAAGGTCATTGAAGGTCAAATGTCAAATCTAAAGTCAGATTTGAATTCCTGAGAACACGTAGATGATTTTGAAAAAAAAATTTAGTCAATTTGAAGCAAGTTGAAAAAAAGACCTTTTTGACCTTTTTTGACTTTGAGAAGGTCATTGAAGGTCAAATGTCAAATCTTAAGTCAAATCTAAAGTCAGATTTGAATTCCTGAGAACATGTAGATGATTTTGAAAAAAAATTTTAGTCAATTTGAAGCAAGTTGAAAACAGACCTTTTTGACCTTTTTTGACCTTGAGAAGGTCATTGAAGGTCAAATGTCAAATCTTAAGTCAAATCTTAAGTCAGATTTGAATTTCTGAGAACACGTAGATGATTTTGAAAAAAAAATTTAGTCAATTTGAAGCAAGTTGAAAAGAGACCTTTTTGACCTTTTTTGACCTTGAGAAGGTCATTGAAGGTCAAATGTCAAATCTAAAGTCAGATTTGAAGGTCAAATGTCAAATCTAAAGTCAGATTTGAATTTCTGAGAACATGTACATGATTTTGAAAAAAAATTTAGTCAATGTGAAGCAAGTTGAAAAAAGACCTTTTTGACCTTGAGAAGGTCATTGAAGGTCAAATGTCAAATCTAAAGTCAGATTTGAACTTCTGAGAACATGTAGATGATTTAGAAAAAAATTGAAGTCAGTCTAAACAGTATTTGTTAAGTTATAGGAAGTTGTAAGAAATTGTTACAGACGCCAACCGCCGGACGCCAACCTCCAACCGCCGGACGCCGGACGCCAACCGCCGTCGCAAAAAAACGGAGACCATAACAATATGTCACCACTTTTGGTGGTGACATAATAAAAAAGGGGCAATATCACCAAATATACAAATATCTGACTTGTCATCATATTTTCCACAAATATCTACATATCTGCACCACTGCAACACATAAGCAATAAATATAGAGTTTTCTCCAAAAGTAAAAGCTCCTTAGCTCTCATTCTATCGATAATACAGGATTTGGTCTGTGTTAGATAATAGATGAGGGGTGGGGGTGGGGGGAGTAACCAAACTGGAACGAAGATTAATAACTCAATCTTTGATCAATAACAAAAAAATGCAATGCTACATGTGAGAGGGATCATAACCTTTCAATTTTTCTATGAATTTCATAAAATATCTCCAGAGGAGGTTAATGTTTATTTATTATTTTGGTGGGGAAATAGGAAATCCTAATCGCATGAACTGGTAATCTTTAAGTCCATGAGTTAAAGACTGAATTTCAAATATTCTTGCCACTATCCAGTTTCTTTTTTTATTGCTCAAGAAGATCACAAATCAAGCTCTAAATGTTTAGGTGAATATTCCATGAATTCTTAAATCAGTGTTTAGTCTATTGTATTGGAGTTGTGGACCACTCAGTGAAACACCCTGAAGTACTCTACATAAACAAGCAAATTAAGTATTGCCTGAACTGGGGATTGAATTCGGGACCTATGGCGTAAGAAGTACACATGCTACTGCTGAGCTATACAGGTGGACACTAACTATTCTTTGATTTAAGTTAACACAGAAAGTTTGAAGGTTGAGTGGAATATCATTTTATGAAGGTACCACAGGTATTGATCAAAAATAAAATACTGTAGAATACTTGTTTCATTTTTTACTATCAAGCTCAGCATCCATCAAGCTTTCCATACCATCTAGTGATCTCCCCAGCATTAAAGCAAGTGGGCGCAGCACCCATCTGAGATTTTAAAAACAGACTTGCACCCATTTGAAAATCCATTTGCACCTACTTGAAAATGAGAAAAATCACGAAAAATGGGCATATTTTAACCAATTTTGGTTTGAATTGTAAAAATGAGAATTTTGCACCCACTTGAGAAAAAATCCATCCATCTTATAAACTGAATTTAGCTCATTCTTGGAATGAATATTACTCAAAACATAATTAAAATAATTGTCTCATAAATACCACAATGTTTCCCTAGAGATTTAGCTTTTATATATCTAGGGTTGCTAGCCTAATTAGACATTGAATCGATTGGCTTTCATAGAGAGACACAGAATAAGTCTGCTAGGTCTGAAAGTTTTAGTCAAATTGACATCAGAATAGATCAGATTTTTGGATTAAGAACATGCCATATTTTAAAATCACAGAACGAGTCTTGAGCTTAATTTTTTTTCACACATCACAAAATATTTTCAATGAAATCACGAACATATTTTCAATGAAACTTTTTGCAAGGGTCAAGTTGGCAAAGTATCAATTTCAATCTGTAAAGTTTTCACCTTGACAACCATTCAACAATTGGCCTTGGGTGGGATGTTGGTTATATGACGCGATGCAGTTATATGAAACAGCTTGTTCTATTTGGCTGGAATCAGACACACCTTGCCAAGCGATGTATGAAATTATTAACAACTCGTTCTGCGTAGATTATGCCAATATTAGTGAAACACGACTACAGACATCAGTCATTGTGGATATTTAAATATCATTGGTTATTCCATGCAAATGGGTGTAATATCTGTAACAATCAACTGGTTGGTTAATCCATGCAATGCAATGATTTTTCTTAACATTACGTTGATCCACTTACCACAAACAATATTACAATTATTTGCCCAATTAAACTGCCATGGTAGTTAACAGGAAATGACAAAACAGGAAGTGACAAAACCAAGCTGGATTTCAAACATTTTTTGAACCAAGATATCAGAATTCTGTTTTGACCTCCAGTCAGTATATCATTTACATGACAAGGATCACAATGGCCATGGTCAGAATGACCCTAAACAAGATGAAATAACTTCTTCAGCCCTCTGAAAATGTGACTGAAAAATAGCTAAAAGTAGGAGCTTAGGAAAGGTCACTGAACAGAATCTTTTGAATTTTTCAGAAAATGTGCCTAATATATTGCACTAAATGATACAATCTTTGAAAATTTGGTATCATTCATTGAAAAAGAAAAAAATGAATTGAGAAGCAATCTATTTTCCTTTTCATGACCACCATTTTTGTTTCAGAAAATTTTCTAACATTTCAACGATTGTATCATTTAGAGCAATATATTGAACACATTTTCTGAAAAATTCAAAAGATTCTGTAGTGATTCTGTAGATTCTAATGCTCCTACTTTAAGCTATTTTTCAGTGACCTTTACAGTAGGCTGAAAAGGTTATTTCATCATGTTAAGGGTCATTCTGACCATGTACATCGTGATCCTGGTCATGTAAATGATATGTGAGCTAGTTAAACTGACTGGAGGTCAAAACAGAACTCTATCTTGGTTCAAAAAATGTTTGAAATCCAGCATGGCTTTGTCACTTCCTGTTTGTCATTTCCTGTTAACTGTTGTTTCAAAAAAAGTTTGAAATCAAGCATGGTTTTGTCACTTCCTGTTTTGTCATTTCCTGTTAAGTATCATGAGACCTTAATTTGAACTGATATTGATTAAAATTGTTGTTAAAATGATAACATGAGAAATCAAATCACATGACATCATAACCATCGTGTGATGCAATCTGTAGTTTATGAATATGATGGAGATATGTTTTTACGTCCAACATCCAATTGAGTTACGTGGACGTAAATGAAAATATTTATAGTTGGCTTTATGGACAGGCTTCACAGCCATTCTCCGTTAAGTGTGAAAAATGTTGTAACTGCTTTTCCTAATGATGTTAATCAAAATATATGCACCCTTAATGGTATAAATGACATTTTTTATCAAAAATTATGATATGGTAGTAAAATTAAATACATATTACATGTGCACCATATTGTGTTACTGACTGAGAGGTACCTGAAGTATTCAGGGGTATACAAAATAGCCTGTCACCGAAGTGATAAGTAAACATAGATTTGCTGGTCATTATACACGATTGGCATATTAAGCCCAAGACTCAATGCATTGTGGCTGGTTCATTCTCCTCAGACGTTGTTTCCAAAATTTAGCACTTGATTCTGTGAATCTCGTGCAAAGTTTGAAACAATACCTTGGGGGAATAATCAACTTGCTATTCTTAATCCAATTGACTCCCACTAATAATATGTTACAATATTCTTATATTACAATATGAAAGCATGGGTGTAGCTGGGGGGTGCGATTGCAACCCCCTCCCCATCTCCACAAAAAAGAAAAAGCAATTGAAAGTAAAATATGTTAAAAACATTAACAAATTATAGTTTGAAATGCTTAGAATGCACCATATACGATGTAAATTTTTTTTAATTTCCAGGGAGGCACCCCTGTATCCCCCATTTTGGGGTTTGCTTAGCTTGCAATGACGCAAAGCATAAAAAATGCACCCCCCTCCTTGACAATTGCTGGCTACTAACACACCAGGAAAGTGTATATAGTATATTTGAAGGTTCAATGAGTTGCATTAGATTCAGAGGATTTTGTATGATCTTGAAATGTTTTCTTGTATCCCCCATTTTGGGGTTTGCTTACATGTAGCTCGCAATGATGCAAAGCACAAAAATGCACCCCCCCCCCTTGACAATTGCTGGCTACTAACACACCAGGAAAGTTAGTATATTTGAAGGTTCAATGAGTTGCATTAGATTCAGAGGATTTTGTATGATCTTGAAATGTTTTCTTGTATCCCCCATTTTGGGGTTTGCTTACATGTAGCTCGCAATGATGCAAAGCACAAAAATGCACCCCCCTTGACAATTGCTGGCTACTAACACACCAGGAAAGTTAGTATATTTGAAGGTTCAATGAGTTGCATTAGATTCAGAGGATTTTGTATGATCTTGAAATGTTTTCTTACCTTTGCACTGGAATCCCTGCTTTCCAAATCCCCTGAAAAATACAACATAGAGTCTACAATAAAACTTAGGTGGATCATGGGCTTTCAATAGCTATTGAATGCCAATGGATGGATATATGAAAACCAAAAAGAAATCTGAATACTAGAATTCTTTTCATGGCCTGACTTCGTCGCTATAATGCTTAATATAAGAGTTAGCTGACGTTTGGGAGTCTGACTTACCTTCTAAAGGTTAGAACCCGAATCTTAATGAAACCATATCACCTTTGTTGCGTCGATGATGATGCATAAACACAGCATTTGATAGAAATTAGTGTAAATGCTTTTCTGACTTTTTCATTTTTCATCAATGTTGACTTCCGGGAAGGCGTTGTAGTTATCACGAAATAACGCATTGACCCTTGAACTTTACTTTGTTGACGTGTCAACCAAGCATGTCTGGTGTGAAAATTAAAAGAATATTAAGCAATGTTCTACATCCGCCAAGCTAAGTGAAGTAGCCAATATTTAAAATTACCAATTTCAAGTGAAGTACGCAACGAACGAAACTGCGTGATCTACACTCCCACTATTGGTCAGAACGAAATGCTACGTAGAAATATGAGCCGTCTGCTGTATTAGTCGATTAATAGAGTAAGACCTGTTGGTGATGCTTTATAATTTAGACCAAAACATTGAAGAACAAACGAACCTGTAAATCCTGAAAACAACGAAACGAATATTCAGTTTTCACATATGTTCGGTAATTTTTCGTATTGAAACTTCCGGAACTTACAAGGAAATCATTCATTTTCACGGTCCATGATTTACCTCTTGGATGTTGTGGCAAATGCTCCATGGTTGACAAAGGTGATATGGTTTCATTAAGATTCGGGTTCTAACCTTTAGAAGGTAAGTCAGACTCCCAAACGTCAGCTAACTCTTATATTTAGCATGTTAGCGACGAACTCAGGCCATGAAAACAATTCTACAACAGTGAGCAGTCAACACTCAAAAGCATTGTTGCTTTGCATGGGCCAAGGGATACAAGCGCTTATGCAACAAAACAAGGAAATGTAATAGTAAGCTGAATAAGTCTCTTCTATATTCAGGTTACCATTACTTTTCCCTTGGCCTATGATACTTTGATATTATTTCGATTTTAAACTGAAACTACTTGACCTTGCATTTTCCAACCAAAATAAAAATATTGCAGAAATTTTGAGCTGGAAAGGGAACAGGAAAATCCCGTGTTTCACTCACCAGATGAAATCCTTGCAATGACTGCAGAATGTTGGTTGTTTGAAGAACCTTGCAGTAAACTTATGATCCTTAATTTCGTGTACATTTTTCTGTCTAAGCGCTCCTCTACGCTGTACTCGGTGGACCTGGCCGTCTTCCGCCATTTTGGACTGGAGTGATGAGCATAATCCTCGATCAGGGCAAGTTATCAGTTCGAAGCTACTGCCATCTTTCAAACCATCACGCTATTATTTTCATTCATGCATTTGATGTATGTATGCCTCTTGCGTTCATTCTATCAGAGACACAATCATCATGGCTTCAGAATCAGGATTAATCAATGAATGAGCCATACCCCGAGAGCCATAGAGTGCATATTTAAAGAAGTGGGCGTGGCACATGATAACAATTACATGTGTCCAGCCAATTTTCCCCTTTGGAGAAAATGGGCGTGGCAAAACCGATTTCAAAAACTTGGACTGGTAGATCTAGTTCTAAGACCACAGCACAGGAAGATTTAAATCCCCCCCTGTCACTGTATAGCTAATGTTAAAATATCTTTTACATAGTGAGTGGGAGGGGGATGAACTCCTGTTCCCGTGTCTGTGTCTAAGACTATATTAGTCTTGGGTGACTAGATAATGGTACTTGATAACATTAACACAATGATGTGTTTTCTTCTCTTGATAGTAAAAATATCAATTAATTCATCAGAAGTTCCTTCTGCACTACATTAGCCTCACTTCTGAAAGAGGTGGGTGTTGAAATGCGATGAAGTTAAAAACAACAATCCCATGTGGAAAACTTTTTTTGCCAGTGCCACCCAAAGGGTGCGACAGATAGAAATGGATTAGGCTAAAGAAATACCTGAGTATTTAATGGCACCAGCCCAAGTCTGTTGGAAATATAAAAAATTGATACTCGGGGGACAAGGACACGGGGCACAAGAACAGGTAAGCTTACATATGCTACTATAGTTAATGATATACACTCCTCTCCATAAGTTTGGCAACCTTAGCTCCCCCATTGAACAACGTATTAATTAAAGCCTCTTAACTTATAATATTGATGGAAACGTAGCTTGACTTTATTTCCAGTACCTCCAATTTTTCTCAATTTTTTTCCTCAATAGGTCGAAAATGATGATTTTGATGAATTTTTGAAAATCGTCATTCCCATGTTCATAAAAATTGTTCAATGAGGGAGCTATATAAGGTTTCCAAACTTATGGAGGGGAGTGTACATACGTTGATAAGACAGGATGCAGTTGATGAATACAGATTTTAAATAGAAAATGCATTTTCTAATCTGTATAATTACAAAGGTATGTCATTAATTTTGTAGTTTTCAAAAATAAATGTAGTCCCAACACAATTGTGATCATGACGAGTCAGTAACCCTACTATCACAACAAACTCGTTCTCACTACGTTCTCGAAAACGGGCTTCAACTGTGTACGAACGGACTGGACGTATTAAGAACCGTTTGGGATCTATTTACAAACTTCATCGAACGTACTCGAACGGGTAGGTCCTCTAGAACTTAAAACATGCTCAAAATGTTTTCGTGGTCGTCACATTCTACAATTAGAACGAGTGACAACGTACTAACGACGAGCTGGACGTACTACGAACGGAACCGTCGTACTTCAATCCTACTAGGGACGTTTTAACAACGAGTGGAACTGTCTGAGGACGTGTTGAGAACGAGGTAGAACTCATTGCAAACGGGTTTAAACTGATTAAGAACGTATTTAACACTGCTTATGAACGAGTTAGCAAAAATATAGCTATCACACCAAACAAGTTGCCACTGCGTTCTTCAAAACTGGTTCTAAACTGTGTGCGAACGGAATGAACGTAGCTGCAACTTTCTAAGGTCTATTTACGAACTTTATGAACGTTCTCAGACGGGAATGTGATTTTAGAATTTTGAATCGATTCAAAATTCGATTGCGACCATACCGTTCTGTTATCAGGTCATGATGACCTTCTAGACTAAGGGACGCGTTCTACGGCGTTATACACCGACGTGGTGCGACCTGAACGAACTGCGAACGAGATGGACGTATTGAAGACTGTTTAAGAACGAAGAAGCTAATTATTTCAGACATATTTCCCGACCACAGCCAGTTTGAGCCCGTTTTACGACGTTTTCGTAGGACTGGCAAGAACGGGTAAGAACGAGTTTGGTGTGATAGGGGGGTAAGCTAGTAGTATGTAGGCACAATTGTCATCTTTTGCAATGACAACATGCCATTTCTTCTGAAAATGCGTTTATTTGGGTTATCTGAAGGAAAATTTCGAGTCAAGTGGCGTATTAATTTTGCCTTCATTTTTGTAAATTTCAATTTCAGTCTGCAGAGAGGGGGTAGTGTCACAATTGACCAATTATTTCAAAAATAGATGTTTGGCCCCTATTGAGTTTAGTGTCAAAATGTATCTTAGACATAGGTTTAGAACCTCAGATAGGCCAGTGAGGCCACATAAATCCATAACTCGAGACAAAAAGTCAGGCGTTTGCCCTTTTGCCCATTGACTAGTATGGTGACGTGAATTAGGGCAGTTTGGCCATATAGAGTTCCAAATTTTCTGACCTTGAACTTTAATTGAATAGAGACCAACATTTGTTTTGAACTTGAAGGCATAAATATCATGAATGTGAATTTCTTGTTTGATATCGAAGAATGTCAACATTTAACGTAAAAAAGTTCTCAAAAATCTTTCGTTGGGCTGATATATTATTATACCAGCAATAAACAAAAATTCCAACATTTAATTGATAGATATCATGCATGGGAAGTATTTTAAATTGTTTGAATAGTGGAGACGAGTGCTCAAACCTGTCTTTCATTGCCATGAGACGAAGATATGATTTTTGTAACTTGAGTAATTTATATAGACCTGAATATGCCCCAGCCCAAAGAATTGTGCAATAGTTCAAGTAGGAGTATATTAAATAATTATAAATTGCTTACATACTTTTTATGTCTAGCAAGTATCTGCTTTTGAATGAGATTCCAATGCTTCTATGAATGTTCATCTCTCTGGTAGTAATGTACAAAGCTGAGATGTCATGGTTTATCATGATGACCAATGGGAAATGTTAGGTTTGCCGCAAGTCCGATGGCAGAATATCTATCCATCCAACCAAGTTCTCGCTTTTTGATACAAGTTAAAATAGAATGAAATACTAACTTTATTTAACAAATGTTTCTTTGTTTTTCAAGAAACCTCTCTTATTGAAATAGCACAGGAGGCGAAAAATGATTTTCAAAAATGACTTTAAAGCTCTCACAAGGTAAACTGAAAGTTATCACTTTGCGTGCAAAATTTTCTGTATAAAATATATTTTAATGATATCTTCTGTATTTTGACTAGCTTTATGGTTTATTACTTCATTACGAGTTTTATTAGAAAGTATTGTCAGATTAACATTGCAACAGAATACATGTTTGTTCAATGACTTTATTTGATAACATTTACAATGTCTTAAACTTCAACGAATGACATCTTAGAAATCATACAGCACGGAGGGGCTACGTAGGCCTACACATATGGCTACCAGGAACATTTCCTCCGCAGTCGTACCCAGTACAACACGCCTCGTGAGTCCAATCCGGACAACTTAGATCCAAAGTGGACGTAGGATCTTTACAAGCTGAAAAATGTAAATTATGGTGATTCATGACCACACTGTATCGAGATGCTTCATAGCTACAATGATACGTATTTACTTATGGGGAGGGGGTCAGGTATTTTAATCCCTTATACCCATGTTGTTGCAATGAGAGTATATTTTAATATACCTCCCGGAGACCAGGGATATGGCATTGAAAAGGTGCAAACCGTTGATGTATCTCATGTCGAACATAACAATGAATAGCCTGGTTGTTATCAAACTGATTATGTATCTAATGTCTAAACTACAATGTATAGCCCGGTTGCGACATTTCACAGGTTGCGACATTTTTAACATGTTATTCATTTTTTCCTTGGCTTCAGATGAATACCTTTCTCTCCACAAAATTCATACATACCTATTTCACAGTTTTGTCCACTTTTGGTTTTACAGACACACTTGTAACTGCCCGAAGCAAACAAGCACTGGGCACCATCATCTCCACATGGCCAAGGATTACAAGGACCAGTACGTTCTGGAATATTCCCCCACTAGAGAGGTTAGATGAAACCAAATGCGAGCCGTGTGGGAACAATCACGTAATAATATAAAAGCAGAGTTTCTATTTAGATGAATAAAGCAAATATAACATCTGCCACCCTTGTTTTTATTTGTTGCTGTTATTGGTTGGGCTAGACTGCCATTGACTTCAATTTTAAAAACGTGCATTAGTCACTTAATTTTATGATTTATCAAAAAGTGTTGGTCGAATCTATCTTAAACTCGAATGGCATAACATGGAATGACCCTGTTAATGTACAAACACATTGTGATAGTGATGAAAATTTAGGTTGCACATCGAATAAATCAAGGTTTTAAAGACTTTTAGCATTGCATCGATGGAGATTTGCCCCAATTTTTTAAAAAGTTGAAAACTTTAGGTAATGGAAAATTATTATTATTATTATTATTTATTTCATTGATATAGTTTAAAATACAATTACAATAGCATCCCCAAATCGCCAGAGGGCATTATATAGGAATGGTGAGAGGCTGGCGCTGGGGGTGGCAGGCAGACAGGGTCCCGGCGGACCGGAGCAGGTGTGATAGGACAACAGGATATCAGAGAGAGAGAGAGAGACATGAGGGAGGGAATTAGCTATTGTCTATAATGAAGTCAAGCATCAGTGAAATGGCTTTAGAGTTTACATCTATGCTTAAGTTTGGGCTTCCTATTTTCAAAATGGAGATAAAATCATACTGGGGAAGATTATTATTGAGAGAAGGTTCTAATTCAGCAAGTTTTTCCCAGAGATCCTGTCTTACTAAGGTTAAGCGATTGCACTGGAAAAGAATATGCTTTAAGGTTTGAGAGCTGCCACAAGCACAATTAGGGCTGTCAACAGAGTTAAAATTATGGGCATAAAATTGAGCTTTAAAAAATAAGTCAGCTCTTACTTTATTTACCACTATCTCATGCCGTCTAGAAAGATTGAGTTGACTTGTGGTCAAAATTTTAGAGGGGTTTTGGAGGAAAAGCCGTTGGTGTTTTTTGAAATTATGAAGAGTTTTCTTGGTTTTAATAGAAGGGGGAGCTCTAGCCATTTTGAGATTGCAGAAGGTATTGCTGAGGATGAAAATCTAGCAGAGCATCTTATGGGCATTTTGAATGGATCAATGTATCTCATGTTTCTATTCCTAACATTACTATACTTATCAAAAATGTCTGTGATATATGAGGGACTTGTACCATTGGAAACTTTGAACATAAAATTATTTGATTGTATTCTACGTCTGGATTCAAGTGTTGGCCAGTTTAGGAGACTTAGAACCTTTTCTGTACTGCTCCCTTGGATGCAGCCAGAACAATAGAGTGCCGCTGTGTAATATAGACTATCGAGTCTTCGCAAAAGAAATTTAGAAGCTGTGCCATATAAAATGGCACCATAATCAAAGTGAGGAAGAATGAATGAGTTGAAGATTGTTTCTAGGTGCTTGCTCCCAAGCTTGAATTTGAGTTTCTTTAATGGGTTTAACATTTTTCTTATTTTGACTAGTAAATCACCAATATGCTTATCATAAGATAAACATGGGTCAAAGATGAGTCCTAAATGTTTGTGCTTGGTATCTCTTTTGATTTCTATATTGTTTAATTTTGAAGTTGACACATTATCAGTTTTTGTTCTAGGTTAGTGGAAAATCATCTCGGAACTCTTCTCCGGTTCAAAATCAAGTTTCCAAGTGTTAGATTATTCTTCTACTTTAATTAGATTGGATTTTACCACTGCTTCTATTTGTTGTGGTTGTTTTGGGTCAAAATGATGGTGTAATGAGGTATCATCTGCATAAATGTAGCAATGACCATCCAGATTGTCTGGAAGGTCATTAATATATATTAGAAAAAGTATTGGCCTTAGTATTGAGCCCTGTGGGACACCGCAGTTTATAAAATTAGTTTCTGAGTAATTGGAGGTCTCACCAGAAATTTGAACAGCAATTTTCCTGTTGGTGAGATAAGATGTGATAATTTTAAGGATTTGACCTTGAAAACCATACGCCTTAAGTTTATGGAGGAGTAACGAGTGCGGAACCCGGTCAAAAGCGGCGGCTACGTCCAAAAATATTGTTTTGGAGGCTTGTCCTTCAAAAGTAGTTTGAAGAAAATGCTTGATAGATAAAAGTTGATGAATGGTGCTATGGCCAGGTAAAAATCCGGACTGATACTTAAAAAGAAGATCATTGTCAAGTAAGTGTTTTCTGATTCTGTCAGCAAGAACCTTTTCAAAGACTTTGGATATGGAGCTTAGCAGAGTGATAGGTCTGTAGTTATTAGCATTTGATTTATCATTTTTTTAAAGATTGGACAAACATTGCCTATTTTCCAAATATCTGGATAAGTTAATAGTTAGAAGTTTATAAAATAATATGGTAAGAGGTTTTGAAATGGTATGAGCTGTAAGGTTCAACATTTTGTTTGTGATATTATCTGGCCCGCATGCTTTGGAGGTATCTAAGGAGAGAATAATTTTCATAACTTCAAATTGGTCAGTCTTAGCGGAGATGAGTAAGGAATTTGTCCTCATAGGGAATAGAGGCAAATGGTCAAAACTGGCATCTGTATGGTTTTTAGAGGCAAAATAGTTCATGAATTTGTTTGCAATATCAAGGTTATTTGAAAGTGCGTGTCCAGTCATTTCATCATAAATGCTAGATATGCTGTTTTTCGTCAAATTTGTGCCTAAAAATGATTTGATGATTCTCCAATAATTTTTATCGGACTTATTTAGCTGGTCAATTGATGATAAGGTTTTTTTTCGTGATCTATTTTGGCTTGTTCAACAAGTTGGGCAACTTTAGTTGCCTGTTGGTCATATATTAATTTATTAAGTTGAGAGGGAGATTTGGAAAATTTCTTGTAAAGCGTTTTCTTCTTCGATAGTTCTTTTTTAAGTGTACTGGTGATCCATGGCTGATCATTTGACCGAACAGTTATAATTTTATTTGGAATTCTGGATTTGTATATATCCATGAGTTTATTCATAAAGTTAGAGGTAGCCAAATCTAAGTCTATATTCTCATTTAAAATATGTAACCAGTTTGTATTCCTGATTGCGTTGTTCAGATTTTCTAAGTTGAATTCGTTGTATTTCCAAATAGTTTTTTTATAGGTTTGGATTTGGTTACTCCAATCTTACTTGTGCAGTGATAGTACTGTGGTCGGTCATGCCTATAGGGTCACATATTTCAAAATGGTCAAATATATCAGGTGAGTTTGTCAAAATATGATCTATGCATGATTTGGAAAGGTCAGTAATTCTAGTTGGTTCGTTAATAATTTGAACATAGTCATTAAGATCTAAGGTTTCCAGGAGTTTTGTCCCTGCAAGATTGGTATCTTGGTTATCAAACCATATGGAATGTTTAGCGTTGAGGTCACCCATCAAAATAACATGATCAAAGGACGGTCGGTACCTTTCTATTTGTTCAAGTAAGTTGTTTGATGAAGAAAAATAATTACGCGTTTCAGTGGCATTCTGGCTCGGTGATCTATAGCATGAGCCAATAAGGATTCTTTTATGGTTCACAATGATAGTCAAGAGAAGGGCATCAATCCCATTTAAATTAAGATCACCAGGTAATGGAAAATGATTTAATTGACATGTAAATCAAAGCTATTATCGCAGAAAACTTTTCACTGAATTCAAATATGCTATTTAAAAGAAGGAAAATTAGAGGTTTCCTGTGCAAATCTCTTGAAATTGCACGAAAAAACGAGAATTAGCGAGATTTCAAATCCATATAGAAACTCCTCTATTGGCTGGGCATATAATATAACAGATATACAGGGTGTCCCGAAAGTATGCCCCCCCCCTAGGCAGATATATACCAGTGTCGTCATAGTAAGTGTCATATATCATTTTAAAGCTTATCCAAAGTTACATTGATTCACCAAGTATCATGGTTCAACTCTCAAATGTGAAAAAATTACAGGCATTTCAAAATTTAGTGTTTGGTCAAAATTAAGTTCAATTTTACGCCAAATCACCAGTCAATGTGTCCTCCCGGGACATCTTAACAGTAGCAATTCTTTTCGGGTCGGATGGATATTGAGTTGGAAAAAGAGGTGAGGGTAGAAACTCTAAGGAAACTCTTCTAAAGTCCCTTAACAGGTTTTAAGAGGGTTATATAAAATTCCACACTCCTATTTGAAGGGCTTTTAAGGTCGTATCTGAAAATAATTGCCGCTGTTAACATGGCCAAGGGGGGACACATTGACTAGTAATGTGGTGTAAAATTGAACTTTATTTTGACAAAACACTAACTTTTAAAAAGACTTTAACTTCTTCCCATTTGGGAGTTAAACCATGATACTTGGCAAATCAATGTAACTTTGGACAAGCTTTAAAATGATATATGACACATACTATGAGGACAATGGAATATGTCTGTCTAGGGGGGGGGGCATACTTTCGGGACACCCTGTACATTTCAATCACATAATTATAAAAAGTGTATATAGTTATGTGCTGGGAAGTTCTAGATATAGGGTCAATCTATTCTAACTTTTTTAGAAATGAAAATTTTAGGAAGCGAGCCAGTACGGATATTGGACAACTAAGAAATATGAACAACGCAGAATACATGGACGTACATGGTGAGCCAATTAAGGTAACCAAAATAAATAATACCGCATATCGAATAGAGAATACGCCATTTCACTCACTTTCTGGCAATATGGAGTAAAACCTTTGTGCTAATGTTATATTATTTTGGATCACTGTCCCTGAGTTTCATACTGGGATCGAACAAGAAATAAGCCGTTGGATTATCTACTATATGGGCGTACCTGTACATCGGTTGTCAAGACAACTCTGTCCGTCACAACAGTCACCGTTGTTACTACAAGATGGAGAGGTGTCACTAGCTGAGGTGCAATCTGCGTATCGAAAGTAAGGAAAGTCAGCCTGATACATGGATAAAAGATAATTTTCGCATTATTGTTAATTTGATAAAGCTGTTCTTTATTCAAAAAGAGAGGTTAGTAAGTTGGTTATAAGGAGGTTGTTTGGAAAACTTGTACGTATGTTTGAAAAACCTGTACGTGAACGTGTAGAATTACGATCTTCTATGGAGGGAGTCTGGGAGGATTAGTTCTCTCATTTGTAGTGCTTACTTGGTCGGATTGAGTATAAAGGTATATGGAAAATTGTAATTAGGTCCCTGGGAAAGTGAATTGAGATCGGGACAATGATCCTCATGGGTACAGGTTCTCTTAAAAATGTGTAGCTTAACCTCCCCACTGTTTTTCAAATCAAAACGTGAACGTGAACGTGAAGGGAGAGATTTAAGCAATATTTTAATTCAATATTGGAATGTGTTGCGCGTATGTTAATTTCGTAACACTCGTTCAGCTTCAGTGCTTTATGTTTAGAACGTTTGATTTTGATCCTTGATTGTAACAAGTTCTGATTTAAGGGCTATTTTATTGAAATTGAATATACATTTCAACTGTTCAATGTCTCAAGGTAGTGAAGAAACTGGAAGTAATAAAACACATGCTGGTTTTTTTAAAGTTATAGTTCCGAATTTTGACCTTCGGTCAATTTCACTAGTTATCATCTACATGACCAGGATCACAATAGGCATGGTCGGAATGAGCCTAATAATGACGAAATAGTTCTTTCAGCCCTCTGAAATCGTGACCGAAAATTAGTAAAAAGTTGTATTTTGGCAAAGGTCACCAAACAGAATCTTTTGATTTTTTTTTCAAAAAATGTACCCAATATAAATGGAGCTTTGAAAATTACAATTCATTCCGAGAAGTAGAAAAAAAAAATTGAAAAAATGAATTTGAAAAGCTATCTTTTTCCTTTTTATGGCCGCCATTTTTGTTCCAGACAATTTTTCAAATTCTAATTATTAATGTAAATGATATGTGGAACGAGTAAAACCTACTGAAGGTCAAAACAGAACTCAGACGTCTTAGTTCAAAACATTTCAAAAATCCAGCATGTTCTTTTTGACTTTCTGCTAACTACCCCGAGACCTTAATATAGTTAACAGTAAACAAAAGTATATGAACCAATGCAAATTAATTAAAGGCCCACTTTGCGAATTTTCAACATTTTTGGGCAAAATAAAGACTTACATTTAAATTTCATATAAGAGCTTTATCTTTCATTTGACACCAACAACAGCTCAAACTGACCACATCAAAGGTTACAATAAATTATCAAAAAATGTTTCCGCTCTGTCAAGCTTTACATATCAAGTTTTTTATCAATGTCATGGAAAGATGGCAAAGCTGTTTGTATTACATGATATATTCATTTTTATAGAAGTGTCACCATCTTTTAAATCAACAATTTAAAACGTGCACCTTTTTTAACATGTGCATGCATGTCTAACAATCTCTGAACGTCAAATGCTTTTTTATATTTGAGTTACTTTTCTCTTGATTCAATATTGAAGCAAATCAAACTTGGTGTCATAATTGAGCAAGTGTGTGAGTAACATGTTTCAATGATCTTTTTTTTATTTTCTTCGAAATTAAATATAGTGGGCCTTTAAGAATAACGTATGGCATGCTAAAGGAAGTACCTATGTCACATGCGAAACCTTTCTTGCCGTTAGGACATTGGCAAATTGCCAGACCTTTGCTGTCATCACACGAAAAGTCTCCACATGGATTTGGGTTGCATGGACCATTCTCGGGAGCATCTATTAAATGTATTTAATCAAAAAATATAAAACTGATGTTATCAAACAGGAATTGTTATCACACCAATATGGTGCTTAATAATATCGCGAAAACATCCGTACACTGCGACTCGTTGTAAGGAAACATGGGGCAAAATGGCCCATCGAAAAAGCTTTTGAACTATAAAAAGTTGGTTCTTCAAAAGTCACATAATCGAAATTTGAAATTTTCTCCACTTCTCGACCGCCCTTTTTCACCTAGCAGCGCCTCGCCTAACGTAAGATGTAATTCTACTTTTCACTCTCTTTTTGCAAATTACCCCTCCCACGAGAATCACTAAAAAATCCGGCAACAATAGAATATCGTTTTGAATTAACATTTTACATAGATTATGCATATTTATCCCATACTTGGACGTGTTACAGGTACATAAAGCGGTTTGTAAAAACTTATATTTTCATCAGCGGGCAGATATAGCTATACGTCCCGCTCCGAGCGGGCAGATATAGTATATCTGCCCGCTACGTCATAATCGCCGCTCGCATATTTGTTCATAATTTGTAACGTTCGCGTAATGACTGTACACGACAATGGAGAAAACACAGAAATCGGGATCTGTTTGATGGTTTAAAAAAGGGAAGGAGCATCCACCTAATCAATCAAAAATTCGAGAAAATAAATGTGGGAATATTTGAGGGAACAGGAAAACCCGACCACGGCCAAGAAAACAAAACTGGACATGAATATTCTAAAATATTTCCACGATTGAACAATGTGAACCAGATGACCAATTCGGTTCAGGATATTGGGATTATCCCTTGGCCAATAATATATTGGCCTCGGGATAATCCCAATATCCTGAACCTCAAATAGGATAATCTCTATTTATTCTTTATTTGTGAAAATTTCGAGCTTCAAATGCTGGGTAAAATAAAATGACGTCTATTTGAAAATTCACATGTATCTGGGGCAAAACAGCCCACACAGGTTATAACATACAAGAATAATTGAATTTCGAATACTGATATTTGATTTTAACGTTTGATTTGTACCTTATTTCTTCCGACAAATCAAATGACTAGAATTATGGTAGGGGTTAAAAATACTTTATCTGTCAAAGGTTTAAACGTCTGAGATAAAATGTGTGCAGACGAGTCTTGTGATTGATTTATCTTGGTTTTAAAACCCATGTAACAGAGGGTGGGCCTTTCCCCACGCATGGGCCGTTTTGCCCCACTCCCAACATTATTTTTGACCATTGAAAAATCACAGAAGAAAGTCCTAGGCAAGTATAAAAGACTAAAGTGGAACATCAAAGTGCGCGATGATTGACAGATAAGAAAATACCCCGAACGGAACAACTTAAAATTTAATTTTTAGGGCCGTTTTGCTCCATGTTCCCTTAGCTATAAATCAAAAATGGAGACGAGATAGTCCAAAGTTACAAGACAATTATAGGGCGCGTACTAGCTGCACAAGTCTAATTTAATTCTCACGGGGGATAAGCAAAACGAGGGCGAAGCCACGGACTGCGACTCGCGTAATTCAAAACGAGATTACAACGCATTATAGCTGAACAATGGCGGTAAGTCCAAACTTAATTTGGAAGGCATGTTAGGATTTGGGGTAGATTATTGGTTTGGATATTCTACAGAATAGCTAGTATGTTCCAGTCGGTGATCAACATATTCATACTCCACCTGCAATGGCATTCTTGGTGCTCGGCTGTCCAATAGTTTAGCATGAACACAAATGAATTCGAAATCTGCCACAAAAAATGTAATTTTGTCAATATTTGTCCCTAATATACCGATTTAAACAAAGGAATCAGAAATGACATCGAATTAATATAATTATTCATGTTCTGTTGTTACAATTACATCTTCGTGTGATATTTGGTAAGCGGAAAACGTACAATTACATAGACAATTGGAATTTTTGATAGTCGCAGTCCATCCATCTGTCCAACGCAGTCTGCGACTCAGTGTTGCTTTATATCTGAAGCTGAACGCAATCACAGCCAAAGGTAGATAGCACAATGTGTGTACAGGTGTGGCCGAAATGGAGCAACTTTGGACAAAATTGAATATAAAGGGCTATTTTAATAGACCTACATCGTGTCTCAATCCATTCTGCAAATATATACAAGCTGTCAAATACAGCTGAAATCATGAATTTATGGTAGCTAGCAATATTGATGGACTGTTGGAAAGATCATCCAAAATTACATTAACTCACCAACTCTCCAATTATTTGATATTTTCCTGATATCTTAAATACTAGTTAATGTACCCTTCCCCAACAGCTTTTATTGCATCATCAAAAAGTTAATTGTTTCGCATTTCTACTTCTTATAAAAAGTCTCACCACTATCCAATTATCTATATATTTAACCCTATCCACAAATTGGTTTGTAATAAACATATTACGTTGTCATCTTGCGCTCGACTGTTCTGCCAAATACGCTATTGAATTGCCATATTTCTAGGTCTTAAACGATACAATATAGCAATTTGGGACATTGATTCAGGTAATAGATATATGTTAATCAACGTAACTTTGAATGATAATCTGGATGCTGACTTTCTTTTCCTGAAACAATAATAGCGTAGGAATATAGTTTACACTTTCTTATTTATTTCGTGTTCGCGGCTGGACTGCGTTGCTTAGAATATCAATGGAGGCTGTGTTGCGTTGTTGAAATAGCTTTGTTTACTGGACTGCGTCCACTATGAATGCGCAGTTTGAATCTAATTTTCTCCTCATGAACACATTCTATTATCAAATCATTTTCACGAATTATACTCGGAGCCTCAACTAACCTTTAGATATCAGAAACGTGTTAAAACTCCTTTCAAGTGTATAGTAAATTAAATAATATGCACATATTTTACAGGTAAAATCAGAACTTTGCTACTGTTTTAGCTTGATCTGGACAACTGCTTATTTTCTTATCTACAGACCAACAGTAGATACAGAGTAATATTTTGGTAACCGATTAGACACTACGATAGCATTTAAAATTCCTGGATTTCTCTATTTTGTCGGAAGAAGCAGAAGGCACTGCCGAATGTCCCTCCATTTTGGCGCTGGGCTGCGGTGTAAAGTTACGCGAGTCGCAGTCCGTGGCTTCGCCCTCGTTTTGCTTATCCCCCGTGAATTCTGTGAACTTTTTCTTTTCGCTATGGTTTGAAGTTGAACCATTAAAAATCCACCCATAAACAGGCCAGGCCTGTATTCGAATTCGAATTATACCATACCTTCTTGACAAGCATATATACCATAACCTATCGTTTTACACGTCCTTCCTGATGTGGTACACGTATTGTCTCCGTAGCAAGGGACGTGTTTATCTAAAAAATGTATAATTAAATCACCGACTATGGGTAATATATGTTTCCATTGGCACCTGCTGAATTGTTGAGCAAGTTTCCAGATGCCCCTTGATTCAGTGTATGTAACCGATCATTGTGCACCATTTGATGAACGTAATATAAAAAAGCTACATGGTGATGACTTGACAGCAGGGTGATATTACGTAAAAAGTGGGTTTCTCATTTCGACTGAAACCCAGTTCGTTGGTTCTTAATGGATCTAAATGATATCTCAAGGTACGTACACTCCTCTTATTTATTTGAAGGATATAACAATACACGACTCTATAACTGATAACAACGCAAAGAACCGGTATGCCAAAATGTGCCAAAAAGATGAAAGACCCCAAAACGTATACAAACACAGAAAACAAAGATAAGAGGAAAACAAGGAAAACAAATCCCCAAGATCCCAACGTATAAAGAAACGACGTGTTACACCCACAATTTAAGATGGTTTAGCCTCGAGATCACCTTGGTCACGAGTGATAACATCAGTATTACATGTTGAAATTGATAAAATTGTGATTGACTTACATCTGCAAGAATATTCTGTGTTTGTCAGAAGATAACAGTCCGCTGAAACAAAAGTCAACTTCATTAAACGCATCTTTAGCTAAACTCAGTGTATAGCTTACTTCAAAATATAACTTGAACGTGGAAGTAAAGTTCCTTATACCAAATTTTTCCGTCAGAAGTTTCTTTAAAGAATTTTTTATTCGCAAACATGTGCTTCTTGTATAGCCACGGAAAGAGTAAACAACACATGGTGTTTTGTAAAAAGTTTTAACTTACGTGAAATTCCAGTGCCGAGGTTTAAACCATCGCAATAATGAAGTATTCCAAATAAAACTAACGGAACACTAAGAAAATTTAGTGTTAGGTGATTTTGTCCTATGACACAAACCATAGTAAAAAATAAAATAGATCTTTGAGTACAATATTAATTTGTAAATCGAAATTAGAACACAAAATGCCATCGGCTCTTCGTGACGGATTAATTTCAGTAACAATGTAATTCTGATCTTGTTTCATTTCTGACTCTTATTACCATTTTAATTAATTAATTTAGGAAAAACAAAATGTCCATATAAAAACGGACGTATAACACGACAGTAACCAAGACACAGAGTGAACAATATCGCATCCTTGGATCAATATGTGCCGTACATTAGGGTAAAAATAATTTGCATTAATGCGTTTTTGGTGGCCAGCTTAACATTTAGCATCCAAAAAGTTACAAATTCAAAATCTTCATACCATAAAACATCTCTGAAAACATTTTGAAATACGTAGACAATGAATTTGGAAAAGATTTCTAGTTGGATAAACCAAGAGCGGATAACAATACCCAGCTTGTCGAAAACGAATCAAAACTTGATATTCATACGAAAACACGACTTTAAAATATCGAATATCCTTCGTATTTTTTTCACCAGCATGCCCAAAAATAACCAAATATCAAATAAAACTAACCTAAAACTCCAAAATGTCCAAAAGACATGTCACTCCTATATAGATTTACAAAGAAGCAGTTTAAATATTTCAACAGATTTACCGGAAGTACGTAGAAAAGAATTCGAGACGCCTGTGAAAGTGTCAGAGCCTGTGTATACCAGCAAACCAATCCAACCCACAAACGTTCTAAATCATGTAGAAAACCTTATTGGAGTGCTGAGCTTCAATCATTATGGGATAAGGTTCAAAAAGCTGAACAAACATGGATACAATGCAAAGATACAGCGAAAAGACAATGTCTCAAAGCAACTTATTGTATTGAAAGGCGTTGTTTTGATAGAAGTCTAAGGAAAGCTAAGCGCAGATATCAGAAGCAAGAACAAGACCATCTATTTGATCTGTACAAATCATCCAGTTCACAGGACTTTTGGAAATACATAGGGAAAATAGGAATAGCCAACGAGCGTACCAAAGATGTTCCGTGGACAATGAAAAATCAATCTGGTGAATTGGTGTATGATAAACAGCTAGTTCTGAACCACTGGGCTGACACATATGAAAAATTATATTCATCCGCTCAGAATAATTCTATGTTTGACTCTGAACACTTAGAATATATAAAACAACAAGTAGCCAATATAGAAGGTAATGTTACTGACAATAATTTAGACATAAATAAAGATATTTCATTTAAAGAGGTTGTAGAGGCAGTCGGTAGGGCCAAAGTTCGTAAAGCTGTAGGAATTGACTCTATACCAGCCGAGGCTTTGAAAAATCCACTTTGTATAACCATGTTACACAGAATTATGGTACTCTGTTTTAACTCTGGCACTGTGCCAAGTCAGTGGATGGAGGGTATTATACACCCAATATATAAAGATGGAGACCCATGTAATCCTCTGAACTATCGTGCCATTACATTAATATCTGTGCCTTGCAAGGTCTACACTGATATTTTGAACAAGCGCCTAACTCAATTCCTTGAGGACAATAACCTTATTCATGATGAACAAGGGGGCTTTCGCAAGGGACGTGGTTGTCAAGAACAAGTTCACAGTGTATACTCAATCATCAATAATAGGAAACTTTCTAAGCTTGATACTTTTATTTGCTACATTGACGCAACTAAGGCATTCTCGAGTGTTAATCGAGACTGCCTATGGTATAAACTCAATAAGATTGGCATCAAAGGCAAAATCTTTAAAGCAGTTCAATCCCTATATGAAGATGTGACATGTAACATTCGCATAAATGGTCTACTATCTCCAAAAGTAAACGTAAGCAATGGCTGCCGGGAAGGCTGTCTGCTATCCCCGACATTATTTTCAGTGTATGTGAATGATCTAGTGTCCGACATTAACAGTCTACAATGTGGAATACAAATGGAGGACGAGAACATAGGCATCCTTCTTTATGCTGATGACATAGCGCTTATTGCAAGCTCAGCTGATAACTTACAACAGATGTTAAACACTCTACATGAATGGTGCCGCAAATGGAGACTTCTAATTAACCCTCGAAAATCTAAAATAGTGCATTATCGCCCAAAATCACATCCTAGGTCAGACTTTGCTTTTAAATGTGGGGACTTTGATCTGGATTATACAGACACTTATAAATATCTGGGGATCTGGCTCCAAGAGCATGTGGACTCAACACACTCTGCCAGAGAAATTGCAAAATCGGCAAATAGAGCCCTGAGTGTAATTATCAGCAAATACAAGCAAACTGGGGGTATGGAGTTCGCAGTTTACAACAAGCTATATGACTCTTTAGTCCAGCCTATACTAAACTATGGTTCATCTATATTTGGCCTCAACCAACATCAATGCCTGAACAATGTTCAAAATAAAGCTGGCAAGTTCTTTCTAGGTGTAAACAAACGCACTAGTAATGAGGCTGTTAGAGGAGATCTCGGATGGGACACTCCACATTTAAAACAAAAGGTGGAATGTGCTAGATTGTTCATTAAACTGAAGTCCATGAATCAGAATAGGCTGAATTTTAAAATACATGAATGGTCCATTAAACGGAAAAGCAGTTGGGACTTTAAAGTTAATTCAATGTTAAATACATGTAATATAAATTTCACTGGTCATACCAAGGACATTTTAAAACAGTTTACCAACTCTCTTCGAAATTCTGATAAATTTATCCATAACATATGGGATGATAGAAATAATGAAATTAATGGCAATAAATTGAGGCAATATAGACTGTACAAATATGGTGTTTGCAAGGAAGGGTATTTGGCCCTACCAAAGCATCACCGTAGGTCACTCGCTAGATTCAGAACTGGTACTTTACCCTTAGCAATTGAAACAGGGCGCTACACAGGTATACCATTACACGAAAGGAAATGCTTATTATGTGACATGAATTGTATTGAAGATGAAAAGCATTTCTTATTAGAATGTAGCCATTATGATGATCTAAGATGTGATTTTTATGAAAATGTTAAACAGAAATTGCCTTATTTAGATGTAACATCAGCCAATTCTACACTTCTTTTTGTCTCCATTATGAATTGTACTTCACTCCAAAGACCATTAGGAGCTTTAGTTTATAATATGTGCAATAAGAGATCTCTTAATATTGATAGGCTATAATCACTAAATGAGTATGCATGTCACCTAAGTTTCCTTTATAAAATATTTATTTAAAATGTATCTAGTCAGAAACTCCTTGGTTTTATGATGCCTCTTTTTAGTGCTTCGAGCTATCAACCTTGGGGAAGATGGTCTCAATTCACTACTGCAGAGGTGTATATTATCTATGGGGTTCTTTTTTTATTATTTATTCACTGCTCATGCAAATCACATTTAGTGCAATATATGTATTTATTACTCAATATGCATCTCACATTTAGTGCAATATATGCATTTATTGTAATATTTGTCTTCAAACATATGCATTATGTATTTCACATTTAGTGCAATATTCATGTTAATTGTAATATTTGACCATATGCAATATACTACTTACATTTAGTGCAATATATGTATTTATCATGCAATATGCATCTCACATTTAGTGCAATACATGTATTTATTGTAATATTTGTCTTCAACCGATGCATTGTGTATTTCACATTTAGAGCAATGTTTATATTTATTGTAATATTTGACCATAGTGCAACATGCTACTTACATTAAGTGCAATATATGAATTTATTGTTATAACAGTCTTCGACCATATGCATGATACAATTCACATTTAGTGCGATATTTGTATTTATTGTAATTTTTGACCATATGCAACATGCTACTCTCATTTAGTGCAATATATGTATTTAATATAATGATTGACAATATCATTCCATGAACTGCTTATTTATTTATGCCAAACTGATTAATCAGACTGAATTTATATCATTGGTTATTAATCATGTATAAATTTTTACCAGGGACATTTTTTGTCTCTGTCTTTATGAGTGTTGACCCAAGCTGCCCATTGGGGGTAGTAATGGGTGACACTCAGATATAATGTATACTGTGTCTCATAAGTCGGCACCGGCTGGTGATGTTACAAAATGTTGTTTTTATTATGTATTTTATATGTATATTGTAATGTCAGTGACACAAAAATAAACTATTTTAAAACTAAACTAAAAAAAACTGTATAGGAAGGTATCGATAAAACATTGTAGATGCACAATAAATAAATATTATAAAGGGTAGCCATATGGCAGGTGAAATAAAGCGAAGAAAATCAACGTAAATTCATGGACAAGTTACTCCACGTTTTTATTGTTTACTTACTGTCAAACGGTTTTTAATTACAGTCAAACAGTTTTTAATTTTATCTTAGTATATCCAGTTAAGAAACTTGAACAATCGTGATTTGTTCAGGGTAAAACTATCAATTTTTACCACAGATTTACCCTTGAGGCGTTTGGTTGTACATGTGGGGAGCCTCTGAGCTTCACGCGATATCAGGCCCGTAGCCAACTCTTGCCACTTTTCAAAAATTTCCAGGGGGGGGGGGGGGGTTCACATGTGACAATTCTAGCCCTTAATTAAGTGCTCAGAATGGTGAAAAACTACATGATTTTGAAAAACTTTTTGACCGGGGAAGATCATAATCGCTCGAACCCCCAGAATTCCCTTGACTACGGGCCTGTAACCACACTTAATAATGTGCTTTTGTTATTTTTGTATTTTTATTTTCTATTTAAAATTGCAAGTGGTCTATTGATGTTAAATTATCTATTTGAATAGCATTTCCTTAATTCACAATTGCAAAGTCATTATTATTATAAATTGCACGTCCGCTTTTCTGTAACTGATCATTATATCTCGCTTGAGTTATTGGGGTAGTCATGATTCATTTCAATATCCACTTCTATATGTTTGTGCTTCCAATGTGTGAATTTAATGCAGTGCAATGCCTTGTATGTGAAGGAGGCTTTCATCATCCACCGGCGAGGAACAACACGCCTGGTATCCATCCTCAATTTTTTTTTCATCACTTTTCACTCCATCAAATTCAATATCAACTTCTTCTCCGAGACTATCGTCTTCAGAAACGTCACTTTCGCTTCCGCAACACGACATGCAGTAGTCGAGATCATTTTCAAAGTGACTTCGACACATCGGACAAAATGTTTCAGTATGGCTTGGAACAATGATCGGTTCCAGTCTCCTATTGGGTTTGTCTGTATCAACATTCAGACATTCGTCCTCTAGTTTTTTAACACTGTCATTTACTTCTTTTTTGGCAGCTTTATACGTGTTTCCAATTCCACGTCCACTTCTCGAAAATGTGTTCGATAATTTCCCTCCGCGTAAACTGTATCTCGGTGTATCGTGTGTATTTGATTTCTCCTTGACGGAAGGTGTCCCACTGCTGAAGACATACTTGTGCGACTGATCATACGAAGTGTTCACATCATAATACGTAGGCCAATGTGCCTTTTTATGATCATTCGTGCCTGCTACTTCGAGCGATTTGCAAACAATCGTTGAAGCGTTGTGCGTTTGAATTTCTTTAATTCTCTCTGTTTTGATATCTCTCTTACCCCTATGTGAATATTTCAATTTGGGGGAGAACTTTAAGCTGTTCATACCTATCGGCGCACTCTTGCACATTACCCTAGTTGGCACAAAGCTACTAATTCTTACATGATCTAAAGTTGAACTTTGTGATCGCAGCGAATTAATCTTGTGAGTGACAGGTACATTGTCTTTCAACACTCCATTGTTTGTTAATGAAGGGCCCTTCATGTCTTGAATAAATCTATCAATGTCCACCGTATCATTGTTATATTGATTTTCAATAGATTCTACACAGTCTGAATTAGCCGCACTATTTTTTCCGTTGTTTTTTAATAATGTTTCCAAATCGTGTCTTGCTGAAGAGATTTTTTCTATGTCCAAATCAGTTTCACCTTTGTTTATTAAACTAATATTGAATAATGGCAGGCTAACGTGACGCTCCAAGCAATTTTTATTCTTTTGTCGTATGGTTGAAGACACACATGGTATATCCTTCCGTGAAATTGCTAATTTATACGGCGTCGTTTGATTGTTATCACATAACATATTATTTCTCGTGGAAACAAGTCTTTTTGTAATATTTCTGCCTTCGATGTTCAACGCTGGGAAAAGTTCTTTTCGTTTTTTCGAAGGAATTCCAATATTTTCAAAATGTGTTGTATAAGAATGGAATTTTGATTTGTTATGTGCACGTCTACCCTGTAGAACACCCACATCCACATTTGTAGTCCTTCCTGGGTCTTTTGTCACAGCAGTCGAAGCATTTGTGCCATGTCCTAGGCATTTTACGTCGCCCTTTAGGTTGTAACGGCTATCATATGGCACATGCACGGAACCTTTGTCAATTATATGAAAACTTAATTTCTGTTTATAATCGGAAGAAAGGGGGAAACGAATCCGCTGTCGCACTGGTCTGCTGTGTCGCAATGCAATGGACGGCAAACCTCCCCGCTGTAACAAACTATCTCGCAATCGTTGCGTGTAGGATTTTCCGGATTTGTTTGAAAGTGGAATTGCCATCATACAGATTATTTCACGATGTGTTTGTTTTAGAGAGAGTTAAGTCTTGTATCCAGGACATATCAAACACAATATATGTAATCCGTGTTAAGAAACTTCAAGTATGTTTGTTAATAAATAGTCCAGATTGATACCCTCCTCGTAAACACAACTTAGATTCCACATAGTTCAGTGTATTTAGTTGATTCAATTAGTTTTCACTCTTCATGCATTTATATCACTGATTAGAATTTAGAATGTAACGTATCCCTCAAACTTGTTACTATTGTTTATTTTAGTAACGATCAACACAATAACGTACTTGATTGAGTCCCAGCGTTTGGACAAGAATGTTGCTCTCTTAAAATAACAATGCTCTTTTCGTGATTACTTAGTTATACTGGTTGCTAATCTATAAATCCTTGCATATCTGAAGTAGCACTGTCGAATATATGTAATTATCTCAAGAGCATCCCTAGACTGCTCTTTTTCACACCAAATAAGACTGCATTTATCAAGGTTTTTAAAATTTTAAAAGACCTCCACTCTCCATCATATCTGGCACTTAACTATTCCGCTGGATTGACTCAGATGCCAGTGAATACACTTTTAAAAATCCAAAGTCGATATTCAATAAAACATTTTCCGTCTATCCGAAAGTTGAATTTAGGGATTAAGGAGTTGATTGTAAAAGTTCCGAAAAGATTTGTAATCACTTGTTGTAATGTATTAAATGTACTATTCTATTCGGATCACACGCGACTTGCATTAATCTTTTTAATCCATTCGTTGCTTGACTAAAGTTAATCTATGGACAAAGTAATCCTAAAAACTCATATAAATATATTTTATTTAGGACCAAAATTTCTGTATATTTCCAATGGAATAAACATTATAGGAGGCAATCAGGTTTGAAGTTCTGGCCATATTTGTCATTTTCATTTTACACACTCCAAAAGTGTCAAATATAAAAAACTGTAGATGATTTTCTAATCCATTGAATGCAATGGGGTAGGCTCATGGATTTGATAGCCACCTGTCTGGTCACTGGTACTCACTTAGTTACGCTGACGATCCGTTTTCGGTAAGATGTTTTTATTACTCGATTCTACACCACTTATGAGTGCCGTTGTGGACAATGTGGACAATGGCTCAAAGTTAAGGAAGATAGTCTAGTTTGAGAATATGCAGGCGGTTAAGTGGTGCAGAATCGAGAAATAAAAATATCTTACCGAAAACGAAGCCCGGAAGTTCTTCCATCTTGTTACGCTGACGTATTGTAGGTGAGTACCAGTGCTGGTGCCCAAAAACAAAATTAACTTTCCGAGCCGCTATCCAAACACCAGCGGTGTGAACAAATTAGGCACTATTCTATCCCAAATTGTTAAATCATCTGTATTCAGTTCAGTTGATTCGTTGCCATATCTTGAGATAACCCCCAATGCGTACACTGGGAAGAAATATTGGCCGTATTCAATCTGCTTGTCGACCAAATAATCAACAATCCCCGGTGTTGTCCTGCACTGCATTGTTGATATTGATACGATAAGTTCAGCTAGCTCTTTGATTACTTTGTAATTATCCCCAAGTACTTTCGTCTCAAGGAAATCGGCAAACTAAAACAAGACGGCCATGGCATGTAACTGAGGGAATGCTGCCAACATATAGATATTTAAGCAAGAAGCTATATTTGTATATAGGGGGAGCCCAGAGACGGTGGGTCTGTCTGTCCGTCCATCCGTCTGTATGTCTGTCCGTCCGTCTGAACGTCTGTCCGCCTGAACGTCTGTCCGTCTGTCTGCGGTCTGCCTGTCCATCGGTCGGTCGAACGGCCAGTCTGTCAGTTAGACGTACTGCCTGGACTTTTTTTTAGTATGTATGTCGGTTAGTGTATTGTCAAAGGTATTTGGGCGACGCCCATCGGATTGCAATCCCAAACACTCACTGTGGTAATCTCTCCACATCCTTTACTGGCAGTTATGGTTCTTCTTATCTTGTCACCTTCTCTAAGTTCCGTTGCAAGAGCTGCTTCCAGAGCGCGTTTTGGTGTCGCCCAGTGAGTCTCAACAGGTGCCTGTTATCGGAGATGGATAAAGACCTATAAGCTCGTTAAGAACACAAGGAAATGTATCTTATTTGGTAACATTGCGCGACATTGAAATGTCATGTCATTAATGACATTTCATTGTTGCGTGTAAGCTTACATGTCGATTTGTAATGAGGATTGACGTTGTTTGGTCAACAAGCTAAACATTGCTAATCACCAAGATCTCTTGTAATGTCAGACAGATGTACGGATCACATTAATTAGTTAACTTACTGGTACGGTATCGAAGTTCAATGGTAATCCTAAACTGTTCATTTTTCTATTAATACCAGTCATTGTCCGCATCTTGCCAAGGAACGCTGACGTCAGCATATACTTGTTGAACCCACCCAATGCAACATCGTGACGATCAAAATGATTTGCCTGAAATAGGAAAAAGTCAAACGTTACTTAACCCTCGACTAATTCAACCCTTTGCAATTGCTCTTCAAAAGAAGAGCTTCATCCACACTCTTTCAATAACAGACAATCCGTTGATCTACTCTTATCCAATCAGAAAAGGTCGATCAAAATCTAGCAACCCAATCAGAATATTGCAGTCACTATTGGCTGCATTGGCGAATTCAACTATCGGCTACCGGGCTGATCACTGCTCGTCAACTAACGCGTTGTGCGTTATTTCAACTTCAAAATGACGGGCTAATTTACGCGAATAAATAGATTAATCCGGTAGCCGGCAGCCGGTAGTCATGAATACAAGCTTAGTTTCATTCCTACAATTCTGATCGGTAACTCATCGGTAAAAGGAAAACTATGTCATACCATTGCCAAGTACGTGTAGAATGAAGAATACATTCCGGATGTTAGTTCTCCAGATGTCTCTTTGGTAGCACGGACACAAGGAGACTCGGCTGCAACAGAAACATAACTAACATGTATATCAGAACCGCTTTGGAAAGATATAACGATGTGGTTACTAATGGTATGTCTGATACTGTGAATGTGCCTAGAATATTCTCTCTCCCTTGATGAAATGAGTGACCGATTATAGTTCATTTTTCCTAATTTTATTAATTTATTACCAATAAAAACTAGGTAGGTCAACTATAAGGAGGGGGGGGGGGGGGGGAGGTGCAGGGGTTGTTATTACCGGGGGACAGTTCAATTTGTTTATCGAGATTTCGCCCAGTTTCACTTGCGTACTCACATTTTTATATTCCCTCTGTATCATGATAATATGCGTTCTGCATTTAATCGATTTATGATCAGGATCATTTTATTTAGTTTTCAATTTCAGAGACATTTGTTTACTAAATTAACCAAGCGAATCAACAAACACTGAGCAAAATTAATAATAGTCGCATTGTCGGTAGTTAAAATAAACACAACGAAAAATTGACCTTAAAGGGTAGTTAATACCTCTACTCAGGTGAACTAGGTTAGAATAATGGGGAAGTTAAGTTACACATTATGGAGGTTCATGGAGTATCAGAATGAGGGAGAGGGGGTCACAAATGCTTGAAGAAAGGCGATGTACATTTAAAAATGATATATACGAACGTGTGTTGCACAAATCGGTGAAGCAGCAACTCAAACAGCGAAATGGCCATCTGGTTATGTTACATCGGTTACTTGACCAGACTTCACATTTTTTGGTTTTAATGCAGGATTGCTGGACTGTTTCTGAAATGTTCTCTCTCCAGCGAATTAAACCAATGGTCATCATGCACGCCTAATCAAAAAGAAAACCTGAATATAAAGTACCATATTCATCTGATCATTTTTTCGACAAAATGTAAGACTCTATAGTGAAACCCGAAAGATTGTTTTTTCTCTGTTTAAAATCTCCGTATTTCAATTACTCAAGAAACTTTTATTTTTCTCCAAATTTGGGGTGAAAATTTTGAATACTTATATTTTAATTTACCTCATCGGCTCGACAAACTCTTGTGGTCTCACATCGGGAAGTGCGGGCATGAATATGGGGACAATTGTAGCATATGGCACCTGTAAAATAATAAAAACTTGTTTGATATTATTTTGAGTAAGGGATATGTGTTTTCGGAAATTATTTAACATTGTCATTTCTTCAAGAATCTCTTGAATCATAGCACACCATTTACTTCCATACGTTTTATCTCTAAATGGTCCAAATGGTCAATTATATATGATATCTGGTATTAATATTTTCGCCAATGTTACAAAGCTAAAAGTAAGCTGTTTCAGCGGTATGATAATTTTTATTCAGTCATTTCACAACATGCCAAAGCATCACTATATATAAGTACTCTATATTTGGGCACTGTTCTATATTTTAAATGCTATTAAATACCTTTCGTATACTTTCCGTACACCTTTCCTGGTCTTTTCGAAAACACACACAGAAAGAGCGTTCCTATAATCCACGTTAATAAACTTCTGCTGCAAGGCAACATTTCAATTGCGAATCACTGCATCGATACGTTTGTATTTATTGATCATTAGATTGTCATTTTACTGTCCACTGATCATATCAATCTTGTCCAATGGTCAACAGATAAATGCAAATTATTAGTAGAAAGAACAGTTTTTCAAAACAAACAAAACTGGTAAAGGATCAATGATTTACGAAGGGTGGTGACAAAGCTATATCTATATCTCTCTATTCTTATTTTTCAATATATTTTAAATGGAACATACAATAACTTAACAATCCATGAAAAGTGTATAGTATAACAAAAACATTTAATTGGAAATGGTTGCCATAGTAACCAAAAGTAAGGGTGCCCGGGAAAAATAAAAAATGCGAGTTTTTAAGTTTGAGTACCCGAAATACAAACTTTGCTGTCCAGAAACGAACAGTGTAATGAAATTTTGGTCATATTTTGCTGAATGTAAAATATCCAAGTATTTATGTATCCAAGTACCATACTTATTCTACTCGATATCCCTAAAGAGAGCTTAGACCGCATAAATGTTTTCATGAATAGAACGAATACATTAAATATACTGCCCTTACTAGCTTAACCTATTGCAAGTAAACATCCCATCAGATTGGGAAACGACAAATACCACGCACGTAAAATTTTTTGCCACGAACCATGATGAATACGTTTAAATTAAACACTTGGGGTTAAAAGACACACACATGTATGTCAACATTTCCACTTGAATCGCTCGATACATTGATACGATCTTGTTGCATTGGGATGGATAACTTAAGGTTGATGACCCAATGAGTCTATACGATGCTAATTGAGTCTTAAAATTATTGTGTGGATATTTGATAGGCAGCAATTGAAATACATTTGGATTCATTCATAAAAATAGGCGTGGCATTATGATCCCAATTGGATTATAGTATAAGACCGATACACTACTTATAAAGAAAACTATATAAAGATATTGATATATATATATAGTCACAGAGTCAACATTTAACGATGGCCAAGGTGAGTCATGGGGATTGGAACTAGTCACCACTTCATTTATATTGTATATACTAACCATAGGAATTTACAAGACCAAGTAGACTTTCGTAACTTCAAATATATAGAAAATAGTACAGGTCTGTCATTTTTGCCCCACCCCATGCTACTACGTTTATGAAATGCCAGTCGAAAGGATGCAAGGACATGAAATGGGGGCACACAAGGACATGTGGGCACACACAATGACCTGTACACTGTGTTTACAATACTAGTCAACAATATCAAAAATGAAAGTATTTAGAAGTGTATGAGGACTGTTCAAGGTATTCTCAAGCACAATGTAGATTTAACTTCAATACTAAAGGTCTTGAAATGTCAATATATTACATTTACCCAATTCAAAATTTATTTTCGGATTAACACAACTAGTATAGTGTGTCAGTCATTTATACATTTCTCATCATCGATATCACGGAACCTTATTCTGCCTCCGTCCCTTGTAGTCTATTGGAGGTTGGGACATTTTAAGGTGACATCTGGTTGATGTTTTCTACTATTTTCCTTGTATTTCAGAATTTTGAACAGTATGATAATCCAGTTTATGTCCCATCTGACTCCGGAGCACCCCCACCACATACGTCCAGTAGATCTTCAGGCTTTAGAGACTACAAATTTTCAGAAACTAGCGACAGAAACGTTCATGCTATAACATTTGAAAATACAGGCAAAAATAAGAAATACTGGATTATAGGAGGCATTTTGATAGTGCTAGTTTTCATAGGAATTATAGCTGGCCTGGTCTACTACTTTTATGGTAAGTCGAGAAGTGATTGTGAGTATGATGTGTATGCGAATATACGATTAACTCATACCCCGAGCGCAGAGTAACGTTAAAGAAAGTTAGGTCAAACGAATGCAAAGGGTAATTGACCCAATTATTAGAAATATCTCTAATGAATTTTCGATTGGAAAGCCCATGAACAGTCTAATGTAAATATGAATACATGTGGTGCAACTAGGATTTATTCAACATCAGCCATGTTTTAACAAACATATCCCAGTTTGGATATAGATTACTCGAATGAAGTCAAATATAAATATTAATCTGTGTAAACGCAAAATAAAACGCTAAATATTACTGAATGGTAATAAAACAGGATTCGTAGTGCATCTTTTGCACCCCATCACAAGAGTTTGCAGCAGCACTTCAGCACACCACACCACACCACACCACACCACGTCACCACACTACGTTATATCATCAACGCCACATCACACTACCCCGCCCCGCATCATACAACAAAACACATTTACATGCATTTACAAAGGCCTTATATTGTAATGTGAAATGACGTGATGGATAAAAACAGCAATGATTGTCTTGAAAACTTCAGTTTGATGTAAAATTATCATTTATATGTGGAAAATTATGTTGACATTTATTTTGCGAAATTAGAGCAATGTTACTAATCTAAACCTCTTTTTGACCTTTACAAATTTTATGGGGCAATACTAAATGCTATTGAAATAATGTGCGCTTTACCTTGCACAAGTCATTTTCGCTCCATCTTCAAATTATGTTACAAATAACAGGGCATGCGCAGAGACAAGTTACTTTTGAAAATAGGTCTACCAAGAGGTGTCCATTTATAGATCACATTAGAATCATTCTTCTCATATTTTCTAGATACTGGAATATATGGTGATATGAGTAAAAGAATGGGTGAAAAACCAACAGTTACAACTTATTCAAGTACATCAGTGCAACCTATAACAACTACAACAACGACACCAACAGCAGCAACAAGAGAAACAACAACAACGTCAATGAAAACAATTGTAGTTACAACAATTGCTGAAAATACGCCTACGACAGGAACTGGTGGGTTCTTCTTCTGATGTTCTGAATAGTAAATTCTATATCGGAAAAGTAGTTTGGTAGTGGTCATACTATCCATTTATCATATCATATCATATCATATCATATATTTTCATAGACATGATGTACATATTATTATTACTATTTAAATATATTTCGGTTCTTTATCGCGTGTTAGAGGGTTCTATGACTATTAAAAGATGGAATACTGTATGTACAACATACGCATGGACATCATTTCAGTTCTACCAAACAAGTAGCGTGCTAAAGGTTTATATGACCATGAAGGATGAACCATATGCAACATACGGATGAACTGCACACTATATTTCAGTATACCGGCCAGTAGCGTGCTAGAGGGTTCTATGACCATTAAAGATGGGCCATATGCGACATACGCATGTACATTCTGCATACTATATTTCAGTTCTATATACCAGTATCGTGCTAGAGGGTTCTATGACCATTACGGATGGGTCATATGCAACATAGGCGTGTACGTCATACTGCATACTATATTTCAGTTCTATATACCAGTATCGTGCTAGAGGGTTCTATGACCATTAAGGATGGACCATATGCAACATACGCACGTACATACTGCATAATTAATTTCAGTTCTATATACCAGTATTAGAGGGTTCTATGTAATGTACTTAGAACTCTTACATGGATCATCTGGATCATCGTATGGCCAAGTTGCTATTACTATATGACCATTACGGATGGGTCATATCATGGACGTATATCATCATTCATATCTTAGTTGATATACGTCCATGGTCATATGCAACATAGGCGTGTACGTCATACTGCATACTATATTTCAGTTCTATATACCAGTATTGTGCTAGAGGGTTCTATGACCATTAAGGATGGGCCATATGCAAAATATGCACGTACATACTGCATACTATATTTCAGTTCTATATACCAGTATCGTGCTAGAGGGTTCTATGACCATTAAGGATGGGCCATATGCAAAATATGCACGTACATACTGCATACTATATTTCAGTTCTATATGCCAGTAGCATGCCAGAGGGTTCAAAGACCATCAAGGATGGGCCATATGCAACAAACGCATGTTCATACTTCAAAATACATTTCAGTTCTATATACCAGTAGCATGCTAGAGGGTTCTATGACCATTAAGGATGGACCATATGCGACATACTTGCCAGAACTGAGTGTTTTAGACTCTAAACGGACTATGGAAATCAAACGTTTGTTCCAATACCAGGTACCATTTTAATAGTTCTGGCTCTGATACGAAGGGTAAAAAACAGGTACTGTACTTAGAACTCTTATATGGATCATCTGGATCATCGTACATTGTTATTTACTATACATTGATATTTCAATCTCAACCCTCAAATGAACTGCATATCAGTGTTATATACTCTGTCAGTCAATCGTTATAGATATATTAGTTTGGAAAAATCAAAATCAACTCCAATACGAAATACATTTACATACAATACATTTGAAAATGTTCATAGTTAACCAAGGGGAAAATCAGAAACTGAACTCTAAATTAAAAGTTAATCAGGATGTTTTTTTAAATACCTTGTGTTATTATTGCAGATGGATAATGTAGTCAAAACGAGTAAATATGAAGATGATTTTCTGCACAGTTCAGTCCAAGAGCTGAGGTGAGTTGAAACGTTAATTCTGCAACTAATTACTTCTAGAAATGAGTAAGTTCTTTACTTCTATTTTGAGAAACATCTCCCAAATTTAGACAATGAAACCCCCCCTCTCAGCTCTACAAATGTGGCAACCAACTCCCTCATTGGTTGGAAAGCGTATTAGCATGTAAATGATGGATAGAATTTGTTGGATATCGTTTAGCATACGATTCCAGTTAGAACTGAATGCCAAATATTTTGCCAACAGTATCTCTTCTCAAATCCAGGAACTACGATGGTAAAGTCAATATAAAGTACGGCCTCACCTTCTCCAAGAAACAAAACGTTACTGAAGATATGAGACAGGATATAATGGAAATGGTGAAGAACTCTATGGGGAACAATGGCGTCTTCGGAGTCTTCATAATTGATACAGAAAGTATCGATATAGCGTCAGAGGGTAGGTGTCTGAAGACTGAAATGTACATATATTAAGTTCTCGTAGAATTTGTTTCTTTTTAAAAGTAGTACGTTGACAAACCATATCAAGTTATAAGTGAGCTCAACCATCCTACAACTAATTACTTTGAGAGAACGTACAACAACGATTTAACGCCTTAGAATAATGTTTTTCTCTGAACTGAAAAGTAAATGAAAATGTCGTATATTACCTACTGCATTTTGCAGGGCAAGCAGAGCCAGCAACAGAACCACCGGTGACCTATCCAACAGGTAATGCAATAATTATGAAATCGGACAGTTCCAAAGAAAACGGCTACGCTTCACTGCATGTATAGCACTTAAAAAAAAAAATTATTTATTGAAAATACAATCTTGCATTTACTTACCCCATCACCCCAATAGCATATCATAGCATACCCATAGTGTTATTCGTCATTCTTAGCGTTTTCACGATTGCGATGGAGTTATGTGCTAGGTTTCAGGGTTGCTATGGACATTGTACATGAAATACTATGAAATGCCTATTCTATACCGAAATTGTTTAACATGATATTTTGAAACTTACTCAACCTGACCACAATAACTCAGATGCGAGTAGGGAGTTACCAGTTTCGCCACCAGGTGGCTAATTCGGAAATAACAAGGCAGGGTATTACAAAGTTCCCTTAAACTTGAATATTCATCCGTTTTAGTGGTTCACTTTTCATATTACCCTTATATATCTGACAGTTACATATTAAAATATGTCCAGTAAATGAAAATATGATCTGTCAAACAAAAGGAATGATATTTCACCTTCAGGAATTTTACGACATGGTGCCTATGGGGAATCTCCCCGACCTAGGAGTCACATTTTCAAAGTTGATAAACTCTTTTCAAAACCACATTTCTAGAAGTAATTTTACATGTAGATTCAAAGTATGACATTAGTTTGAATTTTTAATTCATGTAATTCAAGATTATTTCTATTCGCATCTAGTCTATTAACATTTTGTTTCAGCAAATCCCGGCCAATGTGTTGCGATAGGGGACATTTCAAGAATCAATTTATGCCAAAAGTTTGAGACGCCATTCAACGAAACTTCTCTACCAAACATCCTAAACCACACTACCATAGAAGAGGCCATTGGTGTGTTTGAACTCGCTTATTCGGTTCTCCATACTGCCACGCATTGCTACGAAGAAGTTGCTCATTATACATGCTCTCTATTCTTGCCTCGATGCTCTGGAAATGAAACTGTGCCATATCACCAGATACCTCCCTGTAGGAGCTATTGTGAAGGTATTGCAGACTATCCATCATTATACCGAAAACTTTACTATTTTGAAACACAACAATATTAAATCTAGTGAAAGTAAAATCACGAATATTTACTTATTATCATCGAGTAATTACTTCTGAATTTTCTCTTGTTTTCTAGAGGTTCATAGAAGATGTGGATTCTTCACTGAACTGCTACGCCCTATGTACCCTGCATTTAATGTCGAATGGTGGTTCCAGTTCAACTGCTCAGACCTGCCAGACTCTGACGACGCTAACGTTTGTACACAGGAATTAAGAACCACTCCTAAAGAAATTGGTATTTCATTTTTACTACATTTATCTTTTTCATGAAAGACATCCTTGGATATTCATTCTGTTTTAATAGATTCCCTCTTTATCTAACGCTTTGGAAAAAGTGTCTCTCATCAAGAGATGAAAGCCCGGGGATAAAAGAGGTCGTAGGAGCCATTGATCAGCATGGAATTGACTCAAAAGCATATGTTGCAATATTATTGAAGCACCTTTGCTTGGCTTGCAGTGTGTGGAGATGGAGAGGTGAAATGTGATGGCGACAGATGCATTCCACACAACTGGCTCTGTGATTCCTACCAGGATTGTGAAGACAACACAGACGAGCAATCATGCTGTAAGTAGCCCCTTTTGTATTTTTGTATGACACTGGCCAAGTGAACCTTTCAAGACATGTAGGTACAGTGCAGACAAGCATTCGCCTTGTGATGTAGCTACCTCTCTATATTTGAACTGCTTTAGCCAACAATATCAAGACATGTGGAAACGATACAGAAAAGCATTCGTGCAGACACTATCTATGTGACCATACCCATACCGTCTGGGACAACATAGACCAATATTTGTGTTGTGAAGTAGCTTTGTAATATCTTTGTATAACACTGCCTAGGTTACCTAATCAGTATAATGTTCCTATGGGGACATTTCAGACCTTCGTAAACTAGCTCCCTTATAGTTATATGGACGTATGAACTTGGTACAATAATTATAACAGAAAATAAGGTGAAAGTCATAACCGTCCTATTGAAGATTTTGATTCCTTTCTCTTTAATTCACATGTTTTGATTTCAGCATTTTGTGATGCGACCCAGCATAAATGTTCAACTGGTTTGTGTATTGAGAAAGCTAAAGTTTGTGATGGGAAGTCTGATTGTGTAAGGGGTCCTGACGAGGATGACTGTGGTAAGTAGACGATACATTTACTTGAATATAAGGTTGTGATGTACTGTGAAGGGATGATATAGCAATTGGGGAAAACCCGCCGGGATGAAACCGCCTTAATTGATCCCAGGAACCAGCATGTCTATGATTCTCCTATTCTCGATCTTGCATGTGCATCATTTTCAAATTGTCACATTTGATAGCAATTACAGGTTATATTTATATTTTTGTATATTTTTTCTTCAGTCCGACTGTACTCTAGCCAAATGGATAACAAGCAGGGCAAGCTGCAGGTGTTTAATGCTGAGACAGATACTTGGGAGACGATGTGTGCAGATAGCTGGAAGGATGATTACAACGGCTGGGTCTGTGAGGATCTAGGATATAACAGGTATTTGTCTTCACTCAGACAACATCCATTTATCTTTTTTACCCCAATTATAATTGACCATAGCTTGGTGTTGTGTTTCTTAATATATTCAAAAATGGGTAACAACTCGGGAAATAGTTTATATTAAGTTTATTTTCCTTTGATATATCACTACATTTTAGACTAAATCATATTTTCAGCATTTTCAGCTAACACAGATGAGATATTCTGTTCATGACCGTGGTTATGTGTAAAATAATAAATATATAATTATCCATTAATGATGCACAGAGAGGGACTTCATTTCAGAGAATCTAGCAATGCTCCAAATCAGTTCTACAACTACAGTCTTGAGGAAAGCAGCACTACAAGTCTGAGAGGCGAAGTTTGGCAAAAAGGTCCACTGACACAAAACATCAATAAAAGGTTTATTGTATTTACTCTAGAATCTCTTGATTCATATTAAGAATTAAATCCATGAAGTATTTGTTCAAACGTCACTGTTAACTGTTGGCTTACTGTCATGTAGTCTGTACCTGTTATCTTTTAGTTTACCACAATTTAGAAACCTCTCATTCTTGATAGAATTTTGAAGAACAGAATATATAAAATTGAGTATATAGGGTAAAGAGTTTGCAGCACTCTAGGGGCAGTGCGCTATATACTGATATATGGTGGTATCGAGCAAATAAGATGTATTTAGCGCACTGCCCCTGGGTGCTACATTGGTGGCAGCGATGGGATTGTGCTTTGTATCAGTTACGACGGGACATCGTCCTTCAGGGGGGGATGACCCTCGATAGCAAGTTGCAAATATAGTTTCGGCTGTAGTGGGTAGCCTCTTTAGCTAAAGCAGTAGAGCGTCAGTCTTGTGAGCGGAGGATCCTTGGTTCGATTCTATTGAAGCACACTCCCTTTCAGGTCTAGTATTTGGCTCGTTACACTACAGCTTCCCCTGGACAAGCTTGCCCGCGGGTCGTTACAATTTCCTTATTGTTACATATGGCCATTGGATGTTCGATTTATAACCGAACCCACTAATATGTGATGAATGAAATTTATATCATAATCAGAATGATTGCTATCCAGGTCAATCTAAACGTGCATATGAATCTGTTTGTTTGTGCTTTCAGTTCCACTTGTACCAGTGGCCAGGGTGTATACCTTGTGTGCAAAGACGTCCAGTGTGGAACGAGGCCAGCTTACCATCCACCTTTGGGAAGAATTGTGGGTGGGAACGATGCCTCCCCAGGTTGGTGGCCCTGGATTGTTAGTCTTGAAGGAGGACCCGGTCAGAAACATTTCTGTGGAGGAGCTATCATAAATGAAGAATGGATCCTAACTGCTGCACATTGTCTTGGAGGGTAAATTGCTTTTTTGTGTGTTGTTCTGTTTGATTTCCCTTGCGTCATGAAATCATCAAAGTAGGTATATTTTGGCATATGTGTAACAATGTCACTTTAATGGAGAAGTGTTGCAAGGGTCATGACTGTCCCTGTTTACATGCCTATTATTGCATTTATCTGACAAAAATTGAATTATTTAAAATTGTATCCATAATTTAATTTATGAAACACAATTGAATGGAATTTGAAAAAAACAGTCCAATTGAAACAAGATGTTTGATATTCACGACTGGAAATATTTCAGGAGAAATACAGGTTATCCCGAGGAGTGGACCATTAGAGCGGGTCAACCGAGAAAAGAAACATTCGGTGCTCATCTTCAGATAAGAGGCGCTAATGCAACATACTTCCATCCAGGTTCTGATCTCATGTATTCTGCTCATCGGTTCTAACTATTATTTTAGGATATCGAATAAATATTATATCTTATGTTATGTCTTTTTGATAGCTAATCCATCAATGGGTCAACTAGAACATTAGTTAACTTGATTAACGAACAGTTCTCTTTTAGGTTGCAAAATTAATTCGAGCCATTGATCAATCAGTATGTACAAAGTTATCACTCAGTCAAACATAGTTAATCAAAATTAATCAGTATTTTAATAATCCCTGTTCTGAATTATTATTTTTTGCTTAAGCTACTCGCTCTCTCCAATATCCCTACAATATATATTCTTTATGTTGTATTTTATGGAACTTTTTTTAGAGTTTGATAAATCTGTCTTCAACAATGATGTTGGACTGATCCATTTAGATGCACCATTTGTGTTTAACGATTACGTGAGGCCTGTGTGTCTGCCACAAGAGGGCGCTGACCTTGAAGAGGGCACGATGTGCACATCGGCAGGCTTTGGCTGGAGGACAGAAGATGGTATTCTTTTATTCATTTTGATAGATAAATCTGCTCTAGCCTCTGTGTCAGTGTTTGAACGTCATATGATTAAAAATGTCTGAGTTTGTCCTCAATCGAATATGGCTTCCCCAGTTTTCATGTTTCTCTTTGTGTTACTCCCTAGATCTGCTAGTTGTGAATTTAACTCACAGTCAGTATACAGTCATGATTTGGGCAAGCCCGAATCATGATCTATTCTTTCTTAAGAGAAGAGTGTATTGATCCTGATTTGGTGGGGTTTCAAATCATTCGACACACAAAGCTCCCTATTTGGTATAATAAAGACGCACTTAACACCGAAGAACACGACCACACGTCGAACTCGATAGTCAGTGTTTTAAAGGACACCAACAAAATTGTAGTTAGAAAATGTATATTTCAGCGGGTGACTATGAGAGGGTGCTACAGCAAATACAGCTGCCAGTTGTGAGTGAGGCACACTGCAAGCAGATGCTAGAACCCTTAGGTTACCAGATAACAGATGAAATGCTCTGTGCTGGTGGTGAAAAGATGCAGGACAGCTGTAATGTAAGTTCATTGACTGATATAATTCTCATACTTACTTCATATATTTATTTCCGGTATTATTGATGAGGTGTACCACGTAAAAACCTTATTGCTCATGTACGTTTATCATTGTTGTTTGTTCCATAAAAATTAATAACGCAATTTCGTTATATCGCCTGTTGGTATTTTTTAAACGATAGGTTTATTTCATTACTTTATGACCTTCTAATCATGCGGAAAATCGCCTTTTGGTATTGTGGGTATTAGTTCGAAAATGTTTTAAATAAAACGGTCATTGACGTTTATTTTGAGGGAAATGATGGATTCCTTTAAGTGTGTCCTGTCAAAACAAGATCCGAAACAATCTCTCAAATATATCTGTACGTATGGTATGGCATTGTGAGCTTTATCTTTGACTTATATTTAAAGACCATAAATACCACCTTTGTTTTCTCCAAAGGTCCAAAGTTACTTATGGGTACCTTAAAACAACAAATGATTTTTATTACATGTATTTTTATTTAACAGGGTGACTCTGGCAGTGCTCTGGTGTCTCAAGATGCGAGAGGAAGATGGGTGTCACGAGGGGTGGTATCTTTTGGTTATTACTGTGGACGAGCCGGATACCCAGGCGTATACAGTAGAGTATCAAGCTTTGTACCTTGGATACATGGAATGATAGCAAACAACACAAAAGTATAGAGCATCGGGGTGGAGCCAGGATCTAAAAATAGACGAGGCAAACATAAGAAGCCATAAAGATGAGGCAAACATTGAGTTGAGGCAATAAAATACATAAGACTTAATTTCCATGGTTTCAATAGAACCATGTTTGCAATAATATGATTCTGTAAAATTTTGGCAAGGCAGTTGTTTCGAATGTCTCATGCCTAGAGTGGCTACGCCCATGGAGCTTATAAGAAGTATGTTGTATCATGAACATGTGTACCTCAGGGACATGCATCATCATAAGAACACGGTTGTACAGTGGACAATGCAATGAATGCCTAGCCAGTGCGAATTTGCACAAGGCAAACACACAAAAAAGCTTAACATCCTGTGCGTTTCATTAGAGACCTCAAAGTTGGTGGTATCATCGATTGCCTGTATAGCTATTAAACAACAGATTCAGAAGTGACTACCGTGACATCAGGATCAACTATTTTATTATGTTGCAGTATAATGTGTAGTCTTGGATATTTTAGAGAATTTTAGTACTACATTTCAAGCCCTAATTGGGGAATAGAAGAAGAAAATGCTCAATGCTGAATCGGTATATTATAGATGTTTAGATATTTTATGTACATGTAGGGAGCTTAGATGAATGTAGATCTTTTAAATAACTTAAGAGATGTTTGGTGGTATGAAAGGGTCCTGTGCACCCAAGTGGAATTAATCTTTCATTTGCAAAATCGAGTTAGTGAAGGACTTTAACTAATTATGGGTCAGTGTTATATTTATATGAATCTTAACATGATTTATAAAATGTATTGAAACTGAAAATTAAAAGTTTGTTTCACTTGGCATGGGTGCAAGTAAGGGTCCATTTCCTTCCCACTAAACTTATAAATTAATGCAATTATTTTAGATATCATATAGCTTATTATATTATATTAGTGTAGTGTATTGTATTAGAGTATCATATAAGTTTAAACATTCCCTTATATACTATATTTTTATACCTTAATATATTCATCAATTAATCCATGAATTTTGGTGATGTAATAAGAGTGCAAGCGTAACCGAATAAAAATAAAGTTATGAATTTGGAAGACTTCATATCATAGCCAGTCAAAGCCTCTTTATGTTTGAATCTTATTCATAAAGGAGGGCGGGAGTATTCGACAGGGCGGATGCAGGGCGCCAGAATTGAATTTTGGACCCAACGTTAACATCCATCATTATATTGTTATAATCCAATTAGTTATGCAATAAATATGTTAATGTTTATAATAAAATGTAATCAATTTTGTCTAGATTTTATTGTACAATTTTTTAGAGGTCGCAACGGTACTGAAAACCAGTACCGGTAACCGTCACGCTAATAACCGTACCGTTACCGAAATACCGGTAAAAATATGTAAGATTTAATGCCAATGATCAGTCAAGCCAAGTAACTAAGTCAACATTCGAAAATAAAAATCTCAAAAATCGTACATCTTTGATTTCCAAAATAATTTGTGAGGTGGTTATTAAGATAATAATACATCTTTTAACGTATTAATTTTGAGTACATCTTGAATCCGTTCTCAACAAAGCGTTGTCGAAATAAGGATTCGAAATATTTGAGTTCGGGATGATAAAAGTACGTTAAGATATACCGCTCCTTAACAAACTCCTTTGGGAACAAGATATAGAATCAAATGCATATTCTTCTTATTTACTCCCTGACACATGCCAACGAATGTTACATAAGTTAATATTTCCGTTTTAATAATTTTATAAACGTTGTTCTCTACAGGTGCCATTTTTTATAATTGAAAAACAAAATTGAACGTTTTGCATTTCTAAATTGATAAGTTTCTTGGAATACAACTTAACTGTTAACGATTTAAGTCATTAATAATATTTCCCTCAGTGATCCCATGCTAAATAGACAGTAACTAGGTTATTATTTTGTGTTCAACCTTGTTTTCATGACTTTTAAACATGAGTCGACAATTATGTAGGAAATTTCAATTCCAAATGTAAGCGTGTCAACTCCTGTTTTTGCACAAAATTTAGCCTTTTATAAAGATAGATCGCCAAAATCTGCATGTACCTCTCAATGAGGCGACACGTTTTTAAATTTATAGATGCTGAGCTATAAACTCAAACAATAATTCAAACCACCCGCTATTATTTTGATTACACTAGACGAAATTTCCACTCCCGGGGAGCACTGTGGTAACACTTTGAAGGAGGATTCTTGAAAAATCGTTCGAATTTTCACAAAAGGTTTCACGCAATTTTATTGCTTTGTTTAAGCCTCAACTAAATTCATACTCAAATCCGATACCATAATTATAAATCAAAATGAAACATTAAACTCAGGTCAGGTTATATGATAAACCGTTTCGAGAATTGATGATTTGAGTTAACTGTGTATATTTAAATAAATGTAAGTCGGCATGTATTCGACATTTAATGTAGACACATGATGTATGCATCCACGTGTGACTTAAATATCGATTCATGACTATCATTTTTGGCTTTCAAAAATTAAGTTGGAAGTTACAGTGGTTGGAGATTAACGAAAACGTCAATCACATCCGAATATCCGAACGACGTCAAGTATTTACAATACCCTTTCTGTGCATCTCGAACAAGGCAAGGTTCTGTGATCCAGCAATGTGTATTCCGAAAGAAAAAAATCACAAATATCAACAAATTTTATTGAGTTGGATATTACATTCGAAATCACAACTTTCGAAATGTTTGTTTTAAACAAGAATTGTAAGAACTTAAAACATGTTGTTAGTTTTTCAAACCGCATATCCTCATTTACGTTCTTTGACAAGGATGAATTCATTAGAAAACATGGATTTTCTTGATTATTCTTCAAAACTACCCTTGAAATATAAGTATGTGGGATATTACAGTGTAAACTGACACGCATTTGTTTCCTCCATATCATGAGAAAATAAATGCAGTACCATCTTTCAATATTTGGAAACAAAAAGTTCATTATGTATGTAAACAAAATACATTTATGGTTGATTCATAATGAAAAATGACAAATAACATACATCTTTTTAAGTAGGGGTATACAGGGACATAGTGGAAATTCAGAAATTTAGGCCATATCCCAAAGACTGCTTCACCAATATGTAACAGAACATCAAATTTATCATTTACACGTTTGCTGATAGGTTTATTGAAAATAATTAAACAGAGGTTTACTTCAATTGTGGCACCATTCTTAGTTAATACTGATGAACATACGAATATCGAATGTTGACTAAGTTACTTGGCTTGACCGTGATGCGCTGCCACCCTCACTTTGTTCCTAACACCCCAGTCACATTTGTCGTACGGAGGCCGTGCGTCGACCGCAGATCAATTAAATCAGTGTATTTCTGCGGCGAGCGTAGGAAAACTATACGCTCGCCTTGCGGCCTCCGTACGACGTATCCAGTTTTTTACAGGCCGCAGGGTCGCCGTAGAAATTATATCTCGGAGTTATAATATTTTTTCATTTCTGAGGTCCCCGTATAAATCAACTGGCTCAACAAGATTGAAACATTATTTGTCAATGTTTCACGATCACTTTTCATTTGATATTACATCCTAGCACTTTGAATAACATTTATTAGTTGTCCCGATGTAAATAAAATGAAAAAAGTATTAATTATCAACAGAAATTTTAAATTCACCGTGCGGCTGCCGTGGGAAATGTGACTGCAAAATTATGAGAGCGCAGAAATTCCACTGCGAGCGTAGAAATGTTACTGGCCGCAGAAATGATAGACCGCAAGGTCGCCGTAGGAAATGTGACTGGGGTGTAACTCTCTCCATAGCTTCTCAAGTCTATATGCATACATGGTGCAAGACTGATTTGAACCCATACTGATGAACTTCACGAAATAGTATGTAACTATCTCACGAATCAAGATGTATTTTTAGTTTTAAATTAAATGTATTACACATTTCAAACCATTTCTCAACTGTATCAATAATGAGTTATTCCGTCCCCACGTAATAGCAACCCTCCTACATCCGACTTACAAAAAGATGATAAGGGCTCTAATGGCCAACGTATGTTAATATATATTTCGTTTATATTTAAATTTAAAAATTAAAACTTACAAAAGGCACGGGAGTTCACATTCTTTTATTTATTTGTTTGCTAAAACACTTTAGCAGAGAGCTTGTACTTTATTTTGTTCACAATTAAAAGCTCAGATACTATCACAAAATATTAAAGTTACAAATATAATACGAAATGTAGGTTATATTAATTCAACGTATTGTCAATGCCTTGTTGTTCGTAAATGACTATTACAAACATAATTCAGTTTCTGGATCTGACGTTGACACTACAACTACACCGGAACCAGGGGCGTAGCCACATATACGCAGAATACGCAGCCGCGTACTACTGAGAGTCAAAAACCAAAAGTGTAAATTGAAATAAATCATATATTTAATCCAATAGTGTTGTTATAGTGTTATGTTTTTAATTGTCAAACAAGTGATCAGAGTTTATTACCGTTTATTACCGTAGAATAGCACCTAGAATCGCTCAGAACGCGCCAAATAAGCCCAAAAATCCTCGCCACTCAGCCTCCGGCCTCGCGTACCTACGCCACAAATCCGAACTGCCAAACATAACTACAACCAAATCTGAGCCTGAGCATGAGGCTACTACACCCGAACTGCCAAACATGGACATCGCACCTGAACTGCCAAACATGGACATCTAAATGTCTATGTAAATGTACGCATCGTGAAAGTGGAAATTAAACGAAATAATTAAAAAAACGACGTGTCTTTTATTTCCCCGGGCATTATCGTCGGTTAACCGGTTAATAATTTCAATACCGGTAAATGCTCAATGCCGTACCGAAACCGTATAACCGGAATTACCGTCAGCCTCTACAATTTTTTCTTCACGATATTGACGCTATATTTACATCAAGCATGTATGTATTGAAACACATAAAGATGTTGGACCATGTAAATTTCATTGTCAGTTATACGGGTACATGTGCACTCAGATGTTCATTTTGGACAAGAGGAATATTGCTTATGTTATCTTCTCATATGGCAAACTCATGCAATTCACACCAATATTGCTTATGTTATTTTCTCATATGGCAAACTCGTGCAATTCAACACCAATATTGCTTATGTTATTTTCTCATACACTGTATGGCAAACTCGTGCAATTCAACACCAGTATTGCTTATGTTATTTTCTCATATGGCAAACTCGTGCAATTCAACACCAATATTGCTTATGTTATTTTCTCGTATGGCAAACTCGTGCAATTCAACATCAAGACTCATACACATGTAGTGTAAAGATAAAGATGCCAAAATCGCCAGTTGACATGGTATTATAATTTTACGATTATGAAAGATTTGGATGGTTAACTCAAGGTTTACGACCGTGTCATAAGTTAATACACGGTGCATTTCATAGGCTGTAAATGAAGGAGATTAGGATTATCAGCATACTTATGGTTACAATCTTTTGAATAATCAAAATTGGTGTAGCATTGTAATTTCAACTGGATTGTATTGATTAATCTCTCAATTTAGGGATATTCAAAGACATATCGTCAAACTTTTAAACATGGATAATGTAAGTATATATACAGTTGGTTTCGAATACTACTAATGTGGCTTTGTATAAAAAACCTCCTACCCACGTACCCTCGTACCCACGTACGTGGGTCCTGACCCAGTCTTTAAAGAGTTAAATCTTTAACATTTTTTAAACATTATTCTATCTCAATGTATGCTTAATTATGGATGAATTTATGTACCCATATGCCTTTATTTCTAGATCGGACATCTGTCTCGTCATAAAATAAAGCCGGCATTGCATAATGTTCATTTGAGCTATTTGAGTGTTGTTTTTGATATATCGAAGCGATTTTTTGTTGATCGGGCAGTCTTACAGTGTACAACCAATCTATTGCTTGGCGCAAATTGGCCACATGGGGCATGTGTTGTAAAGTGCTGTAGTTTTTGACTCCATGAGCAGAATATGGTCAAACTTTCACAACAAAATTCACATTGAATGACCTGAATGATTCTGGATTGACGAAGTTATTCAACTTTTCATCGGTCCTGTTTTTTAACACCCTGTAGTTTCGATTTTTATCACATATACTTTTTATTCTTTCAAACGATATTACAAGTATTCATTGTTTGCACGACAGATTTGAACTATACGTGTAATTTGTCTTATGTCTTTTATTTAATTTAACATCAGAATTGGAGATACAAAGTGATAGAGTGATCAATTCACACGATCTCAAGGAATAATAAAGGCTGCATTTCTGTTTAACCGTGGCGCAATTGAATAACGAAATATTTGAAAAGTAGAAGGATTCGCTATATTCGTTTTTAATCGCTTTTTGGCACAATTTAAGGATAATTGTGCGCACTAGTTCAGTGAATCATTTAGATGGAATTAAAAGTTAGAGTTGCCAAACTTATGCAGGGGAGTGTAAGTTTGGTTTTGTAAACTTCGACATTATTCATGGACGTTTGATCCATAATTAGGTACATGTAATATGAAGAGTAGAGTTTTATTTTGACAATGATTTGATGTAAAACTGGTTTGAATGATAAAAGTTCAGCTTTGTAGTTTCTAGCTTTTTGCGCGTAAAACGTGAATACAATGGACAACAACGACACCAAATCTTTGACTAACATACGTTAATAACGTATAATATTCGTAAGAATGAATTCTAATAACATTTGAAATAAACATCTAATAAAATGTGGTGAATTTAATTGGTTGGAAACTCTAAGAAATATATTTTTAAAAAGATGTCAACTTTTGGACAAGGGTAAACTTCCCGGGACATTTACAATCTGCATGAGGTAACAGGAGGCACGGATTGCACTGAACGAAGGCTAGGAGATTGCTAATCAGCACTGATGTGTTATACAGGTAAGACTGCCCGATCAACAAAAAACATTTCGACATATCAAAAACATAAATCAAATAGCTCAAAAATAATGAACATTAATGCAATTCCGGCTTTATTTTATTTTACTAGAGAGATGTCAGACCTATAAATAAAGGCATATGGATGCATAAATTCATCTATAATTCAGGATAAGGATAAACTGAGATTGAATAATGTTTTAAACATTTAAAAATTTAACTCTTTAAAGACTGGGTCAGGACCCACGTACGTGGGTACGAGGGTACGTGGGTAGGAGGTTTTTTATACAAAGCCTACTAATGTTTTGAATTTTAAAGGAGCAGAGAGTTTAAAGAGGATGTGAAAGTTCCAAAAAATCATTCTATCTCACACTTATTTTGAAATCCAACAGCTCCGACTTTAACACAGGATAATCTTTCGATTTTAACGTTCCCACCGTTTGACTAATAAACAGTAGTGTTATCTGATATATTTTACAATTTTTTATTTGCTTTAGAATCCTACAGTGTATGACGATTCATTGTATATCCCTTCAGATCCACCATCCAAGGGTAAAAATAAGAAATACTGGATTATAGGAGCTATATTGATAGCGTTAATTTGTATAGGAATCATTGCTGGATTGGTGTACTTTTTCTATGGTAAGGCAAATATGTTGTTGACCATGCCAGTTTCATTTATACCCTTTGCATTCGTTCGACTTCGTTCATATTAAGTATACTCTGCGTGCAGGGTGCAGTTGACTATAACGTGTACGGTAATATAAGCATACGCATGTAAATGTTAGTTCATACTATGCGATGCCCCGCGTATTAAATCCAGTTTAATTTTCAGTTTTAATTCTAAACTGGGATTGATCCAAATAAAAAGTTAGTATAAACCTGACTTATGTTGGACAAACTCCAACCTCACTACAGGGAACTACTTGTAAATGAAACTATATCCTCTTGGCTAGCTACAAACCTTCGTGCTCCCCAAACACCTCCCCTGTGTGAGACGTTTTCATACCTGTGTAGTCTCTTTTGAAACTATATTGACAATTTTGCTTGTAGTCAAAAAGGTTCTCTAGCGGGGACACATCATAAATTAAGTGAACTGCGGCTACACATTTCGTTTAATAGAATGGTCCTATTTGATAGGCTACCATAAGGGAGCTAGCTGGTTAGGGAGGGATGAAGTCTCCAAGAGGAAAAGAGTCAGTGAGAGATGGAAACAGATTGATTGATTGTTTTCCATGCTCATAGCTTATATCAAGAATAGAACAACATGTGTCCGAAAATTCTTAAAAACATCGATTTGTCCAAGAATTTGATATATTGTTGATATCGAAGGATACCCTTTGCATTCGTTTGACTTCACTTCTTAAAAGAGAGCTTCGTCTTCGTCTAGTTTAACTAGACTCTGCACGCAGGGTGCTAGAAGGAAATCCTTTTTAATCGTCTTCGACTATGTAGAGAAATCTTTGATTAAACACAAGAGAGTGCTATGCTACGATGTTCCTGCTTGCCTTTCAACTCACTCGGTCAGTTTGTCATGTTGGTACCAACCTTTACATTCTTCGATGGTTTGAACACCACTATAGCCAGAGCGGTCGACCTTTAAGCGCTACCTGCTGTACGCACTACTCTGCCCTTGTTGGTAAAGGGATGGTGAACAAACCCTCGATGAATGTATTAGCAATTGTCAAATAAGTCGTTGGTTAATGTTGTCTCCCCTTTGCCCATTTGTCATTTCTCCTCAGCCAGAGCCAGCGGGAGGCTTCCTCTGCTGCAGATCCAACTGCTCTGTTCGCTCTCTTGAGCCATGAGGGTGGGAGTCCTACATTTTTGAACATTCGGTTGAGAGATGTTGATGGAAATCCTCTACAACCTACTTCAACGGGATAGTAATGAACTTTCCACCCTTTGGCCTCTATCTCCTCAACCAGATCTTGGTACTTAGCGCTTTTGAGTTGGTGTGCTACCTCAATTCGATCTTCCCAAGGTACTGTCAGTTCTATCATGACAGCAATTCTTTTAAAGATACTGCAGAGAACTGAACTGAACTGAACTAAAATTTAAGTCCTTCTGCATTCATATAGTCATCTTAATCTTATTCTAGATACTGGAATATATGGTGATTTGAGTAAAAGAAAGGGTGAAACGACAACACCAAAAACAGATACAGAAGAACCAGATACAAGTGCAGCTGGTGGGTTAATATAAATTTCATATAATTTCATTTTTTACTTATCACGTTCATATAAATTGCATTTGCAGTTCATACGTTTATCAAATTTCATCATAAGTTTATATAAGCTTAAATATTAAGTTCATATAAATGTCATCAAATTTCATGATAAGTTCATATAAGCTTCATATTAAAGTATTATTATTAGTAATATTATTATATTATTCCATATTCAGTTCATATAAATGTCATTAGTTCAAATTTTCATATATTCAGTTCATATAAATTAGTTAAGTTGTCATGTTTATATCATAATTGTACCTTTCATCATGCATGCAATCAGTAAAGCTACCATAAGCATTATATTATTCATTTATTTCAGTTCTGTATGCCAGTAGCATGCTAGAGGGTTCTATGACCATTAAGGATGGACCTTATGCGACATACCTGCCAGAACTAAATGTGTCAGACGCTAAACGGACTATGGAAATCAAACGATTGTTCCAGTACCAGGTATTGTACAGTATAGAACTTCTATATTGATATTCCATGTTTACAAATGGATATCGTAATGTGCCTAGAATTTTCTCATCGATTTTGCATTCTCAATATCTTTCCATTTCAGATGGACAATGCAGTTAAGACTAGTAAATATAAAAATATATTTCTACACAGTACAGTACATGAGCTTAGGTGAGTCAATATTTTAAAAAACGAGTGGTTTTAAAATCATTCAAATAGCTCAAAAATGAGACATTTTACAATGTAGTTACAAGTTAGAATACACTAAATGAGTACTGTGTTGTACCAAGTGTTTTTTCAAATCCAGGAACTACGATGGTAAAGTCAATGTAAAGTACGGCCTCACCTTCTCCAAGAAACAAAACGTTACTGAAGATATGAGACAAAACATCATAGAAATGACGAAGAACGCTATGGGGGACAATGGCGTTTTCGGAGTCTTCATCATTGATACAGAAAGTGTCGATATAGCGTCAAAGGGTATTGAATAAGATGTTGATTCCAAATGACACAACTTTCTTGCCGGGTTGTGCTTGATAATACATAAATAAATAAGGAACTGTACATGTATTTGGAGACTTATTAGGAATGTTGTCAACTATGTAAATTGTTTATTTTTATTGAAGATACTTCATATGTGATTTGTACAACCGACATGATTTTAATGCACACGTTTCAGTGTTTAGAACTCTTTCAAACGCATGGACTTAGATGTATTTTAAGTCCATGGAATATGTTTCTACTATATTTTGCAGCGGTACCCGAACCTCCAACAGAACCCCCGGTGACTTATCCGACAGGTGAGGTAACAAATAACCATGTAGGGGGGGGGGGGGGCAATGAATCTTATCATTTTGAATTTGATGTATTTTCTGACAGATCTACCAGCGACCTCTCAAACAGATAATCTAACATCATACGTGTTTCGTTGAAAATATTTCTAGTATTATACAGTATATCTACAATCTTATGGTTTCAAAATATCTAACCGAATAAATAACTGAGAATTTATGTTTCAGCAAATCCTGGTCAATGTGTTGGAATAGGCGATATTTCAAGAGTAAGTTTATGCCAGACGTATGAGACACCCTTCAATGAAACTTCGCTACCCAACATTTTCAACCACACTACCATAGACGAAGCCATTGGTGGATTTGAACTTGCCTACGGAGTTCTCCATTCTGCCACGCATTGCTACGAGGAGATAGCTCACTTCACGTGTTCTTTATTCTTGCCTCGGTGCTCGGGAAATGAAACGGTACCGTACAATCAGATACCTCCTTGTAGGAGCTACTGTGAAGGTATGTGAAAAACAACAAAACGTGAATATAGTTGAGGGAAACACACATGTTTGTGGGGCAAATCCAGTTGTTGAACAGCATATTACGAGTTCCATCGAAGGTAGATTTAAAAACAAGTGTCAACGTGAACGTGGACATCTTGAATTTATTCTGCAACTTAGCTATGATCCCGGGGCTATGGCCATTCAAAATTCTCAGTCAACATCCTAAATTTTGCAATTGCTAAGAACATATTTTGCAAAAGGTCAAAGAAATAAAGTAGATTGCGGCCTGCTCTTAATGCACTCAAATGTCGAGTCTCAAACAGTGAGAAACATCTTTAAAGATATATTAATGTTGAACAGAGGTCACCAGGCGATGTGGATTCTTCACCAAACTACTCCGACCCATGGCTCCTGGAATAGATGTCGAATGGTGGTTCAAGTTCAACTGCTCAGACCTGCCAGACTCTGACGACACTCACATATGCACGCAAGAACTAAGAACCACTCCTAAAGAAATAGGTAGGCCATATGTTATATTTCAGTACATTTATTCCCCTTTTCATTTTTAATAATGGTAAATGCTCCTATAACTAAAACCCGAGTTAGCCAAGTAAAATAATATTTTCTTGAAACCCTTAAGCAGAATAACACCAGACTTATGATTTTAAAATTTTAACACGTGTTTTACAGTGTGTGGTGATGGAGAGGTGAAGTGTGATGGTGATAGATGTATTCCACAAAACTGGTTCTGCGACTCCTACCAGGACTGCGAAGACAATACAGACGAACAGTCGTGCTGTAAGTAGGCCTAGCCTCATTTATATTTTGTCTCACAATCGTAAGGTGATCATATCAAGACATACGAGGGAAGATCCAAAAGTTTCCGGCCTAACATAGTTCTAGTTGATGGATTTTCAAAATGATAGTGTCATTTTTCAATGTAGTCTCCCTGTACTTCGATGCACTTGGCCCATCTTCTTGGCAGCATCTCAAGTCCAGTTCTGAAGAAATCAGGAGCATGACCCTCCAACCACTGGTTAACAGCTATCTTGACCTTATTATCATCATCAAAGCGTTGCCCTCGTAGAGATTTTTTGAGTTTCCCAAATAGGTAATAGTCACTGGGTGCTTGATCTGGAGAATAGGGTGCGTGCGGTAATAATTCCAGATGGCATTCTTCCGCTGCATCACGAGCAACTTGGGTTGTGTGAACAGGTGCATTGTCCTGTTGATGCAAAACTCCAAGACGGACTTTGTGTGGCCTTGTTTCATCAAGTTTAGCTTTTAAAGTACGCAACAAAGCAGCATAATATTCTCCATTCATTGTAGTACCTCTTGGAAGGTAGTCTACTAAGATAGGACCTTCACAGTCCCAGAAAATGGTGGCCATCAACTTTTTGTTGGATGGGGTGGTGCGAAACTTCTTTGGGGGTGGGGACCCCATATGTTTCCATTGCATTGACTCATGTTTGGTTGAAGGCTCAAAATGACGCACCCATGTTTCATCACAAGTGACTATTCTCCATAAAACCTTGTGGATCAGTGTTATACATGTCCAAAAGCTCTCTTGCAACAGCAACTCGTTTTGTTTTCATGTCCTCTGTGAGCATACGGGGCACCCATCTTGAGCTTAACTTTTGCATGTGTAAATCTTCATGAATTATTCTACAAATGGTACCATATGATAAACCAGTTTCTTCTACAAGTTCACGTATAGATTTCCGCCTATCTTCCAATATTGTTCGATGTACAAGATCAACATTTCTATCTGAAGTGACATCTTTAGGTCTTCCAGAACGTGGTGCATCATCAATTGATTCCCGTCCACGTTTAAATTCAGCCACCCAAAATTTTACAGTAGAATAGGAGGGAGCACCTTCCCCATACACATCCTTGAGTCTATCGTAGATTTCCTGCCCTCCATTTTCTTCTTGATATAGAAACTTTATCACAGCTCTATATTCAGTTTTCTCCATTGTGCAGCCACTGTGACCTGACCTCATTATGAATATTCTCAAAATGAGGCTGTGACCCCTAGAGGTTAATCATATGCATAAATTATGTTCATACATAAGCAACATTTGAACTGTGAAGAATGGTTGCTCTCAGACATCGGGAACTATGTTAGGCCGGAAACTTTTGGATCTTCCCTCGTATCATATTGTAATGAGCTTTGATAGCAAGTCGCTTCTACAGTCTCAGCTGTAGTGGCTATCCCTTATGGTTCAGGAGTAGAGCGTCTGACTCGAGGGCGGAAGGTACTGGGTTCGATTCCCATACGGGGGATTGAATTTAGCACACTCTCTTTCGAGTCTAGTATCTGGCTCGGAACACTACAGCTCCCCGACGGACGTGCCCGAGGGTCGTTACAATATGATATGGGGACGATACAGATCAGCAATCGTATTGTAAAAGACCCACATTATTTGATACCAAAATTACTTCTCGATAGAATAATTGTAACATGAAAGTAGTGTACCCTCAACCCGAAAATTTTATTCATTCGCTTTAATTTCAGCCTCGTGTGAGTCTACCCAACATAAATGTTCCACTGGTTTGTGTATTGAAAAATCCAAAGTTTGTGATGGGAAGTCTGATTGTGTAAGGGGTCCTGACGAGGATGATTGTGGTAAGTAGACAACACATACTATTCAAAAATTTAAAAAAAAACAGAAAATGGTACTCATACATTACACCTCAGTTAGGAGTCAATATAATCGACAAACTCTATAGCAAAGGAAGTTTTAAGTAACATTGAACCATGTGTCAACAGAGTACCTTAACATAAGCCAAATATATACATTTTTAAGAGTGATCCCAGAAAAGCAACCCAAAGAAATGTTAATAACTAAGTCATCAAGCATGGGTTTAAAGTCATATTTAGTACAATTAAACATTGTTCAATGTTCCTTGATTCCAATAAGTATCATGGGTTCATTCACGATGGCCACGACTTTATGGTCATTTTATAAAACATGATCCAAATGCTGGCCTCGGAATCTTGAACGCATCGGGCGAAGGTGTTCTAACTACACGCTTACAATATACATCTTGTGTACTGGTTCTCATCTTCCTTCAAATCTCTTGTTTCAACTCTCTGATTGATGTTTTTTATAGTCGTTGGGGACGGGGTAGACATTATCTTTGAGATAGCCTCAAATATAAAAGTCTGGGAGTTCTTGTCGAGTGAGTGTGAGTGTGAAATGATTTAACAAGGTTTAGTTGTGCCAAATATTATTTTAACCCGTGCTGGATGACTTGTTTGGGTTATCATTTTGGCTCACCCTGTATATATCTAAGATTTAGAAAAGCGAGGAAGCGTCTTCATTAGAAACTAGAGGTAATCATTGAGACCGTCTTGCTCGGTAGAGAATTTGGGTTGTCCCATTCAAGATCTAATACGCGACAAGGTTCGTCTTATATATTGCAATACTTTACACCGTCTGATTTTTTTGCAGTTCGATTGTTCTCAAGCAAAATGGATAACAAGCAGGGCAAATTGCAGGTGTTTAATGCTGAGACAGATACTTGGGAGACGATGTGTGCAGATAACTGGATGAAAGACTACAATGGGTTGGTCTGTGAGAGTCTAGGATATGATAGGTACAAAATAGCCAGTCTTCAATGGGGAGAAGGTTCTTTTTGTATTTTCTTAGTGCTTGATGTTGCTAGATGCTGCTTGACTTCAATTTGCTTACATCGAGATAAACCTAGTTAAAGTAAAAATGTTTTATATTGGTTTCTACTTCTTTATTTGTTCAAATATTGGCCTCGAGATTTATTTTATCTATTTTTATCCTTCAATTTGAAATATTTTTACCCAGCAGGGCACAACATAGGTCTCAAAAGGAGAGCTTTAAAGCATAGTATAACAACTTGATTTCTATTAGGAAATAAGCCTTTAACATCCTAAAAAATAATCTCACTTTTCAAAGAAATAGTGTTGAACATCTCATTCTCTCACCATTGTGGAACCAATATCACAATCCAAAACCCAATAACCACGGAACATTCGTGTATTTATATGTTTATTGTCGGTATCTATCCATGAATGACATGTAAAGAAATATGAAGGGAACTTTATTTCAGAGAATCTAGCAATGCCCCCAACCAGTTCTACAACTACAGTCTCGAGGAAAGCAGCACTACGAGTCTGAAAGGCGAAGTTTGGCAAAATGGTTCACTGACACAAAACATCAATAAAAGGTTTGTAGAAGTATACTTCTACCAGTCCAATTTGAGCTTTTTATAAGGGTGTTCATTTATACTGTCTTTGGCACAGTCATATAGGATCATTATTATCCAGCACAGATGTATCTGCAAATTTAAATATTACAAGCTAGTCATTGTTTTCAGCTCTACATGTACCAGTGGCAAGGGTGTATACCTTGTATGTGAAGACGTCCAGTGTGGAACAAGACCAGCCTACCATCCACCCTTGGGAAGAATTTTGGGTGGGAACGAGGCCTCCCCAGGTTGGTGGCCCTGGTTCGTTAGCCTTGAAGGAGGCCCAGATCAGAAACATTTCTGTGGGGGAGCTATCATAAATGAAGAATGGGTGCTCACTGCGGCACATTGCGTTGGAGGGTAAGGCTCCTTTATGGTTTATGTGTTTTGGTCATGAAATATTGTCCCCTGTGCCGCTTTTGTGTACAAGTATAAACACTTCTAGAACCTTTATAGAAGTATATATTAATAAAATATATAAGATATTAAATTTGTGTATAATCATGTTATATTTTCTGGTGTACTATATCAAAATTTGCTGGGATATGAAATTTTGAAAACCTGATAAAGAATGTATGCCTGTTGAATTGGAGTAAAATGCACGATTTTAGGATAAATACAGGCTATCCAGAGGAGTGGACCATTAGAGCAGGTCATCCGAGAAAAGACACATTCGGTGCTCATCTTCAGATAAGAGGCGCCAATGCAACATACAGCCATCCAGGTTCTCTCATCTCATATACTGTATTTGTTACATTTGAATTATATATAGGTTTAGATATCTTTTTGTCGATTCATGACGGTAAATAACAAAATATATGAAGACAGCAAATAATTAATTTTGTTGAAATATATAAAATCGAATTACAAATTTCAACAAACAAATTGTTTGTTTGAAATTACGAATTTTCGATATATATCTTCATTGAAATACCTTCATCAGGTAAACTGAGAGTTTATATTTCTTTTATCTCTCCAATTTTTAGCATTTTCTATATCCTAAATCTTCAATAATTTCCATATGTTGTATATATATGCTCAGATATCTCTAGTCCCCCCTTTCAGAAATTAAAAGGATTTTATTGGAAACATATAAGAAACCAACAAACAACAATATATGAATTACATGAACCACTTGCGTTCTCGACCTTAGTAGTGACTCCTTTGCTTGTCTACCCAAGTTTGTCCCACACATAAATCTCTTGAATTCATGATAATGTGTGTACCTTTAAGGTTTTGACAAATATATGTTCAACAATGATGTCGGGCTAATCCACTTGGATGCGCCATTTGTGTTCAACGACTTCGTAAGACCTGTGTGTCTACCACAAGGTGGGGCTGACCTTGAAGAGGGCACGATGTGCACAGCAGCAGGCTTTGGCTGGAGAACAGAAGATGGTATTCTTTCACGCCAGTTAATCAAATCCTTTTGATAATTAATGATTTTAGATTACTGAGCACTCGAAATAAAATAAGATTAAGTGGTTAAACGCGCGATAACTTTCTTTTGAATCTGTTATTGACGTTATCAACATAAGTACAAAACGTCTTACATCATTTTGTAGCGGGTGAATACGAGAGGGTGCTACGACAAGTACAGGTGCCAGTTATGAGTAAGGCAGACTGCAAGCAGATGCTAGAACCCTTAGGTTATCGGATAACAGATGAAATGCTCTGTGCTGGGGGTGAAAAGATGATGGACAGTTGTAATGTATGTACCAAGCAACGGATTAGCAATTCTCTTTTATCCATTCATGTTCAACATCAAACCTTGACTGATACATGCAGTGCACTAAATTCGAATGAATTACACCCTACTCTCACACTCAATAGTTGAAAAGTAAATACATGACTGAGATATGTGACTGGCCTGTTACATGTAGTGCACTGAAGGTGGACTAATTACACCCTTCTCACTCACTTATCAACTCACTTACCTCTAGCTGAATACAAAAGAAATCAATATTATGAGATTGGACCATGGGCCATTTACCTTTCCTAAGAGTCAGTGTAGGGTTTAAGTTAGATAAACCATTCTCACTGGGCTTAGAAGAAAAAATTGACGCCGAGCCTTCGGCCCATGTCCATTATTTTACCTAGGAGAAAAATTCATCTGCAGTCTGCAACCACAGACTCAAATTTTGCATGTGCTATATGTTGTTCTTATTGCAACATATCTACAATTCTTTATAATGCTCTAAATATTACAGGGTGACTCTGGCAGTGCTCTGGTGTCTCAAGATACAAGAGGAAGATGGGTGTCACGAGGGGTGGTTTCTTTTGGTTATTACTGTGGACGAGCCGGATACCCAGGTGTATATAGTAGAGTATCAACATTTGTTCCTTGGATCCAAGAAACGATAGCAAACAACTCAGACGTTTAGAGGAAATTGGTATTATCAGAGGCAAGCAGAGTATGATGCAACAATATGTGCCCTCAATTGAGAGCTAGCTCCAAGTAATTTGTACAGGGTAGACACAAAAATATGTGCAACATTATAGATATGTAACAGGTTATACCTCAATCAAATTGAAATTGATCAATGCTCATGATCAGTTATTTAGGGGTTTTCATCTTCTGTAAAATGTACAGCAGCATCATACGATGGTGGAAGACAATCATTTCATACACATTTTAGCTGATACAATGCAGTGCAGTGCAATATAAATATTCATCAGGTGTAAGGGTATATTTTACATACCCGAGGGACTTGCACAAAAGTGGTATATAGCGATTATTATTTGTCTATATTATGTGAACATATACAGAGTGTCCCGAAAGTATGCCCCCCTCCGCCCTATACCAATGTCTCCATATTATGTGCCATATATCATTTTAAAGCTTATCCAAAGTTTCATTGATTAGCCAAGTATCATGGTTCAACTCAAAAGTTGCAGGCATTTCAAAACTTAGTGTTTGGCCAAAAATATGGAGACATTATATATCTGCCTGGGGGCATACTTTTGGGACACCATATACACGTACTTGTATATAGTCATCTTCAAACATTTGAGAGTGACAGAAATCCCAGAAGCTGGTAGGATGGTACGGCATTTTACAGAAAAGCTTTGAAAACACGAACAATAAACAAACGCATTCCGAGTAATATATATATATAATTAATTCTTTAAAAACAAATGAAAAAATGGTAAACATAGTTTTTGGTCCCCTCGAGTAAGGGTTTAATAATTATATTAAGCGCAATATCACCCCAATATCTAAGATATAATGTTCAAGAAATCAATAATTACAATTTATTAAGGAACGATGGATGAAAACTCAAACAAAATCAAATTATAATGCTCTATACAGAAAACATTCCCCTTTCCCTGTATATCCAATTGTACTAGATCTGATTATATTTAGACAATGGTGACACAAAAACTGCCACACGCAGATGAAAATGTTTATAACTTTCATGAACATCATTATTAGATTTATTTAAGATATCTTATGCAATAAAATTTTTATATTTTACATATACCTTTATATTTTTATGTATATTATTAGTATATTATGAATACTCGTATGTACACGACGTATAGGCTCGTACAGGATAAGAATCAATGCACAATCCACGAGACAGAAACACCCATAACCACCCTATTAATATCTCAAGGAATTTTCAATGAGATGATTTAATGCACACGTGTTTGTCTTGCATCAAAGACTTCGAATAAAGTCGGTAGCCCGAATTCAAAGACTAGGGTAAGGCATGAATGAATAACTTGAAAGAATGAAATTCGATTACGGAATCAGCTTCGTGCAGGGCCTTTTCAAGGCCTTGCCATTTTGACTTACATAACAACCTACATTTTTGAGTTTTGTTATCCGTGCCGGTGTAAAAGGGTAGGAGGTCCTATCAAATTATGGTCCTACTCTTCATTGATTTATATGGTGACCTAAATACAACTCTTTCCCTCATTACCTTATACGCAATCTGGGCCAGTAAGGGCCGTTAACAAAGGGGACCATAATCCCTGGGGGACCATCATTTCTTTCATACCGGTACTCAGTGGTACATTGACACTGCCGGTGAACCCAGAAGTTAACAACGGGAGGGGGGGCGGCCCCATGCCCCCCCCCCCCCGATCCGCCAGTGAAATCTGTTGATATAGGCCTACGTTCATGGCCGATTCAAACAGGCCGCTAAAAGATGCAGTATGCGGTATACCATAGGTTTCTCGCCCAGACAATCAATGCTGCCCCATTGATCCCATTGGTATAGTATCTCGCATACCATGGACATATCTTGAAATAACTTATGCCGGGGTATATTATTACCGAAATATTGAAATAATCAACAGAACAACCAACCTCAAGAGTTAAACACTTGGCTAGGGATTGGAATCCCCATTGATCACACAAGGCCCACACGCGCATTGAACCAGGCAGTTAATCAAGTTCATGATCATGCCTAACCATCGACAACGTACAGTGACAAGATATACCGTCGTACACTTTAGGTGTACGGTGTCACTATTAACTGATTTGAAGCGAAAACTATGATGTAGGTTTGATTGTGGTTTTCACAATTTATTTGAGGAGTACATCAAGGATTTCATGTTTGATATTCGTATGTATTCGATTTGGAAGACATTTATCTTTCTAATTACGTTAAAAGATTTCCGAGCAGTGCTCGATTTCTTTTGCTGTTAATCTACCCATGCAATTGGTCGGTTGGAAAATGTTTTTTTTACACATTTCCTTTGATCATTTTCTCCCCTGTCGTCTAAGAGTGCCGAATATTTTTATGAGAATATGTTTTTCTAAACAACACAATTTGAAGGTTACACAGTTGGAGGTTTTATAAATATTCATGTATTTGGTATAATTTAAAAAATCAAAAATGTACGTTGTCATCTCCAATGTACGTTTTCCCTGTAATTGAGATGTAAACAATGCAATGATTTAATTTCAAAACACATTAAGGGTTTTATGAGTAACAAGTGATGTTCAACGAACATGTTCAAGTATCCCTGGTACAGATAAACAGGTTAAAGTGATTTTTACCTCTTGTTGAATGCTATTTTATTTTATGAAAGTGTTGATATGGTGATTAATATTTGACCATGGGGTGTTATTTTCCAACCTCTTTGACCATTCGGTGTCGGTACGTTACGTTATGTTGCACTTTTATGAATTTTAATAATCTCAAGGAGTTCATGGAGAGATCTATACTAGCTAATCGAAGATGACTTTCGTAATCCCGTTTATGCTATATCTGGCCGAAAGTGCAGAGGTTCAATATAGTTCAATCAAGTTGAATTAGTAATACTGGATTGTTCCGTTTCAGTTTTAAATGAATCTGATCTCCTGACCATTAGTGTTAAAAAATACGTTGTCTACATAAGGGTTAACTGTGAATTCAGATATATAAGTTCCATGGGACAACGTTCCATGATCGAGATGACAACGTACATTTATGATTTTTTTTATTATTTGAGCAAAAACGTGAATATTCATTAAATCTTCAACCGACCTTAATTATGTAACTTTGGGAAACATATTCTCATTAAAACAATCGTTACTCTTAGGCGACAGGGGAAAAAATCCAAGGGAAATGTGAAAAAACACATTTTCAAACCTATCATTGTTGGTGGGTAGATTTACTAGGAAAAAGATCGAGCACTGCCCGAAAAAATTTCACGGAATTAGAAAGGTACATGTAAATGTCTTCCAAATCGAATACACACGAAATTAAACTCCCTTAAGGATTCCTCAGATTAATTGATAAAACCTACACTACACCCGCATTCATTGTTTTTGCTTCATATCAGTTAGAATAGTGACACCGTACATCTAAAGTGTACGTCGGTATATTTTGTCACTGTACGTTTAGGCGTGATGGTTAGATGGTTAGGCGTGATGATAAACAAATTCAACGACCAATCAGATAACAGGGGGATTTCCCCGGTGTATTCAAACTTTAGATTGAATTAATTTCCGCGAAAATAATTATATCAGTCATCACAATCGGAAATTTACCACTGAAAGCGGGGGATTTTGGCCTTCTTCGTTGGTAAGTAGATGTAATGGGTGATTATGTGGAAACTCAATATGCAAAAAAGGTCCAAAACCAAAAGGGTCTTAATTTGCTAGTGGTACACTTTCTAGTAATCATTTTGGAGCGCTGCTTCACCAACAGCAAGTACAAAAATGTACAATAGTCTTCTTTAATGGCCCCACGCGTTTCTTATTCCAATAGTCTAAATATTAAACAGTCAGAGTCGGATCCAGGATCAGCGAGGCAACATTTGAACAGTAGAATCTACGTGCGCAAATTTACTATTTTCAGCGATCGTAATTATAACGTATTGCCTATGGAAAAGATGCTGTCCCAAAAATTAATGAAAACTCGAGGATTTACGCCTTTCATCTCCAGTGATCGTCTTTTTATCCAGATATGTGATGTAAGTATGATGAATGTTAAGTTATTAGATTATTTATAGGACTGTTTGGCTCTGTTTGGTTCAGAAATTGGCCACTAAACGGAAAAATCCATATTATCGCCCATTGAAAATTGAAATAATGGGGAACAAAATAGTCTAAGCCTCAACCATCAAAAGCACAGGAACCTGTATCAACACCTGACAGTTACAGTGACATCTTTTGGTGACAGAACCCTGGGAATATATCTCTTATACAACATGTACAAGGAAAGTAACAATCACTGGAAAATCACGAACCCTTTTTTAAAAGTTACAAAATTGTTATTTTTCTTTGCCTGTGAGCCTTCATTTTTTCCCCGTTTGTCGGTACTCTAGACTCTGATGTGGTGGCAGGCTAGAGGACCGACAAATAAATTGTCGGTACGGGAGATATGCTGTGTTTACACGCTAGAGGACCGACAAATATTGATTTTCGAATTTTCTGGCGCATGCGCAATGCGCGGGGGGATATTTCAGATATCATACGGATATTTTGGGAACAAGTGCAAAACCCGGGGAGGGCATTAGCCCCGGTTACACGGGGATTACCAAACCCAGTCAAAAGATGGTAGCCCGGGAACAGGGAATGGTAGTAAACGTTGAAAACCCAATAAAAAACATGAACAAGTAAGACGTTAGAGAGCTATTAATGCAGAGTAAACAGCTATATATATTCTAAACAGACAGGATATTTCTCCTGAGCCGATCAGGCGTAGAAAGGGGCGTTTGCTACCCATTAGATAGAAGAAAATAGCTAGAATGTTTTATATTTGAAGCTTATGGTATGAGGTTCCATATCCATCCGCCAAAAGGAATGACCCCTATATAGTCCATTTAAAAACCTGTGGTATCGTTCTAAATAACCCATAGTTGGCTTCTAGGGTACCTAGTATGCCACTATTTGGTATCAAAATAAAGAGGAGTTCAACTTTCATTTGAATTACGAAAATAGATGTAGGTCAAAATAGTTCCGAACGTGAGCATGTTTACTACGCGTTTGCCCGTCATATTCAGAATTGAGGAAGTGGTAGCAAACACGAGTTAAAATAAATGGACGCTGATATCTCAAAAAGTAACCTGACTCCCTATAATTTGATGTAGGTCAATCGAACCCCTATATGGACAGGTGCATTTTGATATATAACACTATGGGGGGTAAGCGTTTCATAGTTGGTCACGAACGCCATATGTGCAAAATATTGTTATGAATTTTCGAATTTGGTGTTGGATTACGGTACTCATACCTTATAGCACAATTTTTGATGGAAGTTGCATTTGGCTCCCTTAGTTAATGGCCACGATTCCATTTCGCATGAGAGAGCAACCAAACGCAAAGTAAACAGTGATATATTCCAAATGAGATATTTCTCCTGTGCCATGGCGTGGTAAGGGTAGAGAGCGACAGGGGCGAAAGCATCCCCTCCCCTAACTGTGTATATCGACCCATAAGATAGAACAAGAAAAGAGCTTTAAAATGTTTTTTAATTGAAGCTTGTAGGACAATTTTGATGGAAGTTAAATAAATTTTTGTCGAAATAAATTATGGCTCACTACAAGTTAATGCCTGTACTGCAAAAGAAGCACTATGCCCCTCCTCAAAAGAAAAAAGTAGGTCCTGCCGGGATTCGAACTCGGGACCGAGTGTGTTCGAGTTGTGCTCTATCTGGCACTACTAGGTGACGATAGAGTGCCGACAATTGTCGGTACCCTAGCAAATACCCCTGGACAGTCTCCATTTACATTACATTGTACATTACTTAATTTATAAAAAAGCAATATTTTGGTTTCAGTTGAAGAGATATTCAGTGACATATTTTAAATCTTTGTAGGTAGTATTGCCATGTCCTGAGGTGCATGTCCTAGATTTTGTAAATATGATAGTGATATGCTTGTCACTGCACAGATGAAGGACGAGAACTTATTATTGATAAAGATTAAAATAGATGGCAGTCCTAAAATTATTTTTGGCTTATCTATCATCTCAAGTATGCTAATCCCAGATTACATTTGTTAAATGTTAAAACCATTGAAACATTACCAGTTTTAGTTACTCAAACATAAAAAGGTAAGTAACAATTGCAATGTAAATTATAGGTAATTTGGTTATCATGTTATTAAAGGAGTGAAGACTATTATATGATGTAACTGAAATACTGTGCAAACTTCTGAACTCTTTCTTAGACAGAAGTTGTCCATTTTTTGACCAAAATGGATAATTTCTTATAAAGTAAAAATTGATGGATGGAATTTAAGTGGCACATGGGCAACTTTGCATTTGGTGGTTGGTGTCTGGTGGTCGATGTCTGTAACAAATGGCAGGTTGTGACACTTTGCATTTTAATGCCTTGTTATACATTTTTATGATATTATGGGATAAATATGGTGTATATTTATTATTTCAATAGAGACATTATTATGCTACTACTAAAAAATGACATTTAGTCCTTCAGGGAGTTGATAGTTTTGAAAAGCCTAGTCCCTATCATCGAGTCAATAAACCAATAAAACTCAATTACAGGAACACGACAAAATATTGGTTTCATTAATGCTTGATTCTTTCTTTTCAGGAAATTTGATCTCCTTTCTCAATGACAGCACTGCCTGGAGAGATTATCATTGAAGTTAGGCTATTCTGCCATTGCTGCTTCAGCTGGAATGAACACAATGACTTATTAAATGATTCTGAGAAAAGCAAGCAGAGATAGATATTGAAGAAAATCTAGTCTAATATTTTATACTGAATGATACCTCTGGTCATCCGATGAATTTAAGCAGTCGGGATTCATATTGATCAATGCATGTTTTTTTGGCATTAGATAACTGACTAAAACTCAAGTGTCCTATCTGGAGAAATAGACAGATATAAGCTATGGCTACTGGAAAAGATGACATCAATTTTAAAGACCCGAGTATGGAATTTGATGACTATCCACTGGACCTCATATCACCTATAACCACCAAAGAAGATTCAACCTTGTCTAACTTAAAGGTAAAATCTTGGCCATCTAAACAAACAGACTCTGAGGTTGATACGCCATCTTCTGCCTGGCGGCCAACACAACTAGATTTAAAAAACTCTACACCATTGATGAAAGAAACTATACAAGAGGATACATCTTCTTCAAAAAATGATACAACAATAGAGAGAAATTTCGATGAAAGTAAGGAATTCATCTCCAATTCAAATTCCTCAAATAGTAAACAAGAACCGGCCAAATGTTCATTTTGTAAAACTTTATGTTTCCGACTAGCCCAACCATGCTGGACAAAATATCGACCTCTGCCTGTAAAACCGAACCGATATCAACAAGTGAAACATTCATTATTATGCCCCCCACATGGACATATAGGTGGCGCTCTGACCCTGATGTTGTTAGCATTATTAACATGGGGCACATTATGGGCCATAACAGGAGAGGCAGCACTTCCAGGAGGCAATATATTTGGTCTTGTAGTACTGGGCATTGCATGTTTCATAGGAGGCCTTCTCATATCCAAGTTACATCTACCACCTTTACTAGGTAAGCCTGCTAATATAATCATTTTCTCAACTACAGAGTGACACCAGAATTCAAGACAATCAAACAAAAATTATTGAATTTTTGCGGTAACCCAGTAGGTCAGTCCATTTCTAGTTTTCATTACTATATTCCTCTACAATAATAAATTCTCCACAATCGACCAGTTAAGAATTATAATTAATGTGAACAAAAAATATTTTTATCAATTCAGAGGGCAGTAAAACCTGTATATAGTGAACACCCATAAAACCACAAAAAGTGTTCACTGTAGTTAAGTGTTCACTGCAGAGAAGATTTTATACAGGAGACAATGTAAAGTGTGCCTTGATGTACACTTAACACAGGTGTTCACTGGAGAGAGGTGTTCACTTAGACAGATTTTACTGTATACTGTAATGTCTTATCATTTCATTTTAGGAATGCTTGTAGTTGGATGTCTGCTACGTAATATCCGTTTAGTACGCACAATTTCAAACTGTACACAGAACTCCACAGCATTGTCTCTAAATATATCAGAGAATACATCTGTTCTTTATAACTCAACACCTGGAGCTGAAGTGTGTCCTTATTACTTAGCTTCTATTGCAAGTAGCATAGAGGATCAATGGTCATCTGCATTTAGGTATGTAAGAAAGTATGTAGGAAACCTTTTTAGTGAGATTTAAACAAAACATTGTAATGTGTTTCTGGTTGCTGGGTGGGAGGGTGAGAGAATTTTGGAAGAGCTTTAGACGATAGAACTTGGCAAAACTATGTACCCTATTTGTCCCTATAAAGTCTCAATTCATCCTTTGCTTCAGAATTCTAAAATTGGAAAGCACAGTGACTATATTATGAAGATTTCTTTCATTGTTTAAGATGAGATGGTCACAAGTAGAAAAAATAAAAACAATACATGCCTTTTCAAGGTCAAAACAAAACAAGTATTACTTTCTTTGCTTTGACCTTGAAAATGGACGAACCTGTAACTTGAAGTTTCAATATATACACATCCTTTTAAATTGAAAAATATGATTTTATTCCAGGAATATAGCATTCGTCGTGGTTTTGATCCAGGCCGGACTTGGCTTGGACCCAAAAGCTCTTCGTAAGCTGTCATGTGTGGTCATACGCCTTGCCTTTATGCCTTGTATGGTAGAGTGCGCTGTTGTGGCCGTTGCATCGCACCTGCTGCTCAGCTTTCCCTGGGAGTGGGGATTTATGCTTGGGTGAGTTCTACATTTGTACTGATCTTTAAGCTTTAAATAACTTATTCATTGTCTTATCATAAGCTGTTATCATCTGAATATTATGAATAAATTGGTTTAGTTCTTGCAATTCCTATAATTTGTCATCATGATAAACCATGACATCTCATTTCGTTTCAGCCCTGAGATGCCATGATATAATGTTTGGCAGATTCTGAAACATCTTATTGATTATATAATTTAATCTCAATTTGGTGACTTTTATAATTGTTTCTTGCAACCTCATATTTTTTTATAATCATATTTAAAAATAAGAAAAATTGTTTTCATTTGAACAATGAAGTAATTAAAATTAAGTTATATTCTTAATTCTTATGTGTGGCTCTGAATGATGATGTAATTACATACTCAAAATATGTTTTTATCGTATGATATGGAAAATGAAGCCTACTGATCGGTCAGTTCTTGTACTGTACCAAGCTGTATTGCTATTGAGATTAAGTCCCCATTGATCATCCCTGTCGCGACTCGCAATACAGAAAATATTGGTACGGAGGGGACATTCTCAGTAGCAATACAGAGGATCACACTATAAAAATGTTATAGAAGGATTTGAAGTGCAATACAGGATATATTCTGCTCGAGAAATTACGTATTGGAATGAGACAATAACTTAAAGTGTCTACCAATTCAACCAATTCAGTCATGAGATGAATGTTTGATAAATAAATTGAAATTGAATTCAGGTTTGTCCTGGCAGCAGTTACTCCAGCAGTTATAGTGCCAAGTATGCTGTCTCTGCAGACCAAGGGTTATGGTTATGACCAGGGGATACCCACCCTTGTTATTGCAGCATCTAGCATTGATGATGTCCTTGCCATCAGTGGATTCACAATTGTTTTAGCCATGGCATTCACCAAAGGTAAATTTCTCTAGTGTGAGTTAAGTCAGAAAATAAGTACAGGAACTTGTAGTGTTGTAAAAATGTAGAATAGTGTCTATATCTAAACTTTCTAGGTGCTAATTTTTAAGGGAGGGCTCAAAATTAACAATTTTGGAAGTTTCTTAAATGATATGATGGCGCTCCAGGAAACTGATTCACCTGATTACAGGCATGCTTCAAGAATTATTCGATCCCAGCGGCTTTCACAAGCTTTTAAAAAACTTCATGTTGGGTGGATCTGGGTCCCCCTGCCTTGTGATTAGCAAGCTTATAAAGCCTGGGCTTTTTATATTCACAATTTGTTTTCTTGGTTTGCAGGTGACTTTAGTGTCATGACTGTAGTGAGAGGACCCCTTGAGGCTGTTATGGGACTGGTATATGGTTCTATGGGTGGAGTGGCCCTTTGGTACTTTCCACACAAGAAGCATGTAAGTTCAAAATTGAACAACTCTACACAACAAATACAAAGATTGAGCTGCATTTCTAAACCACTGCTCCTCTATATCATCTGGTAGATTTATATATGAGATTTTCTATTTTTTGGAATATTTTAATTGTCCTTTATATATTTTCCATAGTTATGTGTCTTATAATACATAATACATTTTCCAACTAACCAATCAACCAACAAACCATTGTTCAATTGCTGAAGATATTCGAGATGAACTTCACTTAATCTGAAAATCTGACTTTTAAACAAACGATGGAGTTAAATGAAATTACATGTATTTCACTATAAATAAACAAAAAATATTATTGTGTTCACTTAGTCAAATGAACAAAAATGACATGTAAAATAACTGCGGCTTTCTTTGTAAGTAAGTTGATATACTTTTCATCATGAACAAAAATAAACATGAAAAAGGAATATATCACTCAACTATACCTTGCATTTGGTGTTCATGAGCAATCCACTTGGCTTATTAGTAATAATTGTTATTTGTTTTTATTTGTCTGTTCCTTATTATCCCATCGAACGAAGTTCGGAGGGATATAGGGAACGCCTCCGTCCGTCCGTCCGTACGTACGTCCGTACGTACGTCCGTCCGTCCGTCTGTCCGTCCGTCCGTCCGGGCAATAACTCAAATACCGTTGGCCCGATATTGTTCATATTTTGTACACATATACCCTATGGGGGTAGAAGTTCTGCTTGAAAGCCGATTTTCAAAATGGCCACTCATTTCAAAATGGCGGCCATTTTAGTGCCGATTTCACAGTAATTTAGGTGCAATATGTAAAACTGTAATATCAATATGTTTTAAATGTAAAAAAATTATAAAAGACATTAATAATGCTACAAATGTAGATATTAAAGAAGCACATGGCAGCCATCTTGAAAAATGGCCGCCTTTACTTGTCATTTTATGATTTTTGCTGTAACTCAAAAAATAGTGGAGCGATTTTGTTCATATTTGGTATATGAATACCATAAGCATTGCACACTGTCTAAAGACACTTTTGGTAGAAGGCGGCCATTTTGAAAAATGGCCGCCATTTTAACGTATTTTACTATAACTCGAAAAGTAGTGGAGTGATCTTGTTTATATTTGGTATGTGAATACTATAAGCATGACACACTGTCCTATGACATTTTTGGTAGAAGGCAGCCATTTTGAAAAAAATTTTGAAAAATGGCCCCCATTTTAACGTATTTTACTATAACTCGAAAAGTAGTGGAGCGATTTTGTTCATATTTGGTATGTGAATACTATAAGCATGGCACACTGTCCTATGACACTTTTGGTAGAAGGCGGCCATTTTGAAAAATTTTTGAAAAATGGCCGCCATTTCAACATATTTTACTATAACTCGAAAAGTAGTGGAGCAATTTTGTTCATATTTGGTATGTGAATACTATAAGCATGGCACACTGTCTATTTCTAATGACACTTTTGGTAGAAGGTGGCCATTTTGAAAAATGGCCGCCATTTTAACGTATTTTACTATAACTCAAAAAGTAGTGGAGCGATTTTGTTCATATTTGATATGTGAATACTTTAAGCATGGCACATTGTCTAATAAAACTTTGGCGAGTAGTCGGCCATTTTGAAAAATGGCCACCATTTTTATGTGTGTTATTTTACAAGTACGTGTGTAATTTTTCAAAAATTTTAGAGGTAGCTACTTAAAAGCATATTATTTCTCCTAATGACAACTTGGCTAGTGAGCAACCATTTTGAAAATGGTGGCCTTTCTGGTGTGTTGTTTTATGATATTTGCTATTCGTTTGTAAAAATGCCAGCTATTTCTGTTCGATGGGATTCGCTACGCTTTGGCGTTGCCGTTGTTCTGGTTAATGGTTTATTGGGTGACTGTTAGGTGTTAATAAGGTACTTTCAAAAATATACTGAACAATACAATTAGACGAACAGAGTATCTATATATATAGTAGCATTTCAAGGGGGGTTAGGTATAGTAGAGTGTATATGTAGTTTTCTGAAAAAACTTCTTAAATTTTAAATGAAATTTGTATTGGGGAATACATGTTCTGGAAATAGAATCAGACATATTGACATAGTTGCTGTAATAAAAATACTTTGATTGAGAAATTTATTTGTTCTCCAGAAGAACTTTTGACTCTTATTCTTTCCAGTTATTTGTTGAATTTATTTTTTGTAATGGCATTATAGATTTCCATTAGGGAAATATTTACCTAATGTTTGCTACCTTTCTCATATTGATTTACTAAGTTACATTAAGATGTGGGTGTGTAAATGCATTGTCTTAACATTGAAAATATGTACATGAACATTGTAAGAAAAGAATTGAAAGCAAGAAATTAAACCAGTTTCATTTGTAATTTCAGTACAATGTATGATCATACATGTATTGTAATTTGTTTGTTAGTTAATGCTTCGAAAAGGAACAAATCAGTAAATACATGTATGTTGATTTACTTCCACACATTTAATCATGAAAATGAATAAATTTTCTATTATTACTTTTAATGGTATAGGAAGGGACGAGGGATGGGTTCAATTAAAATGTTACATATTAGGACAACAAGTGTAGTCCCTCACAGCAAGTACACCCCCCAAAATTATATTAGTGTAGTGAGATTTTAGAGACATTGTGCAAATACAGTAGCTACAAAGATTAATGAAGTCACTTTTAGAAAGAAATATTATGAGTAGGCCTACAGCATGTAGGAGAATCCGTAGTAGCTGACAGTCACAAAATCATATCCATATAATAATAATAATCAATAATGCAATCCTACACTCTGTTGGTTTCATTCAATTAACTGTGTTGTTCTGCTTTTTACTAGATTAACTTATCTAATGTTGGAAAACTGTAATCACATTTAATTATTAGTGTAAAGAAATTCAACAAATGTTCTCAATTAATTGAAATTGAGTTTTTTCATTGAATATTATACTCAAAGGGCTGTTGCCAGATAGGAGGGCAAGCACCTTGCACACATCCGCTGTAAATGTATGGATACCAATATATGTTTAAAACTCGATAAGTCCAATTAGGACAAAGAGGCTATAATTAAAATAGGTGGCACATAAATAGCTAAAAATAAATAAGATACCTGAGTGGAATCCTTCTGTCATTTGTCCATACTTTCATTTTTTATATTTTTTTTATTTCCCCATTCAAACATTACAAGTACAATAATTAGAACAGTTCAGATATTTTTCACATACTTTCATCATACACGTGTACTATTCACATCAAATCATTATCTTATTTCTTTCAGAGACATCTGGTTCTGTTTCGATTCTTGCTGTTGTTTGGAGGTGGCCTGTTTGGGGTATTTGGTAGCAGGGCTATTGCTTACCCTGGTGCAGGGCCACTTGGAGCCTTGACCATTGCATTTGTAGCAGCTCTGCGCTGGCGCAGTGAGGGCTGGACAGACGAGGAGGTGAGTTGCTTGTTTGAAAGGTTCAAAGTTTAAAACAATCAAACTCAGTGGGCCACATATTGTTCAAGCAATTAGTTGCTGACCTGAGTTGAGAATATGGTAATAATGTCATCATTACAAGTGGTGGCATGGTGACATATTGCTCAAGTCTCCAATTTTTCTGGGAATAGTGTTCAGCTGTTTGCCTTCAGCATTGGGCAGTCAGCGTCTGTAAGAAATGGCAGGTGGTGACATTTTGCATGGTAATACAGCTAGTTAAAACAGAATAGTATCAATTTGAGGTGTTATTTATGCTTTTATTTGGTCAGCATTTGAGAAAGGTGAGAAAAGTCCATTGTATACTGTAGATTGGGTTAATTTGGCGCTACTTAATTTGGCGATTTTGCCATTTTTGGCATATTGGCGGCTATTTAATTTGGCACCGATATGCAAAAAAAATTCAAATTAACTTACGCGCTGTTTGCGAATTACCATGTAGATGAGCATGTTCTGCTATGTTCTTTTTCTTTTGAGGACCACTGGCGATGTTCACCACGTTTGTACATTTTTGTGAGATCATCCTTTACATTTTGCACCTCGATCGATGCTGTTACTATACCACGCTTTTCCTTTCTAGTTTTTTTTCCTGAGTATTAATGAGTGACTGACCAGTTCTGAGCCAATTTATGAGAGACATTTTTTCATATTTTTGGAAAAAAATAAACCGGAAGTAACTTAATACACTGGACGAAATACTCTAGATAATTCCTGGGGATTCATTCTAAATTTTGGCGAAGATTTATATTGGCGAATTTTTCAATTTCGCCAAATTTGCCAAATTAAAGCGGGCGCCAAATTAACCCAATCTACAGTAATAATAAGCTGCTCTTCCCAGCTGCACTCTTCCATAACAAATATTGGTTCTCTGCTTTAGATTTCCATGTAGTAAAATATTTGAACAAAATAAATATTCTATACAGGTGCCTTTTATTTCAGAGCCCAATGAACTCTATTATGGATAAGCTGTGGCTGCTCTTCCAGCCCTTGCTGTTTGGACTGATAGGAGCAGAGATAGATGTCTCCACCATACAGGGCTCTAGTCTGGGTAAGTAGAGAGCGCTAGATGAGGCGGGACTCTATTGGAAGTCCTGTACAAAAGGTCTAATAAAAAGCAGATAACACTTTTGGCCAGTTCCAGCAGCATTTGGATTAATATTAGACAGTTTCTACTGGATTAAGTCATCATGAGTTATATGACAAATGTGTGACTTTGCTGTCAGTCTGTGTATTGATGTCATTAGCATGATCAGATTTGATATTGTCACTTTTTATTATCAGCGAAAGATTAAAAGGCTGACATGCTCAATTATTTTGTATATTAAATAATTTATTTGACTACTTTGATATTTCAGGCCTTGCGATTGCAGTAATGTCAATTGGTCTTGCCATACGTATGGTGGTCTCATTCCTTGCAGTGTTTGGAGTGGGCCTCAGTCTGAAAGAAAAGTTCTTTATACCATTTGCCTGGCTCCCCAAAGCCACTGTGCAGGTATGATATCAACTTCTCTATTGTTTCCGCAAACTTGTTTTATGTCATCACTAGGATTAGATTTTACATTTATCCATTTCCCAAGGAGGCTAGCTGGTTTATTTATCAACAGCTGTTCATTGTAAAGTCAAATCAAAATGTCAATATCACTAAAGTTGGTATGGTTTTTGCTGCCCAATGGATCCAATATAAACTTCCTTCTCAGAACATGCTTTAGAATACATTATTAAAGGTCCCATGCAAAGGTTGAGACTTTTAGGCATTTATATTTCATTCATTAGGCAATAAAACCTGCTGTGTAATTCTTACCATTACTTGACATGACATAAAAAACATTTATGTGTGAGACAACTAAAGGACGATTCTCGGTTTGGAGAACAGTCTCCTGGGCTAATAATTTTTTCATGAAAAATATAGAAATATTACCCAAATTAAACTATGAATATTCAAAAGAGGACATTTAAATCTACAAGATGTAAAAATAACAAATTGGTCTGAAGCAGGGATAACGCTCAATTAGACCGATTTAATAAAATACTAGTCTCGATTTGGGGAAAGAAGTTCATAAATGTACTGCGCTAATATTTTTTGCGAAAAATCTAGAAATATTACCCAAATTAAATTATGACTATTCAAAAGAAGACATTCAAATCTATATTATGTAAAAAAAATCAAATTTGTCCGAAGCAGGGATAATGCTCATTTAGATTGATGAACTTCGTTCTTCAAACCGAGAATCGTCCTTTTATTTCAAATAAATTCAGATTTTCTAAACAAAAAGTGTCTTCAAAAATAAAAAAAGGTAATTAAATAGTTTCATATTTCATTTGGTATTACAAAAATTATGGCAAGACTACGATATCGGAGTGAGTTGTTTAAATTCTGCATGGTAATAAACTTGAATAGAATAGTGGTTTTAAAAAGATAATATTTCTGGAAATGAAAAATAGGTGTCAGTCAGAATGTATCATTTTTACCTTTCATAAACAAACAACTTTAAGACAGCAGTAGTTAATCTTGAGATCTGTTGTTTTATCCCTAAAAGGACAGTTGCATTATTCAACATGAAAATACTGCATTCTGCTTACATGTATCATAAACACAAACCAAAATTGAAATGATCTATGCAAAACAGATGACACCCAGCACACACCTTTACACCCAACACAGAACCTTTCACTGTTAATAACTCAGGATAACATGATTTCAAGGTTAGTTTATTGATGGCAAAGCATCATCAAAGTCATTGTGACTTATTAACAAACCTTGCTTTCACTCAGTAAATGCTAAGCAAAAAGATCAATATATGCACTATTCATTCTATGTAGATATGTCTGACTGAAAACATCAAACAAATCATAGAGCATAACAGTATAATATGATACTATTTGTTTTACTGACCACAATTGCTTTTCACTTAATCCTTGTCTGACAGTTTTATCTCTCTTAACACTACGTTCTCTAGTTGTATCGATATCAAAATATTGCAGGTTTCAGGGGTGGATCTGGGAACCAACAAGGGGGGGGGCCCAAATTTCAGGTCAGGGAAAAATATTTAAACCTATAAGTGGGCCCAAATTTTGAAATTTTGAGACCCATTCCCTTCAAAATTTGGCCTGAAATTAAAAAATAAGGCCTTTAAAGGCCCAGTAATGACCAAAAAGGCCCACTTTTTGGGGCCTTAAAACCTTTTTTGGCCCAACATTTTTTGGGCCCAATTTTTTCTGAGCCTACCCAAGGTAGCCCCCAGGCCCTCCCCCCAGATCCACCAGTGGGTTTACATTCAGTTATTATCCCATCGAACGAAGTTCGGAGGGATATAGGGAACGCCTCCGTCTGTCCGTCCGTCCGTACGTACGTCCGCCGTCCGTCCGTCTGTCCGTCCGTCCGTCCGGGCAATAACTCAAATACTGTTGGCCCGATTTTGTTCATATTTTGAACACATATACTCAATGGGGGTAAAAGTTCTGCTCGAAAACCGATTTTCAAAATGGCCGCTCATTTAAAAATGGCGGCCATTTTAGTGCCGATTTTACAGTAATTTAGGTACTGCATATAAAACTGTCATGGCAATATGTTTTAAATGTAAAAAGTTATATAGGACATTGATTAAGCTAGAAATGTAAATATAGAAGAAATACATGGCAGCCATCTTGAAAAATGGCTGCCTTTGCACGTCATTTTTCGATTTTTGCTGTAACTTGAAAAGTAGTGGAGCGATTTTGTTCATATTTGGTATGTCAATGCTTTAAGCATGGGACAATGTCTAATGACATTTTGGGTAGTAGGCAGCCATTTTGAAAAATGGCCGCCATTTTTACGTGTGTTATTTTACATTTTTTACTATAACTCAAAAAGTAGTAGAGCGATTTTGTTCATATTTTATATGTGAATACTATAAGCATGGCACACTGTCTAATGACACTTTGGGTAGTAGGCGGCCATTTTGAAAAATGGCCACCAATTTTACGTTTTTTACGATAACTTGAAAAGTATTGGAGTGATTTTGTTCATATTTGATATGTGAATACTCATGAGCCTAGCACACTGTCTCATGACACTTCACGTAGTAGGCGGCCATTTTAAAAAATGGCTGTCATTTTTACATTTTTTACTATAACTCGAAAAATAGAGTGATTTTGCTCATATTTGATATGAGAATACTTTAAGCATGGCACATTGTCTAATTAAACTTTGGGGAGTAGTCGGCCGTTTTGAAAAATGGCCACCATTTTTATGTGTGTTATTTTACATTTTTATTATAATCATAAAGTAATAGAGCAATTTTGTTCATATTTGATATGCGAATACTCGTAAGGATTGCATACTGTCTTATGACATTTTGAGGAGTAAGCGGCCATTTTAAAAAATGGCCACCATTGGCAATCTTTTAAGAATTTTATATGTGGCTACTTAAAAGCATATTACTTCTGATGACAACTTGGCTAGTGATCAACCATTTTGAAAATGGTGGCCTTTCTTATGGGTGTTATTTTATGATATTTGCTATATATTTCCTATGTAAAAATGCCAGCCATTTCTGTTCAATGGGATTCGCTACGCTTTGGCGTTGGCGTTGCCGTTGTTCTGGTTTAACTTGTGTATATATGTTGTATTTTAAGCAATGCATTACAGCTGTAGATTTGGTAAGGAATTAAGAAAGAAAATAAGCTATATCTAATGATAGAATTGTGCTTACTTTTTGCACTACCTCTACTCTGCCACGTATATCATTACATTCTGCATTTAAGGCTGCTATTGGATCTGTGGCATTAGATACAGCCAGAGATCTAGACCCCACTCCAGAGAAACTTCATCTTGGACAACAGGTATGAACTTATTGGTCCAAATTCTTGAAATGAATGCACCAATCAAAATTCAGGGATGATAATATTTTAGTCTGGTTAACATTTCACAAATATTTTGATAATTTTTCAAGGTTTTAAAGAAACACAAAGTACAAGTACTTTCACTGACTTGTGCATAGCATACATATTTGCCAGATCTCTTTATTTAAATGGTATCTTAATGACTTTGGTGTTAAAAGATAGATGTTTCTTTACTTCCCATTTCTTCTTGCAGGATCATGAATCAATAACATTTTCTTTTCATTATAGATTGAACGATTTGCTACAATAAATTTTCATATTTTTTAGCACTGAAATATGCAGTTAGTCAATAAATGTATGTTTTTATAATCAATACATTTCAGGTGCTTACAATAGCAGTATTGGCAATCCTGATCACAGCACCTCTTGGTGGTGTCGCCATTGCACTGATGGGGCCAAGACTTCTGAAGCCATCTGAAAAACATCTGGACTCCCTAAAAGATGATGCAAACATGGACAACCTTGCCCCAGTTGATAATGAAACAGTTTGCTTAAGTAGCTATAAAAACAATGATGTTGAGAATGATGTGAATTTGAGATTGCGTGCAGAGCCACCTGGTGCTGGTCCAGAGGATAATGACCACAGCTGGGGCGAGTATTGGGAGTATGATGAAAAAGACATAACAAAAGAAAATCTTGACTCCAGCGCAGATATTACTCTTAAAAGTCAAAACGCTAGGATTTGACAGCTATAGTAATACATACACATATACTACTTAGTACTGTACACTGGCATCAGTTCGACTGAAATATTGTTTTTTAACAGGGTAATGCCAAAAATATAAAAACCTTTGATATGATAAATATTATGTTATATTTCAAAATACAAGAACTAGCATGATTTTTTTTCGATAATTTAAGATGTTCAGGCCTTGATGGTTTTCTAATAAGGCTTAGAACATATCCAAAGATACAAGGTCTGTCTCATTCTTTTTAAGACCATATATTGGAAGTGTTAAAACTCATTCTTCTCTGTTAATTTTGTTAACTATGATCTGATTTTTATAACCAAATTACTTGTTATGTATTAAGAAAGGTTAAAGTCTTACTCCCATGTCAAGGAAAGGGATTAAAATCCTTCTTGAATGTGCTTAAAGACTTTGTGCAAAGTTACTGTTTAGTCATTGAAATGTTATATGTCACAATTTGAAAATATTACATGGGGCCTTTAAGTACCTTTAAGGATATAACATGGGGTAATATGTGATAGGAGAATATAAAAAGGCTATTACAACTGAATGCATTAAAAAGTTGAATCATATATCAATTGCATTTACATTTTTAATGCACTCAAATTGATGAACATGAATGCAATAAAAAAACAATCAAGTACAATTAATGTAATTTACATACATGTACATTCAAAGTAAGTCTACAAGTAGATAGAAAATATTGTTTGCCAACATTCCATAATGTACACCTATTTGTTAAAATAATTTAATTGCGAATAATTTCAACACTCACAACAGGGTAATCTGATGGTAGAAAACTTACCTTTATGACTATACATATTAAGAAATAAGATACTGTATTATATATAGATCATGTATATGGACATACACTGTACATGAAAGTTTCCAAAAACAGAAGAAACATATTGATAAATATGTGTTTTTTAAAAAAAAGTTTTTTTGTTGCATGTAAAACTGCCTATAGTTAAAGTATAACAGTACAATGGGATAGATGCTCAAATATTATGGTAAATAGGATGTTGGATGTATCTATTTCAAATACATGTAAAAGTGAAATTATGAGCTTTTTTAACTGCATACTTTACATTTTTTATGAAAACATAGTCATTGTGGATGGTGTTCGGCAGTTGGTGTTCGGCGGTCAGCAGTTACATCTGTAATAAATGGCATAGGGTGACATTTTGCATGTTAATGCCTTCTTTTTATGTTATAATGCTTTAATTCAAAAAAACATGTACTTTTATGTTTTACTTAAACTTTTATTTGTGCCATTATTAACCTATCTGAATGTAAAATTGAATTTTATACAGTTTACAGTTCAATAATATTCAATAATAATATTCGATAAGTACTGCTAACAGTAGTTACCATAGATAAAGACAAATAAAATTATTATCCCACTGTACTGTTTCTCATTCTGTGATTGGTTCAACATGTGTCACATGGCATAAGACATCCTGTGATATTTTCCTGTGATGTTTATTGTTAATTGGCAAAATATTTCCTTTTCACCATTTTTAACATCCTTCTAAAAGTAGGCCCTTATATATATATCTGACATCATATGCAATATACGAGAATGTTACAGAATGAGGAGTATACAGCGAATAAGAAAACTGACATTTTCTTCTATTTTGGGGTAGCATCAATCAATTGGCAGCATTATTGAAAATTGATAAAATCTGAAAATGGAAATGTTACAAGATTTCTATGTTTATAGTAATATTTAAATTACGTTATACAAATACAGATTACATAGTAGATTATTGTTTTCTCATGTAGGTCTAGTAGTTTTTAATTACAGCAGTATTATTTACCTGATTATTAATGATTGTGTGAGATATCTCATAAAATTAATCGAATCATATCTGGTCAATATTATATGAATGTATTATTGCACCTGTCAGGCCCCTACAATGTAGGTTAATTGTTTGTTTAACAGGGTTTTTCACTTAAAATGCCAAAAATACATCAAAATGAAAGATGAAACTAAAGTCATCAAAAAGCAAGAAAGAATGTTTGATCATGTTCTAAGGTGTTATTGGCATTTGTTGTGTATCTTGTGATTAATTTCTCATTGTGTGTCTGTCTTCTTAGAAGCAATTACAACGTCTTACAATTGATATTTCTATAAGTTACATTGACATCTAGTTTGAATAAATATTGAGTTGAATTATGCTTTGTATTTAATTATTTATCTGTTTATTTAAATCTTATTAATGTAAAACTTTGAATTAACTTAGTTATTGATTATCATGAAAATGATACAAAAACAAAATATGGTGTACATTCGCATGAAAAGCCATAAGTAGATACTTAGTTTACCTTCCTGGTTAAAGTAAAAGAAACACAAACTTGTTTTCTAGAAATGGACAGGTTACGTAAAAACTTTGTAAAAATGACTGGTGGTTACATTTTGTATGTTAATGCCTTGTTACATCTTTGTTTTTAATTTGAACTCAGTAAATCAGTAAATGTTAAACTGAAGTTTTATGAAGGAAGGAAATATAATTATACGAGTTATTTCATTTTTTGGACATAAAATTATTTTTTTGATACGATGTAGAATCATTAGAAATAAGTAGTTTTTGTTTCTGAGGTTAGTAAAAATGACTATAATTCATATTAAATATATAATTATTTCATTCAAATAATAGTAAGTATGAAAATTGAGAAATGATGATATTTGTTATTTTGAAATCAGCCATGAGGGGAAAATAAGGTTCCACTTAACATTTTGACTGAGTGTGCTACATTTTCTGAAAATGCTTTTCCATAAATCATGCTTATCTAACTTGCTATTGCAATCAAAAAGTGTTGATCCGTTTGCTTTTCTCAAAAACATTTAAGAAGAGTAAACCTTTATTAGTTGGTGGCATATAGTTGATGTTGAAGACCCTGCGTAAAGTTTAAAGTGCCCGATAAACTATAAAATGCGCATGCGTCCAGGTGTTGATAAACTATAAATAGCGAAAATCCAGGGTTTGACACCACAAGGTAAGCCAGGACGTGTTGAGAGAACAGCTAGTGTTGATATTGAATTTATATGTAGCCAGATAAGTTTCCTTATTGAAATTACATATGGTTATTAGCAATACTTTGTAGGTGCTAAATAATAAAATATGTAGAGTATATATGAGAGAAATTGGTCATTTCGAACCTGTTGAAAAGTTTGTGGCTCTCGGCTACACCGGGGAATTTACTTCCATGAGTACACACATAAATGTGGGGTTCCCCAAGAGGTACGCGACAAGGTGACCTGGCATCAAATGTGCGACTAAATGCTACTATCGAGAAGATAAAATAACGAATACGACAACAAGTTATTGCATGTGACAATTTGTGAAGTATTTTGAAGTGAAAATAGGATTTTTGTTTTGATACATGGATTCAGATGAACGTAGCTTTATTCTGACAACTAATCAAAACTGAACAAAATTGATTGTACGTAACAGACAATTTATTGTTTTACAATGTTTTGATTGGCTAAACGAATGAAACCAACAAATTATGACATGTAAAATGACAATTTTGAAATGTAAAATTTAAAAGTGACAAACACAACCTCCCTATCCACTCTTTGGGAGCCCTAGTAAATTAGTAATATGTACATGCAGCAGTGGTAGTGTACAGCTTATTATCACACTACGCTTTGTATTCTAAAGCCTGTTGTTTGTAATAACACTGTTCACTCAACGTATGTTTTGTGTGTGGGCAATCAACGATAATCATTGTTATATCCCGGTTATATGACCTCGGTAATTATAACAAAACCGTACTAAACGAAAAAACGCAAATAAGAGAAAGCTTTCACACACATATAAAAAATGAACTAGTCTAATCCGCCAGTATAAACTCTGTGCTATACGTAGCCGGGTCAGGCGCACACTTTAAACAACATTTTCACATTTTCAACAATTTTCACACGTGGCCTTTAACCATTCAATCAACTGAATCAGGTGTTGTTTGGTGAATCAGATATGTAGTTAAAACATGCATAAAATGTTATTTTATATCATATTGCACTAGCCATTACATTGGTATTTAACTGGAGCGTGGATTTTTGCAGTGATGTCTACATTACAAATAGTTTTCTAAATGGTTTATGCTATGATTTATGCTCCTTGCAATATTGAGATTAGCATTAAAGGAGCAGCGAATCAAACATTTTTTCTCCATTTATAATTTTTATGTGTTTTAGACGTTTTTGTGGACGATGTTCGTCGATTGATTGATGGCGGTTTGCGTTCGGCGTTGGTAACAAATGGCAGGTGATTTTGCATCTTGTTCTTTTATAAATTGTTGAAAATACAGCAAAAGGAAGGTCCCGTTAAATTTTCATTTTGTTAGAGGTTTCAACTGCTCTCTGGGCACTGATTTAATCTAACGTCACATATTTCATATCCAGTTTTGTTTTGAATAAGTGTCATACGTATCATATATTTATGTTATGTTATGCTATGTTTAGTTACGTTATGTAATGCTATGCTATGTTACCTGTATATACATATGTTACGCAAGTAATTCATCATCCTGACATTTTCCTGTTCCTGTTTGTTCAAAATTGAAGTCAGATCAGAATTTGTGCATGATTTAAAAAATGTTTGGTCAAGTTGAAGCAAGTTGAAACAAAATACTGTAATCGGCCGGGCGCCAACCGATAAATCGGGCCAAATGTGACCTAGGCATCAGTTGTTGAGGTTTCATTTCGAATAAATGGACCGAACAAATAACATGATGAAACCATTACAAACTGAAAGATTTAATATGTGAACACACACTTTAGAACTTAGGGTGTCTGTAGAGCTATACCGGTGTAAGAATAGGTGGGCATATTTTTCCTTTAATAGACACTCTCCTTTCATATTCTTAATGAAACACCTTATCATTCAAGGTGGCCGCCATAATGCTGTTGAATTTATTGAAATCCAATATGTCAACAAACATTATTCTGTAATAGTTTGTTCAAAACGAAGTTCAATAGCACCATTACCACATTCTCATAAAGGTCGGAATTATGATATCCATAATAGTCAATTAAAAAAATAGTCTCGCCAGAACCTTTATAAAGGAAGATATTGTTAAATGTAAAACTGAGAATATTAATAACAGAAAGTTATTCAAATGAAGAAGTAAAAATGAACGTTCATAGTCATACATTTTTGCATCCGCATATTTTTACAATAAAAACTGCTTTTGAAATAAAAGATACACACCACAGTATAAGGCATATATACTGAAGACTCTAGTTAACAATATCCGGGAACCAAGAAATTGGTATTAGAATACTTGGAGAATAGGATGGATCTACGAAATACCTCTTGGCGTTTTGCGTTATATTCAATATGGCTTATTTCTCAGGTACGTACATAGAGAAACTTGCAACACAAGTTATGGGCGTTCGTTTTGAGCATTTATTACATACTCTGGATCCTTTTCTTGAATATGTAAACATCCACATGTCAAAAATTGTGACTGCTCATCACTTATAATAAGTTATATCTCAGAATCATCTGAAAAATTTGCCAAACGAATCCGCTATTGTCACTCACAGCCTTGTTTTCCATTAAAAATCCCAAAACTATCAAATACGGCTCAATATTTCGTGGTATCAAAGCTGCATTCTATATTTTGTGACATGATATCATTTGAATAAAGTGGATACACTGGTATCACTATGGAATAATGACATATTATTTCCCGTGTCCCATTGCAGGTTTACTCAGGATTTGAATTGGAAGATACAGGGAAGCAGGGAGAGCCTGACATGTACAGAAAGATTCGTAGGGTGAAAAGGATCAGTGAAAAAGCACCTGGAGGTACACAGTGGTACAGTATACGACCCCCCCCCAAAAAAAAACTTTTTAAAAATAAATTGCTTTACTCACCCTATGTAGTGAAAGTATGCTTTTCAAAATTAGATAAAAAATACGGGGAGAAAAAGTTTACCATTGAGCTTCACCATAATTAATGCCTCAGTCACATTTGATCTACGGCAACCGTACGACGGCCGTAGTTTCTCAAATTGAGAAAAAATGCAGCATAAAATATAGGGATAAGCAGTACGATGTAGATTTTCTATATCGATTTTGTGAAGCAACGGCCGCCGTAGATCAAAGCCCGAGGCTTCATCAACGATACCATGTACTGTATATTCAAGTGTCCAATGATGTGCGAATTGTGTTGTAGCTCAAGTGGCAATTAAAGGCTCACATCCATGGATAGCAGGGTTATGGGGAGATCTACCTGACGACCAGCCAACCTTATGTGGTGGCGTCATACTTAACAGCTGTTATATCTTAGCAGCTGCGCATTGTCTACAGCTAGTCACTGGACAAAAATGTAGCGGGAAGTTGACAAGGTTTATGATATTTTTATCATTTATGTAGATTTTTTATTATTTACATTTATCTCACTTATGTAGATCATAAAAACACCACCCTGCGCGCAGAGTTTAGGTATCAAATAACAAAAGACGAAGCTCACTTTTAAGAAGCGAACTCGAACGAAAGTATACTCTAACATCTCTGATTCTTTATAGGATAACACTGGGGGCCAGACATATAATGGATCTTGTCCCTGGATTCGCTCGACAACCAGATGTTGAAGCAATAAAGAAGGGAAAATGGCGGGCCACGTGTCATCCATTCTCAAAGTTTTCCGATGTACTTGGGAATGAAACTTCTGTTGACATCGCCCTTATTAAGTTGGATAAATGCATATCATATTTCACAGAGAATGTCATAGACAGAATATGTTTACCAAAGACACCAGTTGATGATCTTCGCCAGTTAGAAGGTGCCACATATTGTACCGTTGACATTCCATCATGGTTTTCACAATGTCCGGAATACTGAGCATTTACTATAATCCTGGATAATATCTTAATTAACCAGACGTTATAAATATGCCATTAAAAAGTCCATCACCAACAATCATATTCACCCGTTAGTACCAGTCTCAAAATATCGTGTTCGAATTTGAAATATTTTGCTATCGTGAAAAGAAATTAAGCTGAAGACTCAATGCATTGTGGCTGATTCATTTCACCCAGGCGTTGTTTCCTATAATTACCACTCGATGCTACGCATCTCGTGCAAAGTTTGAAACAACACCCTTGAGGAATTTTCAGTCCACAATGCACGACTTAAATCCTCAAATCATTGCTAAAACATTTTACAGGAAATACGATGACGTGTTTTGGATGGGGAACTATTACGGAAACTAACGAACTGCCCATGACACTTCAACAAGCGACACCTTCTATTGTTGATAGAAATATCTGCTCCGATGTGATTGGAATACAAGGTGGTTTCAAGCTCCCCAATGTTGGCGTATGTTCTGTCCCAAACTTTGGAGGCAGCGGAGATTCAGGTGAGAACAACAGTGTAGTATCTTTGCAAATCAGGAATAGAGATTAGGGATCATGAATTTTCATCTTGATATATTATAATTCAATTCAGGTTATTCAACGAGTTTATATTTACTGGACTTTATGCAGATTTGTATTTGCTAGAATATACCGAAGGATAATTGCAGACTTATATTAACGTGATGTATAAACCATGATTACTGGCATTATTTCACCTAATACCATTCGAATGGTAAAATAATACTTAAAACCCACACCGATTCTTATCAAAGGTAAATGGTATGCCGCGGTCCAGGCATTATTGAGCTACCATTCATGTAACTTATTAAAAAGTTAATGTTAATATTGAAACGATACTCCCTGGGTGACCGTCTGCTTTACACGTTTCTGTTTATTAATATTTTTCAGGTAGTCCTTGTGTGACAAAGGACGGCAACAATGCGGATTGTCTAGTTGGGATCATATCAGGACGCCGGTTCTCAGCTACGGTGACAGCGTCTCTTCGACACCCAACGGTACTCAACTGGGTCAAGGAAACTGTCAGATGTAAGTAACAATTTTAGTCGACAACGACAACAGTTAGTTTGTTTTTTGAAAGGAATTATATTACTGTTAGACGGAAATTTGCTAGACAGAATGCATGACATTATATATGTTCTCATGGTACCTTACTATTACAGAAAACGTTAATTACTTTCACAATAGAAACATTAATGGAATATTGATGGCGAATTGTCTTTATGTTACACTAATTTGTTATTACTACTTAAGATAATAATATTTAAGTCAATAGAACTATTTTTGCATCAGTGTCATTATAACTTTAAATAAACCTCGATGCAGCTGCGCCATGTCCAGAGTCATGTACCCATCGAGACATATGTGAATGTGGCAGTCTGCCAGTTGCGGATGATGATGATGTAAAGTGCCCACAGCTTGACCCAATTATAGACGCCCCGTCAAATGGCACCCTGAAGGTAGTTTCGAATACGCCTGGGTCGCTAGCTCTGTACGATTGTATAAATGGCCGACAGTTGCTAGGGCCAATAGTGAGGGCATGTCTGCCAGATGGAAAGTGGAACGACGAACCACCAACTTGCAAAGCAGGTTTGCTTCAATTTGATATTAATTTGCTTAAACGATGTTTTAGTTTAAGTGTAGTCAGTAACCGAATTTCGGCCTGGACTTGGATGCACATCACTTACTAACTTATAATGGGAGAAACATGGGTGTAGCCAGATGAGGAGGGGGTGCGATCGCATTCCCCACAAAAAAAGAAAAAGCGATTTGTAAGATTTGTTGAAAATACCGACAAAAAATTAACGTTTGAAATGCTTAGAATGTACCATATACGAGTATAATCTAAATGTTAAAAAAATCCGGGGGTTAACCCGCGTATCCCCCTATTTGGGACTCGCTTCACTCGCAGTGATGTATAGCCAATGTATACCGCACCACCTTGACAATTGCTGGCTATGGCCTTGAGAAGTATGTCAGATGGCTTTCATCTTACCCCAGGCCCAATAAGTGATCCTTTCCCTCTTATCCAAGATACAAGTGAGGATGCTTATCCCCCTTTCCCTATGCACACGATACCTACCCTATTATTCAAGGCGAGAAATGCTTGCCCCTTTATCCAAGATACAACATTACATATACCAAGACACACAATGAGCAGTACCATCTAATGGACAATCCAAAACTATTGCCATCAACCAGACTTGGACAGATTTGTGTGAAAAGCAGCCAAATCCAACTCACATCTAGATTTATAATATCACATATCTGCCTAGAAATAATCGTTGACTAATATACCTTTTCGTCACTAAAACAGCCTTTAACACATGAACTAAAAGCGAAAGAAAGAAATCATCATTTTCTCGTGGAGATTGTTTACTGTTCATTGGATTCCTTGGATTTCCAAAGACATCCTTAAACAACATTAAGGATCCTCCCTAGGGATCCTCAAAGCCAGGTTAATATATTTCCGTCACTTCTCTGCAGGACTTTGTGTGAAGGGAGACCCCCATGTGAAACACTTCCTGTCCGCGCATGGCGTCAGGCTATGTTATTCATTGACAGGGAAACCTCACGAGGTTCTTACGTTCTTTTCCAACGAAGACAAAGGTACGATATGTCACCTTTAAGGTATGATATCCCATCTTGAGTCGAAAGTCATAACCCTATCAACTCTAGAACATCCTCAAATCATATTATAAAAGTAAGATGTCTTTATGTTAAATTCAAATATGCCAAGTGTGTCTCGGTCAATCAGATTTGAGTAATTCAGTGCATTATATCAAGGTATATGATCAACTGGGCATAACTATTAGTTTACAGTGCATTGTGTGTTTATAATGTATTGGAAATATAAAAGCATGAGTGATGTACTAGCCCTTACAAATAATGTACGAAGGAAGAGGCCGAATAAATTATCAGGATGGATTAGTGATGGATATTTTTTAAATAAAACAAAGAATGTTCTGGGTTTTTATTTTCAATTCATTAATCAAATATTTAAGGAATAAATAATGATAGGCCATTCAATATGGTGAAATTCAGCACGAGTTGGACAGAATGTTGTACAAAGCACGAACCGAAGGTGAGTGCATTTGTACTAACATTCTGTCCAACGAGTGCTGAATTTCACCATATTGAATGGCCTATCATTATTTATTCCGATTCAAACATAAAAATTAGTAAAAGCCGTGTCTGTAGAACAGCTATCCCCGGACAGAGCCCTAGATGTGCAGCTCAGATGTGACGTCACTCAAAACAATGCAAATTGCAGATTGAATAGAGCATGGTCGTGCATCTATGGACAATTAGAGAACGTTCTATATTGGCTAAGCTGCATTCTGATTGGTTGAGAAATTCGAATAGAGCACGGTCATGTTTGAATTAAGGTTTGTTCTAATGTTCATATACATACATCTGAATGCAGGTATTCTTATCAATGGCCAATACGGTCCCCCTAGTAAAACGGATATCGAGGTAGCCAAGAACATCAGACACTTAGGGGTGAAAGCTGGAGATACAACTATTGAATTTACTAAGAAATACATCAGAGTAAACAATGGACGATTCAGACCATGGTTGATGCAAAACGTAGAATATGCTGGCGTTAAGCTCGAGATAAATGAAGATACCATGACTGGGAAGGTGACAATACTAGAAGAAGAAATGACTATGACAATTGCTAGGAAGAATGCACGCGTAGATTTCTGTTTATTTCCACATTATTTTCCGCAAATAGGGAAAGGAATCTTAGGTGAGTTTTTCATTTCTTGGTACAACTTTTGTAACAAAGCAAATCAATATAACATCAAAGATTATATCAAATTAAAACAATTATATAATGCATGGCTTACAATGAATATCCATAAAAGGCAGAATCAAAATCAAGCAAAGGATTCACTTTTTTGCACTATGAATCTTTAATTACTTCAGAATTTCACGATCTCATGGCAAAATATTTTTGAGTCGGGATCTGACAGTTGGTAAGCATATGAACCTATTTCACATCTCGTTATTCAAAAATATCAAAGTGTACTCTAATTATGCTCCATCAGACACTGCCTTTCTATCGTTCATTTCTTGCGATTGCTTACAGTCCCAAAAGCAGTATGCAATTCGAGGCAAGACTTTTAAATAGCCCAAGCATGATACTTGAAATGGTAAAGCTACCGACTGCCAATATGTTTCCATACTCATTCAGGAGTTGTCGACAGCCACAATAAGTCAGATATCAACTTTGGAACGATGAAACCTGGGAAGACGGTTGCTACAATGTACATTAAAGGCAGGACTGTCAAGATCAAATCGCGCATGACTAAGAACAACCTACCGTGTTGGAGTCTGAGGGGAGGCGATCCGCTGGAACAACTAATAGGGAATAATATTGAAGATTTTAGATCCAATTGTCTGTTCTGTTATCCAGGACAATAATCAGCAACATATCTATACAATTTAGATGTGCGGTATTCTACCATTAAGTTGATAAATGTGTGGTTTAATTTATTGATAATCATCAAATGATATACATGTGATGTATAGCATTTACCCTGAAAATTAGTGAATTATGTAAATATTCATATTTACATTTTGCGATTTAAAAACATTAAGTTTTTCACGAACGAAATATATTTTAATTACAATAATATATTCCTCTTTCAATAATATATTCTTCAGTCTATTCCTCCTATCGACATGGGACATCGATTATTGTGTTAACACTGCCAACTACATTAACGTAAGGATCACAATGTATAAAAACACACCAGATAAGATAATACACATTATGAAAAAATGAATGCTGAACTTGTTTATTGACACAAAGGATCCGTAAAAATTAGTTTAAAGGGTAAAATGGAAATCCAGAATTATTTGAGAAATGTGGTTAAAAGTTGTTTTTAACACTGATTCTTAACACATGTCATGTAGACTCTAAGAGTGAGTAATTACCACTTTTCACAAAACCTTGACTAAAATCATGAATTTCTTATATACACTTAGTTTGATTCGTCAATATACAACTTTAATGTGTCCTAATCTACCAGGTTTCGCGTATTTGTCAGTATTGCACAAATATTTTTCAATCCTTATTTGTATGGTTAAACGTTTTGTATTTAACAATGAATGACCGTCTCTAGTCATTGACAAATCGAGGACCTTCCGCAAGTCAGACCCAGTCTGATTTTACCTTTAATGTTTAGAATTGACACTATTTTTTGTTGCAAACATAAACTGAGAGAGGGTCCTGACTGCGCAAGATACACAATTGTAAAAGTATAGCAAGCATTTTACTTCCGACAATGAGGCTTGTTGGATTTGCCAGACATAAGGCTACAAACTATCAGACAGATACCATGGGTCAAATCTATTTTTGAGTCCAAAATGAAATTTACCTCTAAAATGAAATTTTAGAATGACTTGAACTGAACGACATTCGTTTTAATCACAAGATATAATTCCAATAGACATAGTTGATAAAAGTATATATTTCCATGTTTTTTTTTCAATCAAACCTGGGGGTCAGATTTAGGTACGTATGAGTACAGATCCTTTCAATTTAAACATTGATGAACAAAAAATATCATTATGTTTGTTCAATTCATTGATGTATTAATAATTCATGTAGCTACGGACACATAGTGTAATACCATGCTATACTATCCATTATAATCGTAAATCACCTGGAACATGGATTGGTTTAATTAATTTAATCATTCGAATTAATGTTCAATATCATTTTATTATGTTTTATGATGTGATTTAATACCATCATACTATAATCTCATAATTAAGACAGCTAATCCTTAAGGTGACTCAATACATAGTTTAGTGTATTTAAGATGATTTCATTTGTTTTATTTTAGTACATCATCATTAGGGCATCGACCTTTGTTACAAAATCTAGGTAAATGTTAGTGTCGAAGTAGACTCGGAAACCCTCTTTATAACTACCAACAATGTTAAGTTCATACATGGTAGATCTATCGCTTTAGTGATTTCAAATCTTAGTGAAAGCATATAATACCAGAAACATGACAAACATCACGCTATTTTCCTAGATATGGCACCGGAAATGGGTGGAAATACCATCCAGACATGTCGCATGAAAACATTTTGAAATCAAATTTAATTATTTATTCATTCATTTGTTAAGGTCCGATGTTAGGTAGTTTTACTTAAGAAAATTGAATGATAAGGAAGTGTTTGATACTGTATTATCAAACTCTTATGTATGATCATTGTTTTTAATGTTCGGGGCTTGTTCTTCATTTTTAAACTGTTTCTTATTTATTACATTTTGAAAGTAAAGGCATTCGGTGTGAGACAAAAATATGATGAAATCCGCAATTTCGCCTCACTAGTCACCTTAAGATGTAATAGCCCGCACAAAGTAAATATCACCATCATGACATATCAGTTTGAAGGATGTCATTTATAAAAGGCAATTATAGAATTCCCTTTAGTCAGAAAGATGTGTAGCATTAATGTAAAAAAATGTGAATATAAATTGTATTATCAAATTGAGAAATAAACATGGATTCACTTACGGCGTGGTACGTTTGTGGTATAAAGCATATACGATAAAAAGAAAACAATATGCCTCCACTAGTACTTTCAATCTAGGAAACACTACCTCACATAAGTAATTGGAGTGTAATGAATTTTTATTCAGGATATGCGCACAGCGTACGCATGCTTAGTTTAATATGGCTGATTTGTCAGGTAAGGTCTCTTTGAGATAACATCAATGTTATTATACAAAATACAGAGTAAGAATAAGCAGTTAGAGTTAACATGCAAAGTAAGGAAAAAATTAGAAGAAGTTTTAAGCAGCAACTGTTGTAACCCCTCCCCTAATGTATTTGAGTTATATTAAAGAATATTTCAGCTTTACTCAGGATTTGGATTGGGGGATATTGCAAAGCCCACAAATTGTAAAAAACCTCACAGAGTCGGGAATAACGTGCAGAGAATCAGCCTTAAGGCACCCGGAGGTATAAGTCTTACGTTCCTTTAAAATGTTTGGATTGAATTTTGAATTAATATCAAGAATAACATTTTTGTTACTTGTTGTTCTGTTACTTTTTTCACAATTGTACAATGTTGAATGGGTTTTTTATTACACAAGAATAATTGATTAAGGTTAGGCACAAGCTTAGTATCGAGGTTAGCTTGTACACAAATCAATTTGATACTGTGTAAATACAAAAAATCAGAAAAATAGGCATATCAATTAATGTTTTGTGCAAATCATTTTTGCAGCCTATTTTCAAAATGCCATTTCTACGCACCTTGTCTGCCATCGTTATCTCTTCAATTCATCATTCAGGACTTTCGATATCATGCATTTTAATAAGTATAAAATAACGTGAACTAGACCCAGAATTGTAAACTTCGAACAATATTTAAGGTATCATCCACTGAAAAATAAATCAATTGGTTTTCTGATTTTCTTCAAGGATTTACCTCGTCAGCAAACCACAAGGAAAGTTAAAATTGACGAGATTTCTCGTCCACACAGTTAGAAATAACTGATATTACACCATATTGTAGCCCAAGTTGCAATACAAGGTTCACACCCATGGATGGCAGGGTTATTTGGCTTCTATGGAGCTGATGCAGGCTTTTGTGGTGGCGCCATACTTAACAGCTGCTACATTGTAACAGCTGCGCATTGCGTACAGGAGGTAACTGGGAAGAAATGTGGCGGTGTAGTGACAAGGTAAAATTATCCATTGTTTGCGAGGCGATTTAACAGAAAAAGTACAAAGGACAGAAACACAAAGTAAAGAAACCTCCGAAGCATCGCAAAACCACTCAAAGCCCAGGAACGGACAGATCAGAGATACTAGAGAATGATTTTTGGATAACTATTAGGATTAGATCATACAAGGGTGTCGAACAAGTAACCCCCGCTACAGCCAAACCCTTAATATGGTATCCTGTGTGATATATCATTGGAAAGATCATCCAAAGTTACTGGCATATATATATCTGATACCTGCCAATAAATGTCGCAAGTTGCCTCACTGCATCAATTGAGGTGACCATAAGAGGAGGGAAAGCCCCTTATGATAGTGACTAACACGCCAGTAATGAACATAATATTATTCGAAGCGTACTTCGAAAATTTTGAAACCGCCATTGATGACGTCATTTATTTGTCGACTTTTGACCAATCGGCGACGATGTCATCTCAATACAGATTTACATTATAAGCGCATGTCATCTTTGGACCCAGGTGTTTCTCCCCCTCTGGGTGACCATATACTATGGACCTAGAAACATGGCAACTCGAAATATTTGGAGGTACAATACTTTAAAATCAGGCATGGGAAAAATCAGAGAAGGAAGTTAAGATGACTTATATGTTCATGTATGGCAGTGAATTCAAGGTAAATACTGCGATTTGGTGGGTAATAATGTAACTTTGGATGATCTTTCCAATGGTATATCTCACAGTGAACATATATTATGTAGCAGTGGGGATGGACTTATTTTACACGCTTGGATATGGGTTTTCTCAAAAGAATGTAACGCAACGTTGAGTCTAGTTGTATTTTTTCAAATTTTACTTTCAATTGCCGGAGTTGAGTAGATATGCCAGGGAGCGGGAGATGTGGAGGTTCTGGATATTGGAACCTCAAAATCAGGACACACGATATATCCTAACTTATCTCCCTAAACATCTACTGGGCATAGGATAAATCTATTTTTAATGTAATTATTGTGACCATAAATGTAATGTTCTAAATTTTTCTAGTTTACTCAAATCATTCCATTATTGAGACCATAAATATCATAATGTTGTATTTGGATCATAAATACGATAACCTTATTTGATTAATATTTAATCATATATATAAACACATTATAGGATAACACTAGGAGCCAGAGAGTTAACACAACTTGTGCCTGGTTTCCCTCAAAAACAGGACAACTTGAAAGTAATATCAGGGGGAGGATGGCAAGCCACGTGTCACCCTTTTTCCAAGTTTTCTGATGTCCTTGGACACAACGACTCCGTTGACATTGCTCTTCTTAGGCTCAATAAATGCCTACCCGAGTTCACAGAGAATGTGATGAAAAGGATATGTTTACCGAAAACACCCTTAGATGACCTCCATCAGTTGAAAGGTGCCAGAAATTGGGCCGTCTAAATTACATATAGTTTTTATATCATTCAATCATTCGAGTGAATTCTTTGACTTTCAAGAGATCTCTTGAAAGTACATAATCTGATAATGGAATGCATCCTCTGATAATGCCGTTACTTTTTAGATAAGATAAAATTCATTTCATATAAGGTGTTCCAAAAGAAACAGGAATGGTGCAGGTATTTTCTAAACTCTACACAAATTGTCTTCAAAATTTCTCAAAACGTACTTTTGAGTATTGCAGCTCAAACTGTCAAATCTCTGAAAAATAATGAATCTCAAGTACAGATACGGTTGCTTTGATGACATAAGATCACAGTTCCCGGGACAACATTCCACTCCGAGAGTTAAGACTTTCAGCATTTTGATCACCCCCTATGTCCAAGCTGAAATGCAAAACTAGTAGGATGTAAAAAAATATAGATCGAAGAGCAGGGCTACTAGTTTCGAATTCACCCCGCAGGTCTTGGCACAACTATTTTCTGGTTCGACAGCCTTTGTGCCTAGATCTAAGGGGTGAATTCGAAACTAGTAGCCCTGCTCTGAGGTCTATATTACGATTCGAACATGAAAACTCACCAGAATATTGCAAAATCATTAATTTCGATGTTCATTTCCACTTTTTTCATTTCTACTTCCGGTTGAGCGTTTGGTTGTTCCAATTTGTTAACTTACCTCCTGACCCCGACTTTTTATTGACATTTCGGCCTATTTTATTGGTTTCACGCATATCTTCTACATTGATAATTATTGAAATTAATTCTATATTGCCCAGAAACAAAAAAAAATCACCGCGGATCCATAGAAAAATTAAATTTTGCGAAAAGAAGGGGAACAGCCTGAATTGACCTTTGGGTGCACTGAACGAAACTTAAGTACAGAGCTGGGGCATTGATCTCGAATATAACCCGGCTGAAGCATTGATTTTGTTCACAGTTCATAGAAGGCGTGAAATCATTCATGTTCGAATTACATTTAGCGTACACCATTTAATATTATAAGAAAGATTCCTATGAGAAATTATTAGCATTTGGTTCAGGATTAACAAAATGCCAATACGCCTGTTACTTTGGGAACACCCTGTACGTTTGATCAAGGATTTGATAAATCAAAGTCCTCCTTTTCAATTGGTCAACATTTTTGAAAAAGCGAGGAGATGGTCTACAAACCCACGACCTCTCGCAATAATCTTATTAATATTTTCATTTGTGCATTTTAGTTCAAGAAAACAAAAAATTCTAATGTTAAATGTACATGTAAAAACAGGATTTTTAAATATATTATATCTGATCGATTTTAATTGGTATAACTGATTATATTTTTGTAGGAGAGACCATGACATGTTATGGGTGGGGTGCTGTAACAGAGTCTAATACCTTTCGTAGGACACTCCAACAGGCGACTCCATCTATTGTTGGAAGAGATATCTGCACAGAAGTACTTGACATACAGGGAGGTTTTAAGCTCCCCAACGCTGGTCTTTGTTCTGTACCAAACTTTGGAGGAACTGGGGACTCAGGTAAACCTACAAACTTCCTGCAGCCTTCGCCCATTATGTGTGAAATCTTATATTAACCGGGATCGATCAATATCTAATAAAAATATTCTCACTGAATGTTTTACTCATAATTGAATTATTACTGTATAGTTTGTGTCATTTATTTGGGTGAAATTCATAATTGCAGGAAGTCCATGTGTGATTAAAGATTGTAACAATACGGATTGTCTAGTAGGGATCATATCAGGACGCCGGTTCTCAGCAACGGTGACAGCGTCTCTTAGACACCCAGCTGTGCTCAACTGGATCAAAGAAACTGTCAGATGTAAGAAAACAATAAGAAAATACTGATATAATATACATGAAGTTGTTGAGGCATTTGCCTTCCATTAAAATTAGAATCATAGTTCACACTATTTTTGAATAGTTGTGCGAAATCAAAAAGCTATGTATCAAATATCAATTTAAGGTAGATATAGTCTGAAAACGCTAAATGCAGTAGTAAAAATGCTAATTTTGAAAACTTAAATTCTGGTTCTAGCTAAGCCATGTCGGAGATCGTGTATTCATGAAGATATATGTGAATGTGGGACTCTGCCAGTTGCGGATGATGATGGTGTAAAGTGCCCACAACTCGACCCAATTGTAGACGCCCCGTCAAATGGCACCCTGAAGGTAGTTTCGAATACACCTGGGTCACTAGCTCTGTACGATTGTATAAATGGCCGACAGTTGTTAGGGCCAATAGTGAGGGCATGTCTACCAGATGGGAAATGGAGCGAAGAGCCACCAACTTGTAGAGCAGGTATGCCGCAATTTGAATATTTATAATACAGGGTGGGCCAAAAAATCCAATACCCAACTTTAAATCAGAATGAAAATAGCTATATTCAATATGATAGATTGATTTATATATCATTTTAAAGGTAATCCATTTTCGAACAATTTGGTATATAACACTATGTCATGAAATAAATATTAAAGTTTTATTATGCTTATTTGGGAGGCCGGTCGGTATTTAAGGTATCCAGATTTTAAGGAGAAAATAGTAAATCTGTACATCTCATTGTAAGTTCATTAAAGAGACATTTCTTAATTTTAGGACTTTGTGTGAAGGGTGACCCCCACGTTAAACACTTCCTGTCTGCCCATAATGTCAGGCTCTGCTATACACTACGTGGGAAAAGTGGAGAGGTTCTCACCTTCTTTTCTGATAAAGATAAAGGTATTGATTCATTGACTAATATCAGCAAGTTGTGTCTACACATTTAAATACAATGAGCAGTCAGGTCCACAAGGGATGTTTGTCCAATGGAATTAAATCCTTGTTCTTCACTTTAAAGCACTTTCTGTCACAAGGAGAGGGACACTTATCACTGGTGCCCATATCAACAGTTGCACGAGAAAATGTTAACTGGTTAAGGAATGGGCGTGTAATAGCAACAATTTATTTCAATACTAGCTAAATTGCTTTGTCCAACCTAAATGTAATGCAAATGTGTATATGGACGCAGGTATCCTTATTAATGGTCAATACGGACCTGTAAGCAAGACATACCCTGAGGTATCCAAGTACATCAAACACCTAGGTCTCAAAATTGGAAATATAACCATTGAATTCACAAAGAAATACATCCGAGTGAACAACGGGAGATTCAGAGCCTGGGCCATGCAGACAATGGTGCATGAAGGTGTAAGGATAAAGATAAACAAAGATTCCATGACTGGGGAAGTGATGATATTAGAACATGAAATAACTATAACTGTTGCCAGGAGAAATGCACGAGTAGATTTCTGTATATTTCCACATGTTTTCCCTCAAATTGGGAAAGGGATTCTAGGTGAGTAATGATAGGCGAATTACTGAAGAAGTCTCTATTTTCTTACTGACTTCCTCACTTCTACGCGTTGTTTCAATAACTGTTTCATCAAAGCAGTTCTCATATGTAGTTTTTATATGATGCGCTTTTTGTATTTCTTTGACATAGATTTTGATAAAAGCATGTCAATTGAATATTGAGAAGACCATTTTGGCTCAGTTTCCATTGGAAACGTTTTCAAAAGAATTGAGATGACAAACATCATTCGAGATGGACTCCTTAGCTTCATTACTTCACAAGGATTTGTATACAGAGAAACCGTATTTTCTTCATCTCATGAATGATCAGTAATAAGGAATTGGGACAGTAATATTCCATGATTCGTCTGCACCATGATTTATCTTGTATCTCATAAATAGACCCCCCTCCCCCATCCCAATATACTTTACCGCAATTAAAAAATAAGAGTACCTTGGGATAATGTTGTTGTTGTGATGTAGGAGTAACTCAGTAACTCATGGACACTCAGAAGTTTTTTGAAGTGAGACAGTATGCTTGTAAGATTGTAATTTCTTATAGAGAACGTTTAATGATCTTATAGCATCTACCTTGATTTGCTCTTTTTCTCAAGGCATTTTATCCCGTGCAAAAATTCAGGGCTAGTGCTGGGATAACACACTTTCAAAATTACTTTATCCCAGTGTTTTAGCGAAGGATGCCGGGAGAGAAAAATGTATTTATCCCGGCAATCAAATTCAAATTTCAAACAAATTCATTACCATATTACTGTCACGTGAAGGACCATATTTTTTCTCGAAGTCCTAAATTATGGGGATACCTTAGAACTAGTCATGCATGGTCTACATGTCTGCGCTCACTGATTTTCTGATTTATATAGGCTAATTGGTAAAGATTATATCACTTAAAATCAAAATATTAATAAACAGTCTATATCTTGTATTGCAACTGTCATATTATTAAAATGTGATTTTCTTTAGGCGTAGTTGACAGCTACAAGAAGTCCGACATCTACTTTGGAACAATGAAACCTAGAAAGACGGTTGCTACAATGTACATTAAAGACAGGACTGTCAAGATCAAATCGCGCATGACTAAGAACAAACTACCTTGTTGGGGTCTAAGGGGAGGAGATCCATTGGAGCAACTATTAGGGGAAAATATTAACGATGTTAGGTCGACTTGTCTGTTCTGTTATCCAGGAAGATAAAAATATATTTTTTGGAATAAAAATAGAAATTGTAATGTTTCATAATTGCGAAATTACTCGAATTACTGAAACAGTCCACAAAATCAGTACACGTTTTTAACTATAGCAATTAAAAAAACGTTTTAAGTGAACGAGAGTATGTAGTCTCAAGAATAAGCTCTTCTACAAGTGCCTAAAATGTAAGCGCATTTTGTCGGATTGATTCCTGTGAAATAGCAAAAGTTCAGAATCTAACTCCAGGATAGTAAGAACTTTTTATTGCGAATGCTTGCTTTACCAATGTTGCTACTTATTGCAGACCGAACAGATGAGTCATTAACCTTCGTAAAAAATTCGTGATTACATTCTTATTTGGTCTACGAACGTACATGTACATGTATTGCAGTATTGCGAATGCATGTTATCTGTCTTACTTTTTGGTGTCAAACAATTGTTATTCTGCTTCATTCTTTATTTTGTCCAGACATTTCTCCATCCTTCATTTTCGACACACACAGTTACGCTTTACTTCAAATTGTGATTCATGCGTGATTTGGTTCAAATTAGTCTACATGTACTTTAATTTGTGAACCTTCTCAATCAATACAACTAGTTATATATATCAACCATAACCTTGAGAGAACATCGACTGGTGCCATAAAAATATTAAATAGATCCGGATGTTATTAGTAGTATTATTCAATCATGATGTTATTTAGTCGTGATGAGTTGAATGTAATTTGCTGGGAACATTCCTTCCTTATCTGCCAATCGACCGTTCCACCAATTTTCATCAGTCGTATCTGTTACCTTTATCAGATCCCCACGTTTAAATCCAAGTTCATTTTCTTCTTGGGCAACAAAATCAAACAGTGCACGACCTACTTCATGAGCGTTGGTCATGTCTTTTAGGTAAATTGTCTGTGAACGACTGACAGAGGCGGCTCTATGATACTCAACAAGTTGATTCAATGAGTTAAATTTCACCACCCAGAGAAAGTATTTTCCGGCGCCATCTCGAAGGACTTTAAAATGTTGACACTGATTATTAAATCTGAAAAATAAAAGTTGGATATTCCTAACCAGCACAATGAATGAACTAGGTACAACAATAGAAAATATTATATGCAATGACTAGTTTTATTGACGTTGTCACGGAAACTTAAAACATATCGGGGATTATAAAATTTACTTAAATCAGGAAATTTGAAAATAAATAAGAATTATGATAAGTTGTAACAGTTAGGCTACATTTTACAGTTTTGAGATCTACTGATAGTATTGATATGTTGCACTGAAATCGAAGGGATTTCAAAGCAAATTAATCTGTTGAAATGTACTAGCAATTAAACCTTGCGCACTGACTTTCCTTTTTTGATTGTTTCAAGTCTTTTGCTGATAAAGTGAACACTTACTTAAGACTGAGACTAAAGTCACCGGCAGTGCTCTCACTGTCTCTAATCAGATATGCCCCATCGTGTGGTTCCGCTAGTAGCAGTTGTTCTGCCTCTTGGCGTCTAATCTTGCCATAGTACCAACTGAAACAGTACGTGGTTAAAGTATTTGAGCCAAGGACTCAATTCATTTAGGATGATTTATACTACTACTAATGATACTGAACTAAACTAAACTGAACCGAAGTGGGTTTAAAAAGAAGCCAAAGTGGATGATAACAGGCCTCGAAAATTGTGCATGTTAACATTGAGTCCCATGTCTTTTTGTATATCCAAAAGTTCTGTAGAAGTAAGAGCAGTGGATAAAATTGAAATTACGTCATATCGTTTTCGATCATTTAGTTAGGAACTGTGAAGGCCTGGTCAGTTTGACTTATCATCGCATTGCTACTCATCACACATAAGAGCACAGATGCCACAACAGCCAGGGATGGCCACGCGAAATTCCTATTCTTGAGGGTGAGTGTCTTGGGCTAGGGCTTTTGGTGAGTGTTCAGGTTATAATTGGAGTTAAGGGATATATCTAGGGTTAAGGTTGAGGAATATTCGAAAATCTTCGGCTGCAAACCAAACAAAAAAACGTTACGCCAATTGACGCATGTGCAAGGACCCCTTTTGGATATAAAATCACAATTAAGATCATATTGGAATGAATTTAAGATGTTATTAGTAACTACTAACTAAGTAATATTCCGAGGTTTAAAAAGAGGGAGGGGATGAGAGAGGGATCGGAATGTATAATCTACCTTTTTCTGATTTCTCGTTTCGTTTCGTCCAGTCAATAAAAACAGGAAGAACTGTCCAAGGGAAATGAAATCGCGGACAATACTGGACGATCCAATAAGTCTATGGTCAAAATACTCTAATACGTCACTTCCGTTGAATATTTCTTTTGCATTATTTCTTATTTATTACACCTATAAAACGTTGGCACACCAATACAGGGTGTTCTTACAAAAATGTACATAAAATACAATACATGTTCATTTTGTGGTGTCATTGAGATTAGGGTGGAACAAATGCATTAGATAAAAATTGTTCGATACTTCTATCTACTTAAACTTCGATGTCGTGCCCATAAACACTCTGAATGTCATTGCCCAGTAGCCAATATAATTTGCTCTGAACGTTAAGAGACATGAAATGGTTAAAACATGTTAATTATTGTCTTCAAGTGCTTTCTTAAATGCCTGGGCCACATTTGCTCCGACCAATCGACCGGCGCTGGCCGATTGAGTATTCTGTTCAAAAATGAATAAAATTGTGAACAGAATACTCAATCGGCCGGGCGCCGCCCGATGAATCGGAGCAAATGTGACCCAGGCATTAGTTAGAAAATAAAACAATGATGGGAAGTGAAATATGGACATAACAGTATGCGGTGGGAAAGATCATCAATTCCTGAATTACAAAATTTGCATACTCCATAACCTTGGCCCCATCTTTTCAAATCTGCACCAACCATGAAACATGCTGTCCTAGCTCGAAACTTTAAAACAGCAAGTCTAAAATCGTTTTAAATGTGCATATAACTTCCAAGACCCCAATTGGTCTTAACATCTTTATAAACGTTTAGTGAGGATTTATTGAGTTAAATATATCAGTTTTCATTTGACTATTTGAGATGGGTTTATATGTTTTCATGCAGGAAGTGTCAGGTCTGAACATAATATCATCCAGCCCTCTATCCCTCATAATTGAGTAGATTTTTCTCATATATGGCCAACATATTTTTTTATTAGACCTTTGGTGCTCTGACATACTTTGAAAAACAATGTTTAAAATATCATTCCTATCTTCTTTTACTAGGCAGCTAAAATAATCGATCTGTTTGTTTTAAATGTTTGTAGTTAATGGTCCTCAACCTAATTCTGCCAAAAGAGCACATGCAGCTGATTTACACTTTGGATTCAAAAGTGCCCTTCCAGCATGTATTGAAGGGAATTTAGTATTTTTGTAGTTGTCTTATTAACACACCATACCCCACAACCATGTGTAATGGCTGGTGTAAACATAGAATTGTAAATACTTAGACCAAAGTGCTAACTGCTTATCGCAGGGGGTAAAAAGAAAGAATATATTCTGGATTTTAAAGCCCTGTGATCGGAGGATGACAGTGTTATGTTTAGCAAGTACATATCGCATAATAAGTATTGATATTGCATGCTTTTTAGATACATAATCTTAAATGTAAGATGTGTCATGGAGTAAGTTATCGACAAGGGTTCCAACATATTTGTATTCATTTTTTTCCTTATAGTCATGACCCTGGATTTCTTTTTTACTAATGTTAAGCCCCCATTTTATTCCAAAAGATGATGTAGAAATGAGCATTTCTTGAAGTTCTTCTTCCGAGTAAGCTATCAATACCATATCATCCCTAAATAACAAGGCGGGAACATAATGCATTTTCATAATGTATACCTAATCCTCTAACTTTAATCATATAAATAAGGTCAGTCATAACAATACAAAACAATGTCGGGGACAAATTACACCCCTGTGGGAGACCATGCTGACTATCAAAATGATTGGTTTCAAAATTACCAGAAATTACTTTATTTTGTGCATTAGCGTACAATTAATGCAAAATTCTCCAATTATTTTCTTGGACTCCTTATTCAATAAGCAGCAAATGTATCGCGGTCTAGCACATCAAACGCTTTTGATGCATCCAGGAAAGCTAAATGTGTTGTATTTCCCTTACATTTACGAAGGCAACAAAAACCTTTCAAAATGAAAATATTGTCTTCAAGGCGTAATTTTTCCCGGAAAAATGGCTGCCATTTTTGCTATATACTTTGTTTGTAAAAATGCCAGCCATGACTGTTCAATGGGATTTGCTACGCTTTGGTGTTGCTGTTTAGTTTTGGCTCCATTTTGTGAATTTCAGTTTCTGGCGGCAGAGAGGGGTAGTGTCACAATTGACCAATTATTTCAAAAAGTAGATTTTTGACCCCTATTGAGTTTAGTGTCAACATGTAGCTAAGACATTACTTTTGAACCTCAGATAGGCCAGTGAGGACTTGAGATAAGAAACAGGCGCCTTCGCCCTTTTGCCAATTGACTAGTACGGTGACGTGAATAAGGGCTGTTTTGCCTATGCTATATTTGGTCAAACTTACGTGTGCGGCTTCATCTGAATGTAATTTTTTGGAACAAAACCTTCTTTGCCATTCTGTTCTGCCTTGTACCAATTCTTGTCATCTGTCATGTTAAGGATCTGCAATATTCACATTGAACTTTTCTAAGTGGTGATAATGGGGATTTGTACTTCATCATGAGCTTATCTAAAATCATCTATCTATCATCATGTTCTTCAGATTGCAGCATTTTATTTTAGGCATACACGTATCTTTCGAAAACGAAATGACAGCGAATCTTATTTTTGCATCTTTTTCTGTACCCCTTTTCACTAAAGAAGCATTTTACTCAAGCGAGATGGTCACAAAGAGAAGCTACGTATCAGGTACAATGTCTCTTCTGCCTTTCATTGCGAACACCTCATACTTCTTGTAAAGGACAGTTGTATAAACAGAACCTCGGAAATGTCAATAAATAAAAAAGCATTTTTTTCATGTCAACAACAAGAGAGATGTCTAAAGTTCATAAACATTATAAAGCGTATTTACCTTTAGTATAGATGCCTTTCTAAAAGGCAATTCGTCTTCTGTTTGCCCTTCAGGGTTAAAGTCGTGTAATGCCACTGCCTCCATTTCGGCAAGTTACGTCCCCTCTCTCGAAGTCGAATCATTCAAAAAATAACATTCAGTTAAAGTTATTTTTTGTTCTGATGTCAACTCGGTACATGCAGTTAGCTGACCACTGATATATCTATTTTATGCAGTGATAACACGGGTGCCAAATGACATGGTGTGTATGTATATTGTATATGTGTTCAAACTTTCAATGTAGAAGTAGTATTGGGAGTAAATGGTATTGTATGTAAAATATTGAATGTGCAATTACGTCATTACAAGAATATACATCCCGAAGGTGAACAATAAGCTACAGGACCAGCATATGCCACCTCCTACCAGTAAGACTTAACAGGTGCAAATTAAGATCATCACCTGTCGTAGGTGGCAGTGCATAGTGATTATCCTACAACAATATTCATCGGGAGAGACCATTATATTGGCACGCTTTGTACAATATTATAAATGTGCCAAATGAAGCGTCGTGCCAATACAGATATGGTTTCGCCAACAGTTAAAATTTAATAATTTCGAATATGAAATATACAGAAGGTTAGAAAAATTAGTTTTGGTCAATTTATTCAAAATTTGCAATATCTATAGCCCAAAGGAGTAGTATCGATATGGAGAACTTTTTGAACACACGTTTCTCTTAAACCAGTCATAAAAATCTTAAAGGCTAACACATCGTCAATTTAATGGTCATCTTTTGAATGGTAACAATATAATTTTAAAAAATGTATATATACTTTCATCTATATAGTTTTAGAAAACACTTCAAACACTTGAATGCAACTATATGAAGAGATCATAGATTGCATGCATTGATCTGGAAACTAGTGTCAAACTTCCAGATTCAGACACTGATTCAGACACTGATGTGCTATTTAATTTAGATGAATTAACATATGAAAACTGTATTATAACTGTGGCACAAAAACTTGCATTTGTTTAAAGTCTCTTTAGAAAAATATGTAAATTCTCTTTTTCTTTTTATTCTTTGTATTTTCCATGTATTTATAATAAGATCCGATATTTTATATGTAAAACTGTTTTTTGCTTCGTACTGTATATCTGATACGGGAAATAAAGATACAATAAACAATTTAGAGCTGCGCAATAAATAATGACGTAATCAAACGCCGTGTTAAAGTGTCCCAATTATTTTGATCGATACCAGGGATAGACACGTGTAGAGTATATCATTTAAATAACTTATTTTCACAACATACGCGTTAATTAACAAAAAGCCATCTGCACATTTTTAGTTATTTGACAGTGTCAATTAATTTTATTTACAGAAAGCATATACATGTACAAATTGCAAGCCATGCAAATTTTTGAACTGTCTTTCAGTTTTGAAGGTCCGTATTAAAATTTATGTTTTTTTTCTATGTTTTTAATTTTTTTATATTTTAAATATGAACTACTGATACGAATATAGTGGCTCGATTTCGTCTTTAATCCCAATTTAAGATTGCGTCTATACAGTAAAAACCTTAAGTTTCTTTGAACGTTTCTTACGCACTCATTTTGCATCATTCATATTGAGCATTTTGTTGAATTATGTTGATGTGATGTCAGTTGTGTTGCTTTACACCCAGGGAGGCGGGCCACCAGAGTTAAACAACATCAAACCCCATGTGCTGGCGGCCAATGTACACACACATACACCTGTTATGTTCATCAGGAAACCAGCTTTTACCTAACATTAAACAAATTGGACATTAACCTCTAAAATTCAGTTTCATGCGATTAAGTTTTTTTGAAATAAATTACCTTTCTGATCTGGCTTTAACTGTCAAAGTTCTGCGTATATCTTATAAGTATTAGAAAGATGGCGCGATCAACAGGTCATCACTTTTGAGTGTCGTGGGAACCCGGCCGTTGATCGGACATTTTGGCTCTCATGATGATGATACATGGAATCGCCCACTCATTCATTTGCCCGTCCTTCCGTTCGTCAATGATTTCAGAAACTGCCGTTTGTTTCCGTCGTTCCGTTTTTCGGGAAATACCAGGATGTGATCATAGGTTATTTTAAGGTGGGACTCGACCCATAACTTCTTTTGGGACAATACTATTACTTAATTAATACTTACCATATCTACAACTCTGAGATTTCCATACGAAAACACAACTGCTATACAGGGGGCTGAGATTGGTAACATGAACGAAAAACTAGTTGCCATAGTCACCGGAAACATCATGTATAAGGGGTTGAGGTTCAATCCAATAGCCTATGTGAAAAAAAAATACACAAACAAACACAAACTCAAGCAACTAGCCTAATTATGAATGTTGTAAAATTGTTGAAGGATACAGATTGCATCTAGCGAATATTAAGCCTGGTGAGAATGGAATATCTTACCATTGAAGACACGATTGGGTTGAAAAGTGCCGATGTTGATGGGTTGCTACTGAATTCGGTACACAAGGACACCAATGAACACATGATTAGCACAACAACAGGTGGCTGTAGTGTATTTAATACTTCCAATTGTTCACCTAGCCAGCGTGACAGGCCAGACACCTAAAATGTAAAATGGAAATGACAATGCTATTCACCTTTCCACAAAGTAAAAAAAATCGATTATTTCCGGCGCGCTGATTGGTTGTATGCAAATGAGTCAAATCAATGACGTCAATGATGGAAAGTTTTGAAGAATTAGTACAGCCAGCATAGGAATATTTTGAATTAGCTGCTATAAAAAGGATTCTATTTGCCCAACGTACTAATTATTTTTAAGCAAATATGAAATATGAACGGGGCACTTTCTTTCCGAATCTTATGTAATTTAATTTAATCATTTTTTTGACAGAACTATTGTTTATTAAGACTTCTCAGATCAGCCTCACATACCCGCCCGGGCTCACGTGTCTCGTGCGATTGTAAACAAAAAATGTAAATTGTGAAGTTACAAACATTGGCTAAATTATCTGATAGTGGTCATACACTATCCTGTTAAATGGTTATTATGTCGTAGTAAGAAGTTCCATCAGAAATTCACCATGAGTGACATTTGCGCAAAGCGTTACCTTTTGGTATTTATTCGCCATCAGCGATGTCAATAATGATCAGCAATGTCAACATATCATCAATAAACATTATATGATATACGCTCTTTCTCTGAAATCTTCCCAGTCATCATTATTCAAAACCGATCATCACATAACTAATTTATCCAATGACAAGTGAGGTTTCACAAGTGAAATCAGGACACCCATATCCATGTTTGATTTCTATTAAGCGTTCTCATTCTCATTATTTTCGAGAAATCCATCATCATTTTGGTAAAGAAAAATTCTACGGTCTGCTGGATCTATTTTGACAGTTTTGCTTTAGCAAGATATTTTAACAAATTGACTGTTTCTACACTGAATAAAAAACATTTTCCCGGGGATATTTGGATCGGGAGATACGCAGCGGGAAATATACATTGGAATATATATACATGTTAAACCCATACTTGGACGTATATTGGGAATATTTGAGAGAACAGGAAAATCCGCCCACGGCCAAGAAAACAAAACTGAACATGAATATTCTAAAAGTATTTCCACGATTGAACAATGTAAACCAGATGACCAAGATCAGTATGGGATAAACATACTATCCTATAGTCGGTTCAGGATATTGGGATTATCCCTTGGCCAATATAATATATTTTCCCTCGGGACCTTCGGCCCTCGGGCAGATATATTATAATTGCCTCGGGATAATCCCAATATCCTGAACCTCATGTAGGATAATCTCTATATATGTCACGCTCCTCTAAGATATCAATTCTATATCCCAATGTTTTCAAGTATAATATTTTCAAGATACGATCTGATATGACTTGCAGAAATAAATAGGAAGTAATCGTTTAGTTGATTGAATTATGAAAGTAGTGAAGTCAATGATTTAATGAATAAGAGCAAATGTTTTTAATTTGAACAGGTCATTCATCAAATGACACTGAAGATTAACTTAAAATAGATTGTCTATCTATATATTTTTATGCATAAGAGACATGTTATAATGTTGGTGAACTAATGATTATGATAATTTCACCTGTTCACATCCATTTCCTATCATGATTGAAAACTGACCGGTAGTAATTCTCTTCAAATTATTTACTCATTATGAACAGAAATTTAATATTTAAATCGCTTAGAAGGCGTAAATAAATGTCAATTTGACGTTCAATAAAAATCTGTCAATAATTTACTGATTACTTGCACATTTGAAGAGGTAAAACTTACAGCAATCAACCGAGGATTTACATGTTAACTCAATTGCATTTGTTTTTCGCGGGAAAAAGTTTCAGTCATTGACGTCACAGATTTTTAAGCAGCTCATTATAATATTCATGAGCTGACTTTGTGGAAAGGTGAATACTGTAGATACTAAGAGAACTTTAGAGTATTGGCGGTGGAACTACATACAATATATCAACCCTAATGTCACTCTACTATACCTAACCCCTAGCAATGCATAATTAAAAAAAGATACTCTGTTTGTCTAATTGTATCGTTTAGTATATTTTTGCAAGTACCTTATTAACATCTAACAGTCTTCAAATAAACCTTTCATAAGAAACAGACAAATATAAACAAATAACATAATCATTACTATTAAGCCAAATGTTGCTCATGAACACTAAATGCAAGGTATAGTAGAGTGAATGTCGGCAACTCTTTTATCACTCGTAAGGGGTGGAGGGGTCATTTGGTCATCCTCGGCGGGTTTTCATTGCTTCTCGATTGATATTGCTGTAAACTCTTTTAAATTGGGTTTCAAATAAAGTAGGCCAACAAACGTCAAATCGAGGTCAACGTGACCTAGGGGGTGTACGTTATTAGAACTATCAATATTTCATGAATTTTATTTTATATGAATAGGCTTCCGACTATCATAACCTTGCCTCTCTACCACCAATCACCTTGATTTTACGCCAAAAAATGTCATACATCTGTGCAGCCAGAACAATAACAGAGGCACAAAAAGTACCATTGAAAAAATCGAGGTTGAGTTCAATTTCGAAAACCTTACTTTATATTGTACTCCGGGTATTGTACAGTAAACAGACTTAATTGTACATTTGTAACAACTGTCCCGATTAACAACATTTTTGTCTTTGTTATATGCATGTCTCATTTCTAAAAAGGCCCATCAGTTCTGACTTAAATTAGGATAATTCTTTCATAGTAGTTTAACTCACTGATGCTCCTTCTGCGATGGCGAATCCTCCTCCTAGTAGAAAGACCACGCCCCATGGAAGCTTTTGGTGGACAGTCTTCCAATTTAGTAACCGGGGTACAGGGTGTTTCACTTTATAAAAAATGTATTCGGTTTTTAATCATAAGATATTAGACTCAAATTTAGGTCAGTATGGCGAAGAGCCATCAAAATGTAATTCAAAACTGTACTGAAAACTGTTAATAATCATATGCAATGACCCTTTAATTGTAACACTGGAATTGAATCACCATTGTACAACTATAATTGATATACCCATGGGCTTTCAACTTATCGAAAGCCCATGATATATCTAATATATGAAATCTGACTATTGTCTGGATACATACCTTCAGTAGAGAAGGAGATTTTAGACGGACATATGAATAGAGAAATAGATATGAATATAGCTGAAGTAGCGTCCGTCACATAGCTGGAAAATAAACGGCCAGCAAATAAGTAATTGTATAACTAATTGTAAATGTAGTACCATGACAATGGTTACCATAGTAACCATCGCTTTATTAATACTAAGTTGTATGTCAGGACAGGAAATTTTAATGGAATGGGGTCAAATGTATGTTCCTTATGTTGTCAAAGCTAGTGTCATGGAGAAAAGAGCAAGAGGACAAAAGTTAGAGCTAAATTAGCAATAGTTATTGAACACCCTGTATATATACAGGGTGGGCCAAAAAAATTGCAACTTTTTTAAAAGGCTAGAAAAGTATCATAACATGAAGGTATTGACATAAAAATTGATTTACAGAAAGTTTAGGATAGGCATATTTTACGATTCAAATATCTCAGATAATACTGACTTCTAATTTTTTTGACAGATCTTTGAATATCGATGGTAAATTATTCATGTGTCCGAGATTCACTGTTTTTCCAAAAAATGTGACTTTTATGATTTTATGTGATCAACAATAACACATCAATTATGTTCACTAAATCTGCTACAATCTCTGATAACTGTTTATTCAATATACTAGGGCAGTTTTATATTGGTATCTACTCACAATTGTAATTATGTTATACTGTATCTATTAATTATTTATTAATCACATGTTCTTACATCCACCTTTCACCTTCACTATCGCTCCCAGCCATCGGGCAAGGGTCACTTTGGAATACCTGGAGGATGATACCTCTAGATTTATTATTCCTTATAAATGGCTGTCCAATACACCAAATGCCAACCCCTGTGACTATCACACATGGAGGCACCTGGAGCAGTTCATTGCAGTTAATGGTAATCCCCACACACTATTGGTCAACTAAAAGAGGTTAGGAGAAGTGGAAATTAAAGAAGTACCACAGGTCCACAAGAATCGCTGGATGGCGCCATTGCAGTTACGCCCTTGTGTCTGTGTGATAGTGAAGGTAAAATGCGGATGCATGGAACATTTTCTAAATAAATAATTAATAGATACAGTATAAAATAATACCATAGTAGATACTTATTATAAAACTGTACTAGCCATTCGTTAAACAATTAAAAGATTGTAGCAGATTGAGAGATCATATGTGTTATTGTTAATCACATAAAATCATTGAAATTCACATTTTCTAGGAAAAATGGTAAATCTTGGACACATGAACAATTTACCACTGATATTCAAAGATCTGTTGAAAAAATTGAAGTCAGTATTAGCTTAAATATTTGAATGGTAAAATATGCCTATCCTAAAGTTTCTGTATATGAATTTTTATGTCAATACCTTAATGTTATGATCCTTTTCAAGCCTTTTAAAAAGGTTGCAAAATTTTTTGGCCCACCCTGTACATGTACAATCATTAATATTGTAAGCAGACGTGCCAAATGGAGAAGTCTAAGTAAACTATATATATATATAATATATATATATCAAGAAAAACAAAGAATCGAACGATATTTGTAAAAGCGTCTTGGTTCGGACTATAAGTTTAGTATCATAATAACGATTGTATGAACATATTTTAAAAATTCTTTTCAAATCAATCGATTACGTCCTGAGAACGTAAGTGAAGAATTATTTGCCGAAGTACATAAATCAAGGATCTCACCCTTTAGGGAAGCGTGATTCCCAACCTGGGTAGAACTCCGAAGTGCGAGTCATCCACAATGCCGCGAGAGTGAAAAAGTGGACCAGAACGAAGATCTCAGCTTGACTAGATGCAAAGAAAAATACAAAAGTATAAAACCATAAATGCCAACATTTCAAAATCATGAAGAACAACAATGAACTATTTGAGTATACATAGAAGGGGATCAGAGTGTGTACTGAACAAAGTATCGCTATTTCATATTTTGCCAGCTGGCAAAATTGGCTATCTAAGTAAAGAGGACGATCATTGGAAAGGTCTATTCATAGACCCCTCTTTGGTCTATTGGACTCTTGAGATAGTCATAGATTTGCTAAGCTTCTGGCCCAATCACATACATACCATCAGATTTTCTAACAGATTTTAAACAGAAAACAATGGACAAAATGTTGAATCATTATTGGGAAATAATGCGGAGATTTGTGCTATCTGCCATGAGCTGATAGATGGCATGTAAGTAGATCTTACGTCAAATGACCCAGCGCTTCGTATTGTTCTCTTATAACTGTTTTCACATTCTTCCCTGTCTCTGGTGTGCGGTTTCGGCAGCTAAAGAACTCCCTAAAATACATATTTACAATGGTTTACACAGCAAGCAGTTGTCAAACAGTGTTAAAGCAGTTAAAGTACGATCAGAAAGCAGAACGTCTAAGTTTTGACGTAAGGAGTCGAGATTCTTCTCAATTTAGCTGCGTGGTGGCACTGCAATTCTTCTAATGTTTCAGGCCAAATTAAATCGATTGTTGAATAGTATTGGCATACAGGTTGTTGATTACGGACATACCTGGGGCCATAAAACAGTATTTGGAGCCACACCCAACATATAAGGAACTGTATGGTAGATACTGGTAGACACATAGGTATCCAGCTGGCAAACACTACGCCTGAGGACATGTTGTGTCTTGCAAACACTCTGCAAAGCATTTTGCAATACTTATATTTATAAACTAATTCTGTGCACCGGCATGCATATACCGGAATAGCCTGACAACGGTAAAGTCAGATACCGTTGTCACAAATGGCGGACATAACCGTCGCTTCAACTGTTTAATCACTTGGTCCTCATTTCATGGGATTATAATTATAATTTAGAAAGACAACGGCATATGGTTATTGCAGTGTCCGTTGTCCCGTATCTCATTTTGATCGGTTAAATTAAAGACTTTATTTCGATGGTAGAACATTATTAACTGTACAATGAGTATTAAGACACTTTGATTGATTGTTGTTCCAAAGGAATTCAGTCTAGGTGGTCTATTAAACATACGTACAGTTCATGAAAATCTAATTGAAGCGACAGTTATATCCGCCATTTGTGACAACGGTATCTGACTTTACCATTGTCAGGTTATTCCGGGGTGAAAGAAGTGTATATAGAGATAATTGTTATAGCATTCTGAATAATGGTATATTGCTACCTAACAGAGGTTGAAATACAAAATTTCCCCCGCCCCCCTTCTATTAGAAATAGAATTTCAAAATGGCAGAGGATGTATTTGAAGGGCTGTATTAGCATTTGCATTTTTACAACAGATAACTTTGAAACAAGCACTCAAAAGAGAGATGATATTAGAATATCAAAATGTAGTTCCAGAAGATACTTTATACTTCAATAATACAGATGTGCAGTACTTAAATGTTCAAGATTTTAGGAAAATTTTAATAGAAAAACGGGTTTGTGAAATTGTATTCAAAAATGAAGAAATTGTACAACAGCAACAGACCTAATTATACTACACTGGAAGATTTTACATTCAATATATCCATGTAATCTTTTACTGCATAGATATGGATATAGTATTTTGAATACAAGCAAATGCACGGTCTCCGATACTACCCAACGTAGATCGTTCCGGACTTGTTTTTCATAACCATTTGGACTCATTTCGTAGGAGAATGAGATGAGACATTCATCAGAATGGCTCAAAAAAGGTAATATAATTCAATCGTTTAGAAAAATACATACACTAACTTCTACCTAAAACATTCTTTTTCATACCCACATATCTATTTTGGCGATCGTGCCATCATAGTACATCTTTATCGGCTTTAAATAACAAAAATGCCAGAAATATGCTTTAAATCTGCATTAGTGTCATTTAACTATGTTTAAACCAAAAAATCATTTTATAACGTGGAACGATATTCACTGCATTAAAGATCGTGTTAATATTTTAACTATCTGTACCTTCAAATTTCCATAAATGACTGTAATGTTAAAAGTAGAGTTAACGACGGCGAATGGTCCTTATTCTGACACGGACTTGTCTTATAATCACTAGGTGAACGACTGCGAATTGTACACAACGTGATAAACATAACGATTGGGAATTGTCTTGTAATGGTATTTATACGTTCCGTTGCTTGATGAATTGTCTATGCTTCTGGAAAAATTGCACTTGGTATGATTATGTTTTAGAGGAGTTTTTGTACTAAATATTTACACATTTTATAATTTCAGTTCCAAGAAACCGTGCCACGAATGCACTTTTAAAAGTGCAGATAAAAATATATTCTTTGAACACTTCAAGAGGGACCATCCCTCCGATTTATTCAGGCTTGACGTCCATTTTCGTGATAAAGGCATACAAAACACAGGATTATGTATTCCGGATGTGTGATAAATTAGGCTCAAAGCTGTGTCGACCAGGGCTCACACACCACTATTTTAACGTAATTCAAAGGTCTAAATAAATTGAAAAGACTGAATTTGTACTGGAGCAATGCCGGGGACCAATGCTAACAGATGAGCGATTAAGTAAAGAACATCCGATGATGTAATTAAACTCGCTATAGCTAAAAACGTTAGTACCGTTCAAGGCCATGTGTCAAATTAAAAAGATGGGCAAAAGCCTGCATGCTGTGAGGCAAATTATGAAATTATAACAAATAATAATGAATCAAATTATTTTTCATAGGCAAATTAAAAATAGCGACGAGTGAAGTCTTTAAAAAAGCGAAGAGGCAAAAAACAAAAGAAAAAGTAAAAAATCAACTTTTTTCTCTACATGAATTCTTGCCCCTTGAAAGCATCAAGTAAAGAACGTGTATCTGTAATGATTCCCTAATTCAACCTTGACAAGTATCTCTTAATACGTTTAATTAATGATGATCATTTGGATAGTATCACTCAGACAACTTCTTTCACTGTCCTCATCCACTCTGATGATTTGTTGGAAATCAATTAAGTTTATGGAGCTGTTCCACACTTAAAAATGGTTAATTGTGTTCTACAAGTCAGAAACGTTCCAATAACACAAGTCAGAAACGTTCCAATAACAAGTCAACATCTTTAACTGGAATATTTAGGTCACGTCCAAATGGTTAAATCTAAAAAATATTCTTTCGACAATTGCTACTCATTTAAACCATTATAAATCATGATTTTCGTTCACAATGTGGCTACTTTCATCATGAATCGGTGTATTCATTGGATACAAGGCAGACTGGTGATTATAAGGCAAAATAGGTAAAAACACTGGCAGAATCGCTCGCATCCCGAAATAACAAGACTATAGCAAACGGTTCGTACAAAAAAGGCGTTTGCGGGTGCCTGAAGATAGAGTATGTAGTATGGTAAGTTATCTAATTGTATCATATTTACATAAAGTCAAGTGAAAGCAATTTCATAACCAAATTTACAAACCTACCTCTTCTTTTTTCCATAAATCAAGTCCAAATGGTTATGAAAAACAAGTCCGGAACGATTTACGTTGGGTAGTATCGGAGACCGTGAAATGTATAAGCTGTGGTGAAATAGATAATTTAGAGCATCATTTTGTTAAATGCAAAGCAGTTGCTGAATTTTGGACTAAACATTTCCCAAATATTTTATTTAAAAAAAAACAGATAAGAAACCAGCTTATAGACCTACTGCATCGTGGATTACCAAGGTATGAAGTTTTCATTTTGATATTATCATTCATTAAAAACCATGCTGGTAAGCGAGTATGATGGGTCTACTGGACTTTACTCGTGTCTTACTCGTCAGCATGACCCTTCATTATTAGATTCCCCGGTGTACCGGTAAGTGTAGCTACTCCCCCAGTCACGGCAGCGTAGCCAACTGCAAGCGTCAGGGCAGTACTCAGTCTCTTGTGCTTTTTCAGCTCAGAATTCACCTTTTCATTTCCGGCTAAGACGCCTTCATCGGAGTGGAGAATACTTCAAAGTTAAGGTTATACATGTGTTTTCTTCTTGTAGGGGGCTACATTCAAACGATGCATATCTTGAATAAACGAAGTTAATTGTAGTCCGAAGGTTTGAGAGGATAAGGTGGAATAAAAGTATTACAAACCTTTCAATTTAAATCCTGAGTGATCGCTTTTGTTTAAAAAATAAACTCAGTATAGGGTTGGCGAGTATACTATAGATTTGTTTAGAGAGGATTGAGGTCCATGGTTTAGACTTGACAGGTAGCAATGCCAATGTGTGTACTAGTAATTTAATCCTATTTCTACCCCACAGGAATGACAATTTTGAATAGCTGGCGCGATTTACCTAGCCTTGCCCAAGTCGGTATATATATATAATCTTTCATTTTTCTTGATTTTCAATTAGACAAAATTTAAAAACAAAAATACACCGACTAAGATATATAATGACAACACTTTACTTTAGCGAATTTGGCGATTTAGAAAATCCTCCAATTGACTAACACCTTCGCCAAAATAATTTGTTATTTTCGGACCGTAAATGTACACAGAATTTCGCCCGAGAATTTCGTCATTGTGTCAATGTAAGTATAGATTCTAAATAAGATAAAACTTAGCCCGAATACGCCCGATAAATGTGTTAAAATAGGAAATAGCTAGTGCAAAAACAATCTAATATTTGGTTAAGTGTATATAATATGATAGTTGTTTATCAAATTGATTTCATTACTGTCTGACTGTTATTATTTAAAAAAACATATTTATGTCCCTCGGGTATTACCAATGCATGAAAATGGATACATATTACTGTTAGGCTCAACTGTTGGTCTGTCCACCAATTCCAACGTCACTGGTTTACTTTCAACTGAAATCTAAGAAAGAATATGGACAAAAAGTAATGTTGTTCATAATCATCCCCCCCCCCATCACACCAAACTAGTTCTTACCCGTTCTTGCCAGTCCTACGAAAACGTCGTAAAACGGGCTCAATCTGGCTGTGGTCGGGAAATGTGTCTAAAATAATTAGCTACTTCGTTCATAAACAGTCTTCAAAACGTCCATCTCATTCGCAGTTCGTTCAGGTCTCACCACGTCGTTGTGCAACGTCGTATAACGCGTCCCTTAGTCTGGAAGGTCATCATGACCTGATTTCAAAACGGTATGGTCGCCATCGAATTTTGAATCGATTCAAAATTCTAAATCACAGTCCCCGTCCGGGAAAGTCCATGAAGTTCGTAAACAGACCGTAAAACGTTGTAGCTATGCACGTTCATTCCGTTCGCACACAGTTTAAAACCAGTTTTGAAGAACGCAGTGGCAACTTGCTTGGTGTGATAGCTATATTTTTGCTAACTCGTTGATAAATACGTTCTTAATCAGTTTTAACCCGTTTGCAATTTAGTTCTACCTCATTCTAAATACGTCCTCAGACAGTTCAACTCGTTGTAAAAACGTCCCTAGTAGGATTGAAGTACGACCGTTACGTTCGTAGTACGTCCAGCTCGTCGTAAGTAGGTTGTCACTCGTTCTAATTGTAGAACGTGACGACCAAGATAACATTTTGAGCATGTTCTAAGTTCTAGAGGACCTTCCCGTTCGAGCACGTTCGATGAAGTTTGTAAATAGACCCCAAACGGTTCTAAGTACCTCTAGTCCGTTCGTAAAAAGTTGAAGCCCGTTTTCGAGAACGTAGTGAGAACTAGTTTGGTGTGATAGTAGGGTAACCAAGAGATTCCGAGCTTGATTATACAATTCTAGCGATGAGATAGTATTGTAATATATCTGAAACAAAATACCTCATTGTTACCTTCCTCTATGTCTTCTCGCTTTGAGTAATCTCGGTTCATCCCTACATCAGTTTCATGTAAAAGTGGGTCTGTATGTTCTGTACAATTAGTGCGTCTTTCCGTTTCTAGAGAATCTGGTGTTTGTGTATTCGGATTCGTATCGTCGTGCGGATGTAATTGGTCAAGGACTGCTTGAAGTATTGGCATCATCATGCTCACAGTCGCAGTATTGCTAATCCACATTGATAGTAGCCACGTCGCCAGCATAAACCCAAGCATTAACCTCGTGAGAAAAAATATTCCTAAATGAAGCATTTACTAAGGCGTTTGATGATAGCAATTAAAAAATGCATGTTGTTTTTTGTTTTTTTTTAACTGTATAATTATATGTAAATGTCTTGAAATTGATTTTGTGAGGAAACCAAGTGTTTGGTTTGAAACACAATAAAATCTTGAATCTTGAATCTATATCACTATTTTAATGAAAAACGTTTACTGTTTCAGGTCGGTTTGGAACTGCAGAAAGAACGGTTTTTGGCTCACCATTTAGGGGTTGTTCCAACAATAAGAAGAATTCTGAGAGCGATGCGTTTGTGTAGATTCCAATGCTCGACTGCCACAGCTACCATCAAACCACCAATAAATATCATACTTGAGTTCTAAAAAGGCAGGCTATATACTGTTCGTCGGGATACTAATTACACCAGTTTTTATGGTACTTGTAATTTGTGATTTAAATATTTAATGTTAATTTTAATATTATTTTACACATAGCTAGGCAAGATTCCATCCAATCAGAACACAGTATTTCAAATAATCTGCATTCTTAGAATTATAACAAAGCACCTGGGCTAATCGATTACCCTCATCAATTTTATAATTTCATTAAGGCATGTGCAGATCAAATGTCTTAAAGCATTTTGCAAAAAAATCATTCTTTTCATAGATACTTTACTAGATCTTTTGCAATGCTTGAGAGGAATTCAAGGACATGCATCAATGAATTGAGGGTGATTTTAAACTTAACTTTAGTCTTGCATTCAAAGTTTGGAAACACGACTTTTTATAATCATCCTACAATTCATAGAGTCCTGGGCTAAATTCTTTACTATTTTATGTTTGTTCATGTACATCAACCAACTCACCTTAAGGTACTGTGAACAAACATCCCCTGACGTCATGATACCCAAGGCAGGAAAAAGCACAATGGGGATAAAGGAGGTCGCTGGGATAGGTAGAACCTCTAGTGTCCAATAGACTGCCATAAGAATGATAACATATCCACAACTTGCGATCTAAAACATAATGCACTAAATAAGGCATCGTACCCTACTGGTAATAGGGAGAAATAATATTTTGAAGTTTAATTTGTGTCCATAATGCTGATTTTTTCTTAAAATGTTTAAGAAAATGCCAACATTGTCCTATTTTACAAAATAAAGAATGAAGACATATGAGTGTTTTCTTGCTTTTTCATGAAAGTATCATTACATTATTGTTTTCTTTTTGTAAACCTGGGTGAGCGGTCAATTACAATTCAGTGTTATTGAGAAACTTGGAGAAGAAATTTGGAAATTTGAAAAGGCGGCCATTTTGAATGATCTTTCTTGAAATATTTGCATATCCTAAAGTTGACATTGACCTCTTAATTACCAGCTGGTTTACTACAAGAATACAATGCAAGGAGACTTTATTGAAACAGCAAGTTAATAAACACATGCCTTCATACTTTATTTTGTACCAGAAAATAACAAGTGTAGGTATAGCAATTTAAAAAAAAATTTCACATGTATCTAAATAGGTAAAAAAGGCTTATGTAATGTATTTAGGACGTCCTACCTTTGTATTTACTAGGATGAGCAGGGGTAGCAGCAAGATGGGTGTAGCAACAATAACGAACAGCTTCCAGTAGCGCCAAATCGGGAACATCATATCTCCCGTTAGAATTTCACATTCAACTAACTAGAAGAACATGATATGTTAATATATACGACATTCAAAACTTATTGGCTTAAATACTTGTTTGCACGAAACATGTATGTGAACAAAGTTTACTGTGTTGACAAACTCGAGTACTGATATGTGTGTCAAACGAATCTGAGATGATGGCCTGCATAAGCATATTATATGTGAATATAATCATGATCATAAACCACTGTGGTTCTGTCTTTAGCATAAATTGTTGCGTGTATATAGATAGATAAGTTACAGTATATGGCATGTTCTAAATTCAAAATGAGAGCCAATTTAAGTTTATAGAAAATAGTAACGTGCACCACCTACCTTTGCCAATTTCACATTTATGCCTCTTTTATTTAGCAGCATTAGATGAACAGTTTGCATTAATTAATTCGTGATATGTTTGCAAATTATAACATCCATATCTGATAAACAATGTAAAGGGTGGAAAACCTAAAAAAAGTTATAGCAATGCATCGTAACACGAGACACTGTCATTTTGTGGATCCTATTCCAAAATATTCTTTCATTTCATATTACATGTAATAATATCTCCAGTAAAAGGAAATATTATTTATCCAATACAAGAAAATGTATTTCACTTTTTGTGATTCTATAACATGGGGTCTATGAGTAATCTTCCCGAACTAGAAGTCACATTTTCAGAGAAAATAAAATTTTCAAAGTTAATAAACAATTCTGAAACATATTTCTCGATGTATTTTTACACGTAGATTTCAAATATGACATCACTTTTCAACAAAAACATGCGCACTTACACCGCTTATTACGATGTGTCAAACTTGTTGGTTACCCCAGAGACATATATGACCCGCGTGTGCCAATCGCTAGTGCACCACAGGAGTTCAATTTCAATAAACCGTGATGCTTTCCAAAAGAATTATGTGAGTGTAAGTGCACTTGGATGAGCTACTTTTGCTGAAAACACATGAGCATGTTATTTGCACGTCAGGGCTTATTGTTCTTTTTAGTGATACCTTGTACGAAAAAATTAAAATATTACGCAATTTAATAGCACCGCGGGCATACAAAAATACAGCCTAAGTGACATATCACTAATGGTTACTATATGAATGTGATAGATTGATTTTGAAGGAGGGGAATCAGTCTACACACAAGCCTTCTATAGTATGTATATGTACATGTATGTCTATTCAAAATTATATCTTTGCATAGTCAGTTGGATTTATTAATTTAAATTACCTACAGAGCTAAATTAATGAGAAAATAGAGTAACCATCATGTGGGAAAAATGGGGAAATGATGTCGAAGCGAGAAAAAACAGCCTAATAAGAGCGATAAAAAGGAATCGGGGTTTGTCACACGATATTGAACCGACATTGGAAATCAAAATGACGCTTGTAATCATGGAAAATGAGCAAATACTATATCTAGTAACCTCAGTAATAAGTATAGTCTCGAAGGTACAGAAAGAAAATGAACAGTTACACAAAATTCATTTTTGACCAATGGAGAATATCAAATCGACTGGCTCAACATAAAAAAACGGAACTGGAAATCATGTGAAAGTGAATGAGCCAAATGCTTTGACTGCAGGTAGATTAGCAAAGTATTAGTAAAGGATATTGAAAAACAAGAGAGCTTCGTCTTCAGTTGTTTATAAGTAGACTCTGCGCGCAAGGTAGCACCTTCGTTACCGATCTTTATCACACCCGTAAATGAGATATTGGAACCGACGCCTTTTCTCAATGCTGAATACAGTTTTCATCATCTTACTTATTTTTCTTTTATATTCCATTTTTATTAGGAAATTGTATCTTGGAGGAACCAAATTGTGTTATTGCTTTTGAGTATTGCATTTGGCCAATAGGTGGCAGCACCTGACAGAGTTTGGAGGCCATTACCAAGATGGAGATTTCTAAATACTGAAATATACTAGAAAGTAAAACCATTGTTTATGTAGTTTATTAAGTCATGATTACAGAAATAACACCATAATGTACTGAACACATTACCCTTTTTATCTCTCTGACAGAATGAATACTGTGTCAATCCGGTGTAAAAGGGTAGAAGGTCCTATCAAATTATGGTCCTACTCTTCTTTATATGGTGACCTCTTTCCCTTATTATCACAATCAGGGCCAGAAAGGGCTGTTAAGAAAGGGGACCATTATCCCTGGGCGACCATAATTTCGTTCACACTGGTACTGTTAAGGAATGACTAATATCAGTGCTAATATTGTTGCTCCAAATATTATCTGACATTTGTAGATTTTCATATGAACAATGAACATCTAGTGTCGCCAATAGAAATAATTTTTAAATAAAGATGACATGATAATCGATCTGTGTTTATTTATAAATATTCTCTTTCACAAGAACGATCAGCATTTTAGGGACGAAATGTGGATTTTAAAAGTACTACTTCGGCTCCCATTGATTACCTGAAGAGTATTTATAAACATAGATCGATTACCATGCCATCTTTATTTAAAAATTATTTCTATCGACCTTTGCCCGAATGGTCTGAAAGAAACTTATCCTTTATAGAAATTAAGTTGGTCTGGTCTGGGAAGTATTGTTAGAACAATATTCGAAAAAGCTTTTTAATATTACGATCATGCCTACAACATAGACTTTGTGGTGAACCAAACAAACACAGGTTATATGTAATCAAATTAAGTATGAACTTGTATATAAAACTTTATAATCCACCACTCTGCACGTAGAGGTACGTGTACTTAACTGAACAAAGGGCCGGTAGATGTACATGTTGAATACCGTCCAGGCGTTACTTTGATTTTACGTTAAAGACGATTCATCGCTTCAATCCATCCATCGTTCGAAGTATTGGTCCTTTTATTTACTAAGCTTCATTGTAAATGATCTTTAGAAGTGTACTAAATACTTTACATTGTACCGTACACCTCAGATGACTCTACACCATAATACAATAAGGAGACCCTACATGTCTACATGTATAACAAGTTTGGATAAAATGTAAGTACTGCTTTTTAATATATCTTGGTAGATACCCTCAAAATCGGTGATCTGTTGAAGGTGATATTGGACTTAAAAAGACGTCACGACCAACACAGAAAAGAGTTTAATATATCTTAGTAGATACCCTCAAAATCGTTTGAAGGTGATATTGGACTTAAAAAGACTTCACGACCAACACAGAAAAGAGTTAAATATATCTTGGTAGATACCCTCAAAATCGATGATCTGATGAAGGTGATATTGGACTTAAAAAGACGTCACGACCAACACAGAAAAGAGAGAGTGGTCTTGGGGTTTCTTCAATAATTCATAGGAAGGCTTTTGAATTGATTCATGGTTATTTATTATTTTATATAAATTGCTAATTATAATATTAATAAACAATTAATAATAATAGTAATAATATGAATGATTAATACCAATATTGATGTTCATAACATATCTATGTTTCATAAACATCTGATTGAATCCCCATGTTTGGGTATGAGAATGGGGGACTAAAAGGATGAATTTTGGTGCAAAAATAAGCGACAGTAAGACTATACTATAAAAGAAAGAGCTTTAAATGGTTACATTGAAAATTGAGTTCTGGGAAATGTATGCATTTTTCTTTCTTTTGCTACCTCTATTGTTTCAGACATGTTTTTCAAAAACTGACATACTCGTGATCCTTCGTTGCAATTCCTTGAAAGAACTGTTCAAAAATGCTTATGTGGAAATTGTTTTGAAAGCTTAGTTTTTATCATGCATTATATTTTCTAATGATAACTTTGCATAAATACATATTTTAAAAAACTTATTGAGATTTTCAGTTTATCTTACTTGTTTTATTTTCATATTTTCTGTAAAAATACGCGAAGTTTCATGAAACCTTATAAGTCCGTTATGTTATGTAAGTAATTTGTGTTTAAACACATTGAACAAGTCGAAGAAATTCTACATTCACCTTTACTTTGGATATCGTTAAAATCTTTTGAATAGCCGGTTACAGTTACATATTTTCCGAACACCTACAATGACAGTCCGTACTTCGGTAAAACCAGACTATGAAATTCTGATCTATTTGTTCACTATGTCGTAAAACATTAGATATGGCACTTGAAATTACACATGTTATAGGAACGAAATTACAATATTTGTATCCATTACATATTCTCATTCTACTCGTTGACCTTACATGCTTCTGACACTTCGTTTGTGTGTGTGTGTATGTGTGGAATGTTTTATTCACATATTTACACGACAAAGGCTTGATTTAAATATAACCTACTGCTAATTGATTTCTGCGCAAATACTATTTGGTTTGATAAAATATAATTTTTTATTGAAGGTAATTAAAATGAAGGCTCTTAAGAAACAGGTGCGTGCACATAATATTTTTAATATATATTTTCCATTAAAATTAATTCATGGGTCTTTCAGGTTTACTTCGTCTCAATATCACACTACCCTACCACGTGACCACATTTAAAAATGATACAGGGTACGGTTAAGTTGCAAATGGAGCGGGTATTCTCTATCTTTGTCCATTGGGCTTTTCTGGTAATAATACGTTGCAAACTGCTCGATGAATCTATACAATGTATAGTAGAACACTTAGAATATGTGTAAAATCTAGTATACATTCAGAACTATGGAAATAAACAAACGTCCTCCATTTGCAACTTCCCTGTAGCCTGTACTTCTTTTAAAGGAATACAGGATACAGTATGGGGGTATAGTAGTGTGAATATTGTTAGTTTAGCGATCCGTGTAGGCCTTAGGTAAGTCTGCATGTTCGGAATTTTGCTGCATTCCTCAATTAAGTCACATGTTATTTTTCAAATAGGAATCACTCCTTCCAACTCCCCACGCTGTCTACATCTTTCAGTTTTGCACAAAGAGTCCACTAATGAACCTATAAAAGACTGTTGAGAAGATTTGTTTTGTAAAATGTGTAAAAACGAGAAAATTCAGTGACTCGAGGCATGGGCTCTAATTGAAAGCCCATATGCTGAAGGTCACTAAATTTTACAAAAAATCTCCTTTCTAGACACATAAGTGCCCTCTTTGTGCAAAACTGATGCAAACAAGATGTAAACAAGGTGGAAAAGGAGTGATTCCTATTTGAAAAATAACATGTCACTCAATTGAGGATTGCAGCAAAATTCCAAACATGCAGACTTGCCTTACATCGGTTTTATTTGTTTTAATCTGATTATGACATTGTAATGTTCCGCTTTTGGAATCGTTTTAAAGTTGTTACATAATAAGCATGGGATAAAGCTACTTATAAGTACATGTTTATACAGGTATGTCGCCTCGTTGAACATAACTGCGTGAGGACAAATGAATGAAAATACAACGGCGAACAACGTAGAGGTTCAAGTTAACAGGCAAGTTTTTGCAAAACTAGAATGCACAAGAATATCAAGGTGTGTATCAGAAGTGGATAGATGTATAACAACTATAAATGCACAATCACAATTTGTGTTCCCAAATTTTCAGGGTTATAATAGATTTTCAACGAATTAACGAATTATAGTCAGAACTAAGTGTCCACGATGATCAACTGGTGGGGGCTGGCCGCCATCATTGTCTTCTATCTCCTCATACTGGCAATCGGGCTGATAGCAGGACGCAAAGCCAAACAGTTTGGCAAAGATGCTAGCAGCGAGGATGTCATTGTCGCAGGGAGAGATATTGGGGCGGTGGTTGGTGTTTTCACCATGACAGGTAGGACAACTGCATACTTACTTAAGGTTCAGCTGGAAAGTAACATTTTGGTAAAAAATTGCTATACCTGCCCATGTTATTTTCTGGTACAAAATTAAGTATGAAGGCATGTGTGTATTGCCTTGCTTTTTTCAGGAAAGTGTCATTACACTGTCTTCTTTTAGAATATCTAGAAACAGGTCAATGGTATCTCCTGTGTTGTCTGGAAACTTTGAAAGAAAATTTGGAAAAATAGAAAGTGTGAAATATCAGAATTTCCTGTAGTTCCCATTAAACGCCTATCAGATATTCTAAAAGAAGACAATGTAATGATACTTTCCTGAAAAAAGCAAGGACATTGACACATGCCTTCATACTTTATTTTGTACCAGAAAATAACATGTGCAGGTATAGCAATTTTTTACCAAAATGTTACTTTCCAGCTGTACCTTAACTCGTGTTGTACTTGTACTATTGTCGGGAGCCTTTTAGTCAAACACATACGACATATAATGGGATTTACATTGTGTACGTACCTTCATTGATCAAAATGAACTGTATACCTAGCCCGGATACCTAGCGCCTAGTGTTTATTAGAAGCCCATCATTCTGATACTAATCATAGCATCTTTCTGTTTCACCCGAAACATCTTAGGGCTGAGAAGAAATGAGGTGTCATGGTTTATCATGATGGAAGCCCATGGCTGAACAGTTGACTATTTCGAATCATTTCAGATAAATTGGGCATTTAAAATCTACAGTCTAATTTAGAGTCTTATATCAGAAAGGTAATTGCAAGATGAGAAAGGGTTCTTCAGATATGATAGCTAAACTAGAAAACAAACTAAAATATTCAAAAGTTAGGATAAATATAAATGTTTCTATTTTTACATAAACTGTTTCAATATGGTCATTTGATTGCTTATTTTTTAAATTCAAAGTAGTCACAAACATTACTGTTTTGACTATACATGTTAGTTTCAACTGAGACTTCTCAGGTTTCAAGGCAATGAATAGTACGCCTTACTCTACATCTTTTAGGTTTGCATTAAGAACATGAAGAATGCATTGATATGCCTAGAGTTGAGCATTTATTATTGATATAAAAACCTAATCTAATGTGTCCGAAAGACTGACTAAATTTCAAAAAACTATGACCTGTAGAGGATATAGTCTATATAAAAAACAGTGATTTGTTTACCAGTGACATTATTTACCAGTGACATTATTTACTATACTCAACTAGTAATCTAAATAGAATTTTGTACTCTGTTCAAAACTGAAAGACGCAGACACCTGAGTCCTGAGACTACCATAGGATTTTTTAGTTTCTTTATCTTTTCCGTTTAAATTGGAAGTAAACTCATGGACTACTAAATACCATCATAGCGACGCAGTTCCATCATAAAAGCAAGATGAAGAAAATCCAATCAAATATAACACCTTACGGGGAAAATATTGTCACAGTTTGAGCACTATAACAGTTAATCATGAGGCCCCATGTAGCCTTCATACGCTCTCCTCCTCTAGGACATGTTAGCCTTTACACGCTCTCCTCTTCTGCGGCATATAGCCTTTACACTCTCTTCTACTGCGGAATGTCGCCTATACACAATCTCTTCTACTGCGAGATGGTAGCCTATATGCGTTCTCTTCTACTGCGGCATGTTAGCCCTTACACGCTCTTGTCTACTGTGTCATGTCGCCTTTACACGCTCTCTTCTACTGCGACATGGTAGCCTATACACACTCTCCTCTTGACTGTGGCATGTTAGCCTTTACACGCTCTTCTCTACTGCGGCATGTAGCAAGCTTATTCACGCTCTCTTCTACTACGGCATGGTAGCCTATACACACTCTCCTCTTGACTGTGGCATGTTAGCCTTTACACGCTCTTCTCTACTGCGGCATGTAGCAAGCTTATTCACGCTCTCTTCTACTGCGGCATGGTAGCCTATACACGCTCTCCTTTACTGTGGCATGTTTGCCTTTACACGCTCTTCTCTAACGCGGCATGTCGCCTATTTGACACGCTCTTTTTACTGCGGCATGGTAGACTATTCGCGCTCTCCTCTACTGTGACATATTAACCTTTACACGCTCTCCTCTACTACGACATGCCCCCTATGCACACACTCCTCTACTGCGGCATCTTAGCCTTCACACGTTCTCTTCCACTGCAGCATACGTTTTCTTCTACTGCGGCATGTTACCCTTTATAAGCTTTATTGCACTATTACAAATTACAAGTACCCGATATTAAATTAAATTAGAATTATGATATGGAATTCAGAGGAAGCTTCCATATACCTTTCCCTTGACATCTTTTGTTAACAAAAACAAAAAGTATAACAATGTACCGATATATTGATCCTCGACCTTTTATATGACCCTGATCTTTTTCATTGACCTATGTCATGTCAATTTCAGCCACTTGGGTGGGAGGTGGGTATATTAATGGAACAGCTGAATCAACATTCTTCAGTGGCCTGGTATGGACCCAAGCACCATTTGGATATGCTATCAGTCTAGTTATTGGAGGACTCATTTTCGCTAAACCAATGAGGAAGCAAGGATATGTTACAATGCTTGACCCTTTTACCCGGAAGTATGGTGACGTAATGGGCGGAATCCTTTTCCTTCCCGCACTCCTTGGTGAAATTTTCTGGTCTGCTGCCATCTTATCAGCATTGGGTAAGTACATGTATATCCTACATATGCTAAATGCATGGCTCCTTTATGTCTTCCATGTACTGTCCCTTATTAATTTTTGGATCATTTGTAGTTATCTCATATTCACCTTTCCACAAAGTCAGCTCATGAATATTATAATGAGCTGCTTAATAATCTATGACGTCAATGACTGAAACTTTTTCCCGCGAAAAACAAATGCAATTGAGTTAACATGTAAATCCTCGGTTGATTGTTGTAAGTTTTACCTCTTCAAATGTGCAAGTAATCAGTAAATTATTGACAGATTTTTATTGAACGTCAAATTAATATTTAAATCGCTTAGAAGGCGTAAATAAATGTCAAATTTCTGTTCATAATGAGAAAATAATTTGAAGAGAATTACTCCCGGTCAGTTTTCAATCATGATAGGAACTGGATGTGAACAGGTGAAATTATCATAATCATTAGTTCACCAACATTATAACATGTCTCTTATGCATAAAAATATATAGATAGACAATCTATTTTAAGTTAATCTTCAGTGTCATTTGATGAATGACCTGTTCAAATTAAAAACATTTGCTCTTATTCATTATATCATTGACTTCACTACTTCCATAATTCAATCAACTAAACGATTTAGAATTACTTCCTATTTATTTCTGCAAGTCATATCAGATCGTATCTTGAAAATATTATACTTGAAAATATTATACTTGAAAACATTGGGATATAGAATTGATATCTTAGAGGAGCGTGACATATATAGAGATTATCCTACATGAGGTTCAGGATATTGGGATTATCCCGAGGCAATTATAATATATCTGCCCGAGGGCCGAAGGTCCCGAGGGAAAATATATTATATTGGCCAAGGGATAATCCCAATATCCTGAACCGACTATATGATAGTATGTTTATCTCATACCAATCTTGGTCATCTGGTTCACATTGTTCAATCGTGTAAATATTTTAGAATATTCATGTCCAGTTTTGTTTTCTTGGCCGTGGGCGGATTTTCCTGTTCTCTCAAATATTCCCAATATACGTCCAAGTATGGGTTAAACATGTATATATATTCCAATGTATACACTGTTGCTCATAAATATGGAATATTAGATTTGGCAGCTCAGAATTCAAATTTTGGAGTAAGAGAATATTTATTTGGAGTCGGTTCAGACATTTATTTTCTAGGCAAATTATAACCACATATTTCATCTACAAAAATCACTGGTTGTCTATAGCTCTGGGAGATAGGTTTTGAGGTGAGACAGCCATTCATCTCGTAGACTACTGGTTGACTTAAAGCGATTTTGATGACATTAATGCAGCAGGTGGTGGTCTTTTCTTACATTATTCTCCCTAGGGTTACTATTGCTGTGACCTGGAGTAATATTCCAATGCCTTTGGTACCACTGCAGATTTTAGAGACTGTTCCTGACACACCCCTAGGGTCCTGGCAATGGCAGTTTGTTTCATGCCAGAGAGCGCCATCCCTATGACCTGCCATGCTCTTTTTCGCTTATTTTATGGGTCATGCCTTCTAAAAACTCTTCCAACTCTAAATTAAAGTTTTATAAAATGTGCACAATGGTTACAACTAAGATTTGGACACCTCTTTCAAGTTACCAATATCACGAGGTCATGGGGTCACCTGAGTGAATACAAGTTTAATCAACCATAAATATTTTAACTTTTCATACCAATCCGTTTTATATGCAAAACTGATGAGGGAATGAGAACACATTACAGATTTTCATCAAAATGTTATCATTTTGTAGAAATTCCATCAAACAGTTCGTATCTATAAAATATTCCATATTTATGAGCAACAGTGTATTTCCCGCTGCGTATCTCCCGATCCAAATATCCCCGGGAAAATGTTTTTTATTCAGTGTAGAAACAGTCAATTTGTTAGAATATCTTGCTAAAGCAAAACTGTCAAAATAGATCCAGCAGACCGTAGAATTTTTTTTAACCAAAATGATGATGGATTTCTCGAAAATAATGAGAATGAGAACGCTAAATAGAAATGAAACATGGATATGGGTGTCCTGATTTCACTTGTGAAACCTCACTTGTCATTGGATAAATTAGTTATGTGATGATCGGTCTTGAATAATGATGACTGGGAAGATTTTAGAGAAAGAGCGTATATCATATAATGTTTATTGATGATATTTTGACATTGCTGATCATTATTGACATCGCTGATGGCGAATAAATACCAAAAGGTAACGCTTTGCGCGAATGTCACTCATGATGAATTTCTGATGGAACTTCTTACTACGACATAATAACCATTTAACAGGGTAGTGTATGACCACTATCAGATAATTTAGCCGATGTTTGTAACTTCACAATTTACATTTTTTGTTTACAATCGCACGAGACACGTGAGCCCGGGTATGTGAGGCTGATCTGAGAAGTCTTAATAAACAATAGTTCTGTCAAAAAAATGATTAAATTAAATTACATAAGATTCGGAAAGAAAGTGCCCCGTTCATATTTCATATTTGCTTAAAAATAATCAGTACGTTTGGCAAATAGAATCCTTTTTATAGCAGTTAATTCAAAATATTCCTATGCTGGCTGTACTAATTCTTCAAAACTTTCCATCATTGACGTCATTGATTTGACTCATTTGCATACAACCAATCAGCGCGCCGGAAATTATCGATTTTCTTTACTTTGTGGAAAGGTGAATACCTTTCCTGCATTCAATTCACGTACACGTTATCGACATTCATGCTTTTCATGATTTATGAATTAATATTGTGCAAACGTAAAAGATAGGTACAGGTTCAACATTGACGTGTAACTTTAACTTTCTAATGCTATCGATATCAATGGAATGTCATGTGTGTTTGAACAGTGGTACATAACATGAGAAACATTTTGAAGCCCAACATTATTTAAACCAAGTACTTTGTCATTAGTGCGAGCAGTTAAAAAAATTTCTTCCATGATATTTTAGGTGCAACACTCTCGGTGATTCTGGGTCTCGACAACATGATAGCTACCATCGTGTCTGCATGTATAGCTGTCTTCTACACCTTGTTTGGAGGATTATATTCTGTCGCGTATACAGATGTTGTGCAACTAATTTGCATTTTCATCGGACTGGTAAGTATACACAACAATTTCAAACAACCAGTGGTATATTCATTTAACATCTGAAATCATTCATTTGAATATACGGTTTCTATTAATACATGATACTTTCGAGCCAATCCAAAACCCATCCATGCATCAATTTCTACTCGATCAAATCCACACTATCCAATCGTGTAAACATCCATTCCTTCTAGCAAAAAAGATTATTCTGAGGGTGAATATGTGAAACATTTTCAGTGGCTTTCCATACCATTTGCCATGACACATGCGGCAGTGACACCTATTACAGAGACAGCGCTACCAGGGAATGGTACAGCAGGGTGGGTTGGAACAATAGCTGTGGCAGACCTTGGGGTGTGGATTGACTACGCCCTGCTGCTTATATTTGGTGGAATACCATGGCAGGTAGGAATTACTTAAAGTGTAAGTCCCCCGGGGTACGTCCTTACGATTTCAGTGATTGTGATCGTGGTCACGTTTAATATTTCCATTTTAGTCTAGTTAAATTGAGACTGAAAGTTGAGATATAATATTTCAGGTATATTTCCAAAGGGTTCTGTCTTCAAGATCAGCAGGCCGGGCACAGATACTTTCATTTGTGGCAGCGTTTGGTTGCATCATAATGGCTCTTCCGGCAGTACTCATCGGAGCCATAGGCTACTCTACAGGTGATTCATGTTATATAAGATAGCATTGCGTCAACGTTTTATGTAATAGGCTTCTCTACAGGTGATTCATGTTATATAAGATAGCATTGCGTCAACGTTTTATGTCATAGGCTTCTCTACAGGTGATTCTTGTTATATAAGATAGCATTGCGTCAACGTTTTATGTCATAGGCTTCTCTACAGGTGATTCATGTTATATAAGATAGCATTGCGTCAACGTTTTATGTCATAGGCTTCTCTACAGGTGATTCATGTTGTATAAGATAGCATTGCGTCAACGTTTTATGTCATAGGCTTCTCTACAGGTGATTCATGTTATATAAGATAGCATTGCATCAACGTTTTATGTCATAGGCTTCTCTACAGGTGGTTCATGTTATATAAGATAGCATTGCGTCAACGTTTTATGTCATAGGCTTCTCTACAGGTGATTCTTGTTATATAAGATAGCATTGCGTCAACGTTTTATGTCATGCTACTCTACAGGTGATTCATGTTATATAAGATAGCATTGCGTCAACGTTTTATGTCATAGGCTTCTCTACAGGTGATTCATGTTATATAAGATAGCATTGCGCCAACGTTTTATGTCATAGGCTTCTCTACAGGTGATTCATGTTCTATAAGATAGCATTGCGCCAACGTTTATGTCATAGGCTTCTCTACAGGTGATTCATGTTATATAAGATAGCATTGCGTCTACGTTTTATGTCATAGGCTTCTCTATATGTGATTCATGTTATATAAGATAGCATTGCGTCAACGTTTTATGTCATAGGCTTCTCTACAGGTGATCCATGTTATATAAGATAGCATTGCGTCAACGTTTTATGTCATAGGCTTCTCTACAGGTGATTCTTGTTATATAAGATAGCATTGCGTCAACGTTTTATGTCATAGGCTTCTCTAAAGGTGATTCATGTTCTATAAGATAGCATTGCGTCAACGTTTTATGTCATAGGCTTCTCTACAGGTGGTTCATGTTATATAAGATAGCATTGCGTCAACGTTTTATGTCATAGGCTTCTCTACAGGTGATTCTTGTTATATAAGATAGCATTGCGTCTACGATTTATGTCATAGGCTTCTCTACAGGTGCTTCATGTTATATAAGATAGCATTGCGTCAACGTTTTATGTCATAGGCTTCTCTACAGGTGATTCATGTTATATAAGATAGCATTGCGTCTACGATTTATGTCATAGGCCACTCTATAGGTGATTCGTGTTATATAAGATAGCATTGCGTCAACGTTTTATGTCATAGGCTACTCTACAGGTGATTCGTGTTATATAAGATAGCATTGCGTCAACGTTTTATGTCATAAGCTTCTCTACAGGCGATTCTTGTTATATAAGATAGCATTGCGTCAACGTTTTATGTCATAGGCTTCTCTACAGGTGATTCTTGTTATATAAGATAGCATTGCGTCAACGTTTTATGTCATAGGCTTCTCTACAGGTGATTCTTGTTATATAAGATAGCATTGCGTCAACGTTTTATGTCATTGGCTTCTCTACAGGTGATTCATGTTATATAAGATAGCATTGCGTCAACGTTTTATGTCATAGGCTTCTCTACAGGTGATTCATGTTATATAAGATAGCATTGCGTCAGCGTTTTATGTCATAGGCTTCTCTACAGGTGATTCATGTTATATAAGATAGCATTGCGTCAACGTTTTATGTCATAAGCTTCTCTACAGGTGATTCTTGTTATATAAGATAGCATTGCGTCAACGTTTTATGTCATAGGCTTCTCTACAGGTGATTCTTGTTGTATAAGATAGCATTGCGTCAACGTTTTATGTCATAAGCTTCTCTACAGGTGATTCTTGTTATATAAGATAGCATTGCGTCAACGTTTTATGTAATAGGCTTCTCTACAGGTGATTCTTGTTATATAAGATAGCATTGCGTCAACGTTTTATGTCATAAGCTACTCTACAGGTGATTCTTGTTATATAAGATAGCATTGCGTCAACGTTTTATGTCATAGGCTTCTCTACAGGTGATTCTTGTTATATAAGATAGCATTGCGTCAACGTTTTATGTCATAAGCTTCTCTACAGGTGATTCTTGTTATATAAGATAGCATTGCGTCAACGTTTTATGTCATAGGCTTCTCTACAGGTGATTCTTGTTATATAAGATAGCATTGCGTCAACGTTTTATGTCATAAGCTACTCTACAGGTGATTCTTGTTATATAAGATAGCATTGCGTCAACGTTTTATGTCATAAGCTACTCTACAGGTGATTCTTGTTATATAAGATAGCATTGCGTCAACGTTTTATGTCATAAGCTTCTCTATCATGTCTACAGGTGATTCTTGTTATATAAGATAGCATTGCGTCAACGTTTTATGTCATAGGCTTCTCTACAGGTGATTCATGTTATATAAGATAGCATTGCGTCAACGTTTTATGTCATAGGCTTCTATACAGGTGATTCTTGTTATATAAGATAGCATTGCGTCAACGTTTTATGTCATAGGCTTCTCTACAGGTGTTTCATGTTATATAAGATAGCATTGCGTCAACGTTTTATGTCATAGGCTTCTCTACAGGTGATTCATGTTATATAAGATAGCATTGCGTCTACGATTTATGTCATAGGCTTCTCTACAGGTGATTCTTGTTATATAAGATAGCATTGTGTCAACGTTTTATGTCATAGGCTTCTCTACAGGTGATTCATGTTATATAAGATAGCATTGCGTCAACGTTTTATGTCATAGGCTACTCAACAGGTGATTCTCATTATATACGATAGCATTGCGTCAACGTTTTATGTCATACCCTACTCAACAGTTGATTCATGTTATATAAGATAGCATTGCGTCAACGTTTTATGTCATAAGCTTCTCTACAGGTGATTCATGTTATATAAGATAGCATTGCGTCAACGTTTTATGTCATAGGCTTCTCTACAGGTGATTCTTGTTATATAAGATAGCATTGCGTCAACGTTTTATGTCATAGGCTTCTCTACAGGTGATTCATGTTATATAAGATAGCATTGCGTCAACGTTTTATGTCATAGGCTTCTCTACAGGTGATTCATGTTCTATAAGATAGCATTGCGCCAACGTTTATGTCATAGGCTTCTCTACAGGTGATTCATGTTATATAAGATAGCATTGCGTCAACGTTATATGTCATAGGCTTCTCTACAGGTGATTCATGTTATATAAGATAGCATTGCGTCAACGTTTTATGTCATAAGCTTCTCTACAGGTGATTCATGTTATATAAGATAGCATTGCGTCTACGATTTATGTCATAGGCTTCTCTACAGGTGATTCTTGTTATATAAGATAGCATTGCGTCAACGTTTTATGTCATAGGCTTCTCTACAGGTGATTCATGTTATATAAGATAGCATTGCGTCAACGTTTTATGTCATAAGCTACTCTACAGGTGATTCATGTTATATAAGATAGCATTGCGTCAACGTTTTATGTCATAAGCTACTCTACAGGTGATTCTTGTTATATAAGATAGCATTGCGTCAACGTTTTATGTCATAGGCTTCTCTACAGGTGATTCTTGTTATATAAGATAGCATTGCGTCAACGTTTTATGTCATAGGCTTCTCTACAGGTGATTCATGTTATATAAGATAGCATTGCGTCAACGTTTTATGTTATAGGCTTCTCTACATAGGTGATTCATGTTATATAAGATAGCATTGCGTCAGCGTTTTATGTCATAGGCTTCTCTACAGGTGATTCATGTTATATAAGATATCATTGCGTCAACGTTTTATGTCATAAGCTACTCTACAGGTGATTCATGTTATATAAGATATCATTGCGTCAACGTGATTGATCACTACAGGTGATTGTCTGGTAAATTATCTTATGCATTGTTACTGTACAATGTACATGAACATGTAGGTACGATAGAAAAGGTTTACCTATAATTATCATACGTTAAAACCTGTAATTTCGCATTTTAGACTGGAATAAAACAGATTACTTTACCGATGGTCGCAATTGGTCCTTGACCAACGGAAGTATCCCAGAAGATGATAACAAGCTGATCCTGCCCCTGGTGATGCAATACTTATGCCCCGCCTGGGTGTCGTTTGTTGGTTTGGGTGCTGTGTCAGCAGCCGTAATGTCGTCTGCGGATTCAAGCGTTCTTTCTGCTAGCTCAATGTTCGCCAATAATGTCTACAAAATGATATTTAGGAGAAGGGTAAGAATGGTTTTAGTATTTAATATAGGGCTATGATAGAGTGGGGAAATGTATCTTATTATAGTGCAGACATGTATTAGTCTTCATTTATCCATTTCAACATGTTTGCATTTTCCTTTTCAGGCATCTCAAAATGAAATTCTCTGGGTTCTTAGGATTGCTATATTTGTCGTTGGTGCTCTAGCAACTGTGATGGGCATAACAATAAATACAATATATGGACTCTGGTATCTTTGTTCGGACTTTGTCTTCGTTATCTTGTTTCCACAACTTCTCTTGGTTGTCCATATGCCAAAGTCGAACACATATGGATCGGTGTGTGGATATATCGTCGGGCTTGTCTTGAGACTAGGAGGAGGCGAGCCATTATTGTCGCTTCCACAAGTGATACCATACCCATATGAGATGCCGTTCAGGGCGGTGTCAATGTTATGCAGCCTGGTGACGATTATATGCGTGTCTCTATTCACAAACATGCTCTTCCATAATGGAATTCTCCCTAAAAGTGCGGATATTTTCAAGGCAGTTCTGTACGACAGAAGTATATACAAATCATCAGATGATACAGAAGAGGTATCCACCCCCTGGCAAAAAACTCATACAAAAAATGGGATTTCAAATCCGGGCTTAGTTGCCGCAAGTACAGATGATCTTGATAAAGAGAAATATGACTTAACTAAATTGTAATACTGATTAGTTGCTATTTTTTAGTAGGGGATTGACAGGAAAATGATATTTTAACATTGAGAACATTTATCCTAATTAACAGGTAATAATCAAACAGCACCCTCAAGATCCACGGTTTTTCGTATATTTCACCGCACGATCTAGCAAAAGCGTCTAGCGTCAAGTTGTGTTTATCTTCAAATGGACTAGGCATATCATGGCAACAAAAACAAGGATATTATCTTTAGCATTCATAGAACCTTTTTAATCAGATATGGTATATGAGGGAAGTAATACAAACCAGATTTTGACAAAAACGGCTAGCCATGAGAGATATTTTTATGATTATTTTCAACTTTGTGCCAGAAAGAAAGAAAGAAAATCTTTGAGATAAGCTGGCGTTAGCCATGGGTGCATTGGGTAGGTAAATATGTGATACAAATTAATATACCATATACAGATCGGAGGATTATTGTAAATTTTGATTTAGATGCAGTTTTATGACCTACCTGTGCGTGAATCTTGCTAGAGAGTGCGATTTTCTGCTAGATCATACGGTGAAATCTACAAATACAAGCGGATCTTGCAAGAGAGTGCTGTTTGATTAGTACCTGTGAAATTGTGCTCATTACTGTACGTTTTAAAATGTGTGTAATGGATTTATCATTACTATATGAATATAATTGCACATCATATATGTTGTACATTTTTATGATATTTAAGTATGGACAAGGGACTGCAGATAAATGCTGTATATACGTACGTACACGTTCAGTAATCATGGACATTGTTTGATTCGATGATGAATTACAGAAGTATCTGTAATAATATTTTAGTAACACTTTTTCTGAGATTTTTACATCAATGATTATTTTATACCAATGTAACTTGTGTGACATTGTTGTTTTACCAATGTGACATATCATTGTGACATTGTTCTTACACTAATGTGACATATCATTTGACATTGTTCTTACACCAATGTGACATTTCGTTGTGACATTATGTTCTTATATTAATGTGTCATAGCGTAGTAACATTGTTATTATACTAATGTGACATACTGTTGTAATATTGTTCTTAAATATACCTATGTCACATAACATATTGCTGCAGTGTTTCATATTATCTGACATATCGTTCCGACATTGTTTTTTTTTGTTTTTGTACTTATGTAACATAGAGCTCGAGTGGTGAGCGTTTTTTTTTTTAAATAACATTTATTTTCCTTTTAAATTAACTTACAATTTTAAATTAACATCATAGTAGATGGGTTAACTACATCTGGACTTCATTGTATGATGCAAATGTCCCATTTGGCATGGAAGTACCTTTGGGAAATAGAAATAAACTTATCCAAAGACACAAGCTAGATGTCGCTTTATATTGGAAATATTTATATTTTTCAAAATGGCCACCAAAAATACATCAGCGACAATATCTTTGCTTCTGTGCATGCTACAATTATAAGATTGGTGTCAAAAAATACAGTGATGTAGTCATAGAATCTATTTTATTACATCTCGAGTCTTGAAAATTAAGAACTTCGACTTTATATTCAAAATATACGCATTTTCAAAATGACTGCCAAAAAATATAACAAAGAAGATATCTTACCTTACGAATACTTACAAATTAAGATATCTTACCTTACAAAATGTCCCCTCTGGCATGGAAATACCTTAGGGCAATAGAAACAAATTTATCCAAAGACACAAGCTAGATGGCGCTTTGTATTGAAAATATACACATTTTTCAAAATGGCCTCCAAAAATACATCAGAGACAATAGTTTTGCTTCTCTGCATGCTACAATTATAAGAGTGGTGTCAAAAACTACATTAATGTAGTTGTAGAATCTATTTAATTAGGTTTCGAGTCTTGTAAATTCAGCACTTGCACTTTATATTCAAAATAAATGCATTTTTCAAAATGGCTGCCAGAAATATAACAAAGCTGATATCTTTGCTTCTAAGCATGCTACAATGATAAGAGTGGTGTCAAAGTATACATTAATATTGGGTTGTAGAATCCATTTAAATAGGTCTTTCATAATAAGAATTTTCACTTTATTGGAAATTATGTGTTTCTAAAAATGGCCACCAGAAATATGACAATGATGATATCTTCACATCAGTGCATGCTACACTGATACGATTGGTGTCAAAATTTAATATTTATGGGGTACGAGAATCAATTTCATTAAGTCTTTTGAGATTATAGTTTTCACTTCATATTGAAAATATATGCAGCTGAAAATATAACAAAGATTGTATATTTGCTAACAAAGATTGTACCTTTGATAACAAAGATTGTATCTTTGCTAACAAAAAGTGTATCTTTGCTAAAGGTTTCTTTGCTTCTGGGCATAATATTTCATAAAATTGGCTTCAAAATCTACATTTTTTTGAATGAAAAATCTATTTAATTACTCAGATGCAAGTAGGTAGTTACCATTTTCCCAAACGGGTGATTAATTCGGGTGAAATAACATTGCAGGATATAACAAAGTTCCCTTAAACTTGATTATTCTTTACTTTTAGTGGTTCACATTTCATATTACTCTTTTGTATCTGATAGTTGTGCAAATTAAAATAACTCCAGTCAAAGAAAATATTATCTGCGCAACACAAGAAAAGATATTACACTTTTTGTGTTTTACAACATGGGGACTATGGGGCATCTCCCTGACCTAAATGTCACATTTTCGAAGAAAATTCAATTTTAAAGTTGATGGACTCATTTAAAAACCACATTCCTTGATGTATTTTTTCATGACGATTCCAAATTCAACACCAGTTATACTGGATTTTGAATTTTTAATGACAAAAATAAAGATTATTACTACACTGTACATCTAGCTAATTGGATTATGAGCCTTAAAAATAATCGTTTTCGCCTTAACACAGCAAATGTGTATTTATTTTTCAATGTTCCTTTTACTTAAATTCACCAGAAAGACCAGAGTCTCTTTAGTAACTTACAATAAACCTGCATCTGCAATGGTAGTGCAACTTTAGTTGTTGCAATGCAACATACAAAATTCAATTCAATTAACAAAGTATGTTAGAGTGGCGGGGATCTGCCATTGCATGCCCTAAATAATAATAATATATATATAAAATTTGTGCCATTAAAAGAGAGAAATGTGATAGATAGAAACCACGCAGGACAGACAGACATATGTCATGTATGTACCTATAGTTAGAAAGGGACAGAAACCTTCTGGCGAGAGAAAATATTGAAGATCGGAATAGATTTCAAGGGCTGCATATTATGACAGTATTGCAGAACCCTCTTCATCTCCTCTTTTTTTCAATTAAAACATATCAAAAGTTTCTTCACTTTATATCAACAATTACTTAAAAGGGGACGACATTTGAAATGCGCTGAAGTTGAAAACCACATCTCCCATGCTATCCATAGTTTTAAGCATAGTTTCCATCGCAAATTGATATTCAAAACTACACTTTCAAACTCTTCTACTTTTGAAGAAGTTTAAGAGCCCTTGTACGATATAATTTGTTGTAATATTTTCCACAGCCATTGAGAAAAGGGCATACATTTTCAATAAAAAGTGAAAATGTTTGTTAACTAATAGACAGACAGTACAATATCAGAATTTCCGCTGATTTTAACATTTTGGTGACCATTTAATCAATGCTAAAAATCATATTTAGACAAAAATTGAGATCTAACTTAATATAATATAACCATACCTTGACGACATATCTAGTAAGTAATAGCTAATGAACTCCTTCTCTGGGACATTTTGAATTTTTTGAGGCATTAATCATAAAATTAACACCATCTTCAATTAAACTGATAGTACTACGGCCAAGGCGATTTGTGTCCAAAACACCTAGATTCAATTTGAGTTTAGATTCTTGTAGGGGACCCCAAGGCATGTAAAAAAAAGTTTGTGAACCCTTGCAAAGCAGGCTCAAAAGTGCTGAGTCAGCAAATTTTATAATTTTCGAGTCAGAATTTGACCAAATGCTTGAAACTATTTAATATCTCATTTGAGGATGATGCAATTGTAGTGAAACATTGTCAATATATCAATGAGACATGTATGAAGAATTCCTGAAAGTTTGGGTCTTATCCAACAAAATTTGGTAGAGATATGGGATAATTTGTCCCTAAAAGTACATAATTTCTCCTCAAAATGTCTTAATCAGTCGATAGTTAATCAGTTATTTAAAAAACAGTAAGGGCCTATGGTGTATAAAACCTGATTAAAAACTTCACTGATGATGTTAGTAAATATTTCTTGCATAAGTTTCAATAAAAAGTGCATGCATCTATTTTTCTGATTTTTCTCTTTACCTTCCCCTAAAAATTCAAGAAAGGGGGCGTGGCACCTTACACTTCAGTTGTTGAACTTTTTGCTAGGGTCAAATAGAAAATGTGTATCATTATAGCAAAAAGTGTTATTCTAAATAAATCGTAACACTATATGTGACATCATAATATGCTAAACATATTCATTATCTATCATTTTATATTTTTTAAAGCTTATCATTGCCATAAACCATAAAACCATTTAGGGTATGTGTGGTCAGCAATTGGAAATACATGTATGTGTACTCATGACATTTTTCAAAACTGTATTTTGGGTGCCATTCTTTCCTAATGTTGTTCATGTAGTTATAGTTTATGTTTATGAATGATAGCACTTCCCATTATAAGTTTGGCAACTCAAACCCCTTTGAATCACTTATTAAAGCCTGTTTATTTTTGGCATATGAAATCGAAATATCTAAAATATGGTAATAAGGAACATAATCAAGGTTTAAACATTGACAGACTTTCATGTGCTATCATATAATAACTTCCAGTTGCCAAACTTATGGAGGGGGTGTACATGCTTTATAGTATAGGGTCCATGTAAACTGCAACAAGACTCCTATTGTTGCTGCAAATAATTAGCTATACAATAACAAATTGTAACACCAAATGATTAAGAGCCAGAGTTTCTCAGAGCCTGGTTGCAGTTTGCACACTTCGTATTGTATATATGTCATAAATTGTTTAGTTGTAGTCTGTAGAACATAACAAGATGTGTATGTTTTGTTTATGTCAAAATACTTAGCCAGGGGGTGCAATGGGATCGCACCCCCACCCCCCCCCCCCATAACCAATAAAAATATAACCATGAGATAGAAGAAGCGTTTTAAAATGCTTTTTAATTTAAGCTTCTAGTTTTATTTTGAAGGAAGTTGAATCAAGATTTGTAAACTTTTGGCGATCAAACCCCCACTGAACCAAACCTGGCTACGCCCCTATTGTCCCTAAGGAATTGGAGATAATGTTTCACTGCTAGTCTAGCAGCCGATACTTGACATAGTATCAAGGGAATTGATTGTACTTTGTACAGGAAACAATTGTTAAGAGTTAAGAAGCCTCAGCAAAGTAACCTCCTTTGTATTTATGCACCAAAACAGAGAAATAGATTTTTAAAATCTCAATATTGGAATCAATTTCACTTTCACTTTATCTTTTAGCATCTCTTTCAACCAGTCAAGTATTCTTGATATTTATGATAAACTCTTTCTGATGTCATAAGTCATCACCTCCATAGTAAGTATTTAATGGAGCTTATTATCATCTTCGACTTCCA